TTGGCCCTTGGAGTGGTCCGCTGTGGGACTCAGGGACAGGTCACGATACAATCGGTCCTCTAGTGAAGTCACGCTGATGTCTGGGTCTTAAGGACTAATGGTGTACAACTATATCTTAGAAACCTATTACTCGATGAATGAGAACCACTTATAGATTTCTAGGGCGAGGGAGTTCAGTGAACTCATCTAGTATGAGCACCCACTCAAGTATGCCGATGTCACAACACTGAGGACTGATGAGACGCAGTACACATACACTAAGTGCTAGTCTCAAAAGGGAAAGGCCGATATCCTCATTATTGGCGTAACCCATCGACTAGGAACAAGGTTTAACAGTTACATTACATTGCTGAGTTATCTCACGATTCTACTAGATCAACTCACAGTAATAGAGTAACTCGTTAGGACTATATCTATGCTGCTTGCATGGGATAAGAGATATAGAATGCCAAATGAAGTATTTTATTATTACGAACGAAAAACGATTGTTTTATTACAAGGAAAAGGAGAAGGACCACAGTCACAAGTTGGCTTGTTGGTCACCTACTCTAACAATGATAACACCGGAGCCGTGGCGCAAGCTAAGGAGCCGCGATCTCATCAGAAGTCGACGCATATTCTGAGGAAGTATCATGTGATCCGAGAGATCATTGATAGATGTGAAGTTAAAGTAGAACGAGTCACCTCGGAAGATAACGTTACAAACCCCTTCACGAAGCCTTTACCAAGATCGGTCCATGAGAAACATCGAGAGTTGATGGGATTGCGATTCATGGGTAGTTGGCTTTAGGTCAAGTGGGAGATTGTTAGAGTAGGTGACCAGCAAGCCAACATGTGGCTGTGGTCTTTCGTATTTATTATGGTAATAAACGAACCTTTTTTCGTATTAATGATAAACACCTTGGCATTTTATATATTTTTCCCTTTGTCACAAGCATAGATATAGTCCTTACAGTTATTACAAGTACTAGTAATTTATCGTTAGGATCGTGAGATATTTACTTAAGTATTATAACTGTTAAACGTGTTCCTAGTCGAAGGGTTACGCCACCAATGAGGATATCGGCCTTTCCCATTAAGAGACTAGCACTTAGTGTATGTGTACTGCATCTCATCAGTAAACGGTACTGTGATATCGGCATGCATAAGTAGGTGCTCGTAAGTTGACGAGTTCACTGAACTCCTTCACCCTAGAAATATCTAAGTGGTTCCCAATAATCAAGTATAGATATATATGGTACGGTATAATTGTACACCATTAGTCCTTATGACCTAGACATCACCGTGACTTCACTAGAGAACCAGCTGTATCGTGACCTGTCCCTGAGTTCCACCGAGGACCATCCCAAGGGACAGTGTTCGTGCAGTCCGAAATCTAGGGGGAGGTCTGTGCATTGTAGTCGGGGATTTGATCGCTAGAATAGTCTTGGATGTCCTGGCCAGAGCTGACTAAGTGATGATTAGAGAATTCGATTCTCTAAGTCATGCACGTAACGATTTCAACACTTAGAACGATCGCACAGTCATTGAACAAATAAAGAGGTCTCGATGAACCAATGCCTCTAGTTCAATCGTGACATATGAATCGAAGGCATCGTACTATACGTTAACTATATCTGAAGGTTCTTGCAGGAACTTCATTTGTATCTAGGGAATCATGACGCGTAGTTGCTAGACGCCAATCTTGATTCGTTGGGTGATTAAGGTGAAACGAGCTTCATCTTAATCGTAACTCTAAGGGACGAGTTTTGACCACAAAGGGTTGTGGGCCCACGGCTAGCTTACACCTGAACCATCGAGGGTCACACTGCTCGTACACATGGGATCTTTGAATAAACGGTCAGAGATAAAATGGATTATCTTTGCATGATTGGAAGTCAATATGATTGGGTCCAACATTCGTAATTTGGAATTATGAATGAGAATAAGAAAAGGAAAAGAATAGGCAAACATATTAGTGGACTTTCTAAATCGGGAAGTTTCAAAATTTAGAAAGTGCACTGAATTAGGGTTTCCACTTTTGGAAAGTTGGAAATCGAGAGTTGGAACTCGTAATGATGAGGACGTTATAATGATTCTGAAAATGTAATCATTACAATTTTCCGATCATTGAATTGAGAGAGACGAGCAAGTAAAAGAACTAACGAACTTAAGCTGTTGGGCCCGGTCCAACTTAAGCCCGTTAGGGTTTTATGCAAGACACTATAAATACTTGATTTATAGGTCTTGCACAACACAACACACAAACAAACCCTAACCCTAGTTGCTCCCTCTCTCTCTCGGCCACTCTTCCCCGCGGCCACCATCGCCGCCGTCGCCGGATTCTTGCCGGAATCGGCCATCTGTTGGCCGATTCACATTGATAGTTATTTCCTTCTTTCTATTCTTCCGTTTTTCTAACTATTACGTGTTTAGTAGATCGAAGTATACGAGGTGAAATCCGAGAGGAGGAAGATCGAAGATCGAAGAATCGAGGACCAGCACACGAGCCGACGCCGCACGCATTCCCACCCGCCGCCCGAAGACAGCGCGTGAGCCACACGCGCCGCCGTAGCTCGTCTAGTAGCTGCTGCCCCGGATTGTACGGATTGGTTTCCGTAGCAATATAGCTTTCCTTAGTGCGCCTACCTCACGCTTCAAGAGGTAAACTTTCGAATCCATTGTCCTTTCGATTCGTTTTCGTTTAAGTTAACATATGCATGTTCGTTTTAATAAAAGTTTGTATGATTTTATGTGTTTGCATGAAATTGATTTTATTATTGCGAGCATGATTGTTTGATTTAAACACGAGCATGCTAATTGATTTAAATTGAGTTAAGTAATTAAGCATGTATGTTGTTTTTAATTTCGTTGGAAGCGCAAAGGTACGCAATTAATTATTTTTAATTATCGGGCATGTGTTTATGTCTTTTAAAGTTGTTTAAATCGCATAAAATTTTTGTTTTCCGCTGCGTACACGTGTCTGATTCCCAACAGATGCGACTATGGATCCGTCAATTTTGGTAGAGAAAATATACAAGTCGATTTTAGTGGAGAAGAGAGACAGAGCGAACGATTCGAGAGAAAAAAAGAAAAAAGAAATAAAAAGAGACGTATCATGAGAGAGAGAGGGGTGAGAGAGAGAAAGTGAATGAGAGAAAAGAGGACAAAAAAAAAGATACGTAAAAGATATAAAGATAGGAGGAGGAGAGAGAAATAAAAGTACACAGAGAGGGGGAAGAGAGATAAAGAGTGGGAGAAGTAAGGACACAACTGGAATAATGAACACGTGAGGGGATCTCACAATTTCTATGTTAATTTTAGATTTCCTTACATGGTGAATATTAAAATGGACCTGAACTCTATTATCTTGTGTATTGAGGGGGTTATCCCTCATTTTCCTTACAATTTATATCAGTAAAGAGGAATCAAAGTAATAAAACAAATATACAAGAGTTTAGAGATTTCAAAAATGAGTAATTAGGGTTTTGAAGAGAAATTTGGGTATTTATGAAATTCCTCACATGCAATTTTCCGTCCATACCAATTAAATAATTTTCTATTGAACGATGATCTGTGAAAATAAAATTGACAAGTCGTATCTTAAAAGGATTCTATCAGGTTACAATTAATGCACACACGGTATACTGTTGGGTGCTAAATACCAACACGCAAGTGTACGTATCGCAAACAAGTAGTAAAGTAGACTCGTGAGAGTCGGATGTCGATCCCACAGGGAATACGCAAATTATTTAATCCTAAGTACCAAATCCTAACAATTGTGATTTTTATCCAGCCTACGCAGGGTTGTCAAATTAATTAAGTAAATAAATTAAACTAATTAAGAAAGCAATTAAACACGAGAAAAATATCAATATAAAACGGATCTAGGATTTTATCTTCCCCATATGCGATAATTCTTCACCCAATTAATCTCCTATCATGCAAGTTACGATTCCCATTATTAACCCAAGACACAAAAATTACTCATAACCAGCTGTCGCTGCGTTATAAGCCTATTATTCATAAAAGATTCACTATATGTCTATGCAAACCTAGTATAAATAAAGCATTAAATAACAAGTCTCGTAAACGGCTACCTAAGGTATTATCTGTATGTCTACGATAATACATGCAATTAACACACTCATCCGGTGAAAACTACTCGAAGGCTCTCCTATCCCTGTTCTAATTATTAAAACGATCTGTCAATCAATTCTAACAATAACCAATAGCAACATAAGTTACCTACGTTCATGCGCTAAATAAGATCAAGATAGAAGAAATAATCGAAGAATTAAACTTGCATAAAAGTCGAAAAAGAGGTTCGAATTACCACATAGGGTTCCAATAAAATCCTAGAATAAAAACTTAGCTACTCGTAATTCTTATGATAAACAAAATAAAAATAAAAGAAATAAGAAAAACTATGCTTGAGGCTTCGTTGATCTTCGTTCTTCGCGTTTTGTGGTGTAAAATTTCGTCCTTATGGTGTAGAGACGTGTTGCTTTTATAGGCTTTTCTTGATAAGGAAGTAGTAGAAACCTAATAGGAATCAATTTCCGCCACTTTCCCCCATCAGGACTTGTTCTTCGATTTTCGCCATGTTGGAGTTCGACTTTTGGAATATTGTGTAAATAAGAATTGTAGCCCTTGAAATTAGCTTTCCAATGCCGCCAAAATCACCTAATTCGGAGTTCGTATGAGAGAGATATGCTCGAAATCGTGGACATTCTCAAAACTGTGGCGAGATTCCTTCTTCCAATTTGATTTGTTTCCTTATTTGCAACTTTTTCCTTTCTTTTTGATCTTTTTTCCTTCATGGACACCTAATTCTCGTTGTTCACCTATAAAACACAAAATCAATCAATTAAAGCACAAATATAATTAAATCTAAACAAAAGATCCACGTAAAGTAAACGTATTGAGTGTAAAATCTACACTCAACATATACACACATGGTATATATTTAATTTTTATACAAGCTTCCCAACACAATCAAAATTGTCACTAACAGCTCCATGGAATATTCCGATGGTGATTCCTTCTACAAACCACCTTACACAATGGTCGACGAAAACCGAATCCGGCAGCTAAAAGACAAAGACATCTCCGAAGTTTGCACCCTTCTCTCAGTTTCTAGATCCTTTGCCTGCCCCCTCTTGCGCCGAAACAATTGGAGCAAGAACTCCGTCTTCGACGAATGGTTTGCCGACGAGAAACAGGTTCGCTGGTCACTCGGGTTATTACAGAAACTAAAGCCACTAAAATTGTTCAACCAATGTAAGATTTGTTTAAAGAGTTTCAAGGTTGAGAGTATGTTGTCCGGGCCATGTGGCCATCCCTTTTGCACCAATTGCTGGAAATCCTACTGTTAATGTATATTCTTGTAGAATAATTAGGGATTTGATTTGGTTGCCCCGAGCCCAAATGCAAACCCTATCCAGGCCTGGAATTAATCGACTCGTTGGCTTCCGATTATAATAAAGGCAAATATTATAAGTATCTTCTCGGATCCTACGTGGAGGGTTGTTGGAATCTGAAGTGGTGCCCTGGCCCTGGATGCAATCTATGTTGGAAGGTGGGTTAAAAATATAAATAAAAGAACTATTAGTTTCTAGTGGAGAGGAGATGAACAACTCAACTCAATCAACACTTGTACTCTCAATTTTATTTCTTGTTCACTCAGCTCATTTTCTTCTTACTCCCAAAGTGATGGTGAACGCTCTTATTTATACAAGGGATAGGAGAATTCTAGACTAATATAATAAATATTATATTTGACCAAGACTTAAACTTTCTAAATACTCTAGAATATGACTAGACAAATACATTCATGTACATAAAATAGTTACGTACATGAACTTACAATTAACACAATTTAATTATTATTTTGACTCATTTATTCAAGTTTAATTTCCAACACTCCCCTTTAAACTTGATGCTCGCATTCCAAGACGATTCCTTAGCTTCTCGAAAATTTCTCTCCTTAGAGGCTTCGTAAAAATGTCGGTCAATTGATCATCGGACTTCACAAATTTTACTTGAACCTCTTTCTTTGCAATGCATTTCCCTTATGAAATGAAAACGAGTCTCGATGTGCTTACTTTGGTCATGAAATACCGGATTCTTTGCTAACGCAATTGCAGATTTGTTGTCGACATAAATGTCCGTTGATTCAACTTGGTTGAAACCAAGTTCCTTAAGCAAATTACGCAGCCACAAAGCATGGCAAACACTTGAAGTTGCAGCAACATATTCAGCTTTACAGGTCGATAATGTGACAATGGGCTGCTTTTTTTCCAGTGTGTGTTTTCTAGTGTAGTTTTTGTGTAATTCAACCCGAAAAAAACCCTCACACTACACAAAAAATACACATTTAAAAAAAACACGCACTACACCAAAACACACATTGAATAAAAATGCACTACACCGTGAAACCCACACTCGAAATTCAGGGTACTTCTTGTGTAAAACACAGACTACATAAAAAACGTACACAAGAACTACACTTAATTTCCAGTGTGTATTTCATGGTGTAGTGTATTTTATTTTGGTGTAGTGCGTGTTTTTTTTAAATGTGTGTTTTCGGTGTTGTGCGTGGTTTTTTTTTCGGGTGTTTATTTTCTATTGTAATTCTTGTGTATTTTTCTCAAATCAGTATTATTTTACCGACATATTTATTAATTTTCGTGTATGGTAGCATTATCGCACCCCTATAAAAAAATACATTTACTGCTTAATTTTACCCCGGAAACATAAAATCATTGTTCCGTCACTGGCCAATTGAACTAGTAATAAAATTTACGGGGCGTCATTATTATGCAGGTACGAAGAGGACGAGAGTTTGACGAATACGAGGAAAAACTGAAGAGGTACATGCATTACTACGAGAGATGGGCGGCCATCCACAAGTCGAGGGAAATCACAGCGGGCAACCTCAAGTGGGCGAAAGACGAGCGTATTTGTGTTGTAGCCGAAAACAACCAACAACTACCCGGAGATGGAGTGGAATTGGTGATCGAAGCCTTTGAGCTGATAATGGAAAGCAGGACCGCGTTGAAATGGAGCTACGCGTACGGCTATTACATGCCTTGGCGCGCCAATTCGGCAAAGTTGGCCTTTTTCTTGTTCTTGAAAGGGCAGGCCGAGCGCGTTCTCGAGACGCTTCACCGTTGTGCTGAGAGGGGGGTTGAAAAGTACTCGAAAACCGATTTTCATTTGTACGAATTTAGGGATTTTACAGATGAGCTGAGAGGCTTGACCGATTTGACGAGGAATCACTTTGGGGAGTTGGTTCGAGCGTTGGAGAATAATCTTTCCGAAGTTACTGAAGTTAAGAACCTGTCAAAAAACCACCAGCTCCTTCTAAGAGACGGACGCGCTGAACAAACCCTACGTTTTATATTTACGTTTATTCCGAATCTGCAAAACTTATTACTTATTGCCAATAGTATATATGCATTCTAACTTTTACCTGTGATGCACTCTTAGTACGGGAATATTTCGTAATTAAGTATTCTAGGACAAAAAATTTACTATAGGACAATAATTTTACTATATGAATATCATTTTTTCCGGCCCGGGAATTAATTACTGTTGAAGCATCACGCAGGGGAGTTGGAGCCTGCTATCTAACTAGTTAGAGTAAGCCTTTGTTAACTTCAGTTGTTAAATTATCAAAGTTGAACTACACTAATTAAGCTATATGATTCCTACAATTAAATTGATTATTAATTTTAATTCTTGTACAGATAATGAAATACAATTAAGCTAACTAAATTATGAACAATTAAGCTTTAAAGGATCTATTACAAAGTTCAAACATATGACTACAATCCTTTTTCTTTTTCTTTTCTTTTTTAATGAAGTCATTTGACAAATATACCTAGTTAGATGTTTCATTAGTTGAATAGCTCCTAAAATATTTGTTCTAAGATCTATAGTTATGAAGACCATAAATTTCTTTTGAATTTTACTATTATCGGGAATTTGCGAAAATTGGAAATTTATAACGGTGAGAACTGCAACTTGTCCATATAAAAAATATAAATGATAGATGAATTGTAAAAACACAATACATAACCAACATAACATAACCATGTCCTATGTAAGTACATCTTCTATCAAACGGAATCGGAAACTCCGAAATATAATCACACGAAACTCCGAAATATAATCACAGTACGAACTTCAAATAAAATCAATAGACTACGAAATATAATCACACGAAACTCCGAAATATAATCACACGACTTCAAATAAAATCAACGCATACCAAATATGGACAACGACAAGTCAATATATTCACCAACCTTCTTCGGGCTGTCTCACTACCTAAGAACTCGACTCCATATGCATGTCAGTTTCACGGAAAGATCGTTCTACAACGCTCTAACCCACTCCTCAAAGTAGTTCCTCGTGACATTTGTCAAATTCACAACCTTCCTCCGAAAACCCACAAAATCCTCCATATCGAAATCGTTGTTCACGTACATCTCAATATCCTTGTCAGCGCAATGGTGAAGCCTCTCAATATTAACCTCCGCCTGCTCTTGCAAGAACTCAAAAAACTCAATCTTGGTCACTTTCTTCGTCAAGGACAAGTAGTAACCGTACACGTAGCTCCACTTCAACATGCTCCTGCATTCGACAATCTGCTCCAACGCTTCAATCAAGAACCCGAACTTGACGTAATTGGAATATTCACCCCCCAACTTATCATCGAGCACCGTACGAAGATCCGACACGGCAGTTCGCATGCGCATATGATTCAAAACCCACCCTTCGTAGTGATGTCCGAATTTCGACAAATTTTTCCTCGCACGTGTAAATTTCTTATTGCATTCCTTCTTCTCGTTGCAACTAGCGTGGGTGTGGTTTTCCCACGGTTGTAGGCACAACCAGCAAAATTGTTGTCTGCACGGCTTTCGACAGATCATGTGATTGCAGCCCTGGTCCTTCTCGATGTTAATGCCGCAACCCGGACACGGCTTTGTGAAAGCCATAATCCACGTAGCGGTGTTAATATCCTCCTCCTCGGAACTACTCAGCTCGATCCACTCCGCCGCGGTCTTGCAGTCGACCGGGCGGTGGCACTCCTCCGCACAGTTCCAGCAGAACCTGTGAGAACAATCGCACGCCACGTCGTAGTTCTCCCGCACGCGCGTTTCGATCTGGACCGCGCGGTCGCATCGTGGGGCAGGGCACCACCTCGTGTTCCCGTGGCACTCCACGTAGGATCGGAGAAAGTATCTGTAGTACCTTTCTTTATCTTCATCTGAAGCTAACGAGTCAACTAGTTCCGGGCCCACACTGGATTTGCATCCGGGCTCGGGGCAACTCAAAGACAAGCATCCCGGCCCGTCGTTGATCGAGACCATTATGTAATACTTCCAGCAATTAGAACAGAAGGGATGTCCACATGGGCAAGACAGCATGTTCTCACCACTAATCTCTTCGAAGCAAATATTACAGAGGTTGTTGTCGTTGTCTGGTGGTAGTGGATTTAGCAATTCTTGTTGTGGGAATTGTAATTTTTCCTCGTCGGAGAACCACTTGTCGGAAACGGCGGAGATGCTCCAATTGTGGCGGCGCAAGAGGGTGCATGCTAGGGTTTTAGAAACGGAGAGAAGGCTGCTGACTTGGGAGATGTCGTTGTCTTGTAGCTGCCGGATTCTTTCTTCCGTGAGGATTGTGTAGTGCTTCTGGCGGCGGCGGCTACTGTTTCTGCCGCCGCCGTATTCCGCCAGTTCCTCCTCCTCCTCCACGCCGGAATCAGTTTCCTCCGCGGCCTCGCTGCCGGAATCATCAATTTCCTCCACATCATCGCCGTACGAATATTCGTCGTGGTAAGAATCTTCGTCGGAATCCATGGAAACTGCAAAATTGTCAAACAATTTGTGCCCTTAGTTTCTGAGAAAGAGAAGCTTGTATTTATGTGTTTTTTTTTTTTTATTAGTTGTACGTATTTATGTGTTTGAAATAAGAAGGAAGGAAGATTATATATAATAACCTAATAGAGTAGTAGAGTCCTTCCAGGACACAGTTACCTACTTTGATAAAAAAAGATATCAGGACTTACTATAAGGGGGCAATTATTTTAAATCTCAACTTTTGTTTACTTGAATACTACCAAGTTTAAAACCAAAATTGAGTACATATTTATCAGTTTTTTCTTACTTTAATACCAAAATATGAAGAAAAGTACAAAAACACCCTTTCATACAAAATATCAATTATATCAATTTTTTTTAGAAATTACCTATTCAAAAACCAAATAAAAAAAAAGAAAAAAAAAAAAACCATTTGTTGGAAAAAAAAAAAAAAAAAAAACCTCCACCATTTCTTCTCCTCTCCAACTCTCATCGCCGCCGCCGCCGCGCCGCCGAACGCCACCGTACATGCTCGTAACTGCCGTGACAACCCAATTAAACCCTATCTTTTTCATCTTCTTAAATCCTCCAAAACATCTCCAAATTCAAAAAATCAAAAACTCACAAAACTTATAAAATGGAGTGATAAGACTCTAATACTCTAAAACGAAGGCGATACTTTTTCAAGTTAATTACTCGTATGGTGCTCCAGTTAATGCGGTGTTTTCATCTTCATCGTCAAATTCCTGCTCCACACTTTTGACCTCGGGCACATAATGCATGAGCATATTCTCGATCCCAGATTTAAGAGTGACGGAGGAGCTAGGACAGCCACTGCAGGCTCCTTGCATCCTTAGTTTGACTATTCCACTGTCTGGATCGAATCCGACATACTCGATATCTCCACCATCATCTTGTACAGCTGGACGTATACGAGTCTCTAATAGTTCCTTAATCATAGCAACAACCTCGGAATCATCCTCTTTTATAGCTGTGTCCATTGAAGCTGCTGCGAAGATTTCGGGTTTCAGAAAATCCCATGTGGTGTCTTCTGACTTTGTCACGGTTACAAAGTCGGAACCGAAGAAGACCCGCGTAATTCCTGTAACAACCGAAATTTAGGTTTGATCTATTAAATAAATGATCAACCTATGAAATCGATGCAGAGATAGACAGTAGTTCAAACGTACAATACCAACAAATTGCTGATCTGTTCCCATAATACTGAGACAAGAGAACAGATATAATTCACTAATCAAAACCCAAAATCAGCTTTTTTTTTACCTTCATGTTTTTTATAACTTTTTTTGGAAGGTCCTATCAACTTTAACCAAGACATTTTAAAGTACTAAAAAAGGGAAATAATTGGTCACAAAATTGACTCAGCCCAATGAAAGTTCTACCTCAGTTTAAAATCAAATGTGAAGGTATTCCATTTTCGGTGTTCTGTTTTTTTTCTAATATTTGGTTTTTGAAAAAATCAACTCATATAGATGAAATAAACTTGCCACACAATATCATGAAAAACAAAAGAAAAAAAGACCTTTTTATGGGAACCACACTTCATTTTACTCATGTAACAATGTCTCCACGTCTACAACCATACATTATCATCAACGACGGCCAAAAAGTAACTGTACAAAAGCTTGAAGCGAAACACTAAAACGGACAAAATTGTGCATCAACAAAATAAAATGTCCAAGCATCATGTTTCGAACTAGACGAAAGAAAACGCAAAGCGAATTCTGAATCATGATACATGGAGTTCAAAGGTCCTTAGGAATGTAAACAAGCTCCAATTTAACTTTTAAAGACCAAACAAGACTCGGTAAAATATTAGAAACTATACATAATCATGTTCAACCAGCTTCCCCAAAAAGCAAAAGCAAATAAGAAAAGAACTCGTAAGACGTTGTATTATGATAAGAAGACACTCGTATGATATCCATTATTAGACAAAAACGGTTACTGTAGTGATCATTCATAACCACTGCCATTACACTGTACAAAGAATTCAGAACAACTTTAAGAATAAAGAAATACAGGACACTGCTAATTTGGCAGTCCAATTGGCTTTCATTTAGCACGAGCACAAAATCGAATCAGCAACTATAAATGATATTATCAAACAATATAGCTACCTCAAAACATATAAATTTAATTGGTAGAGGAGAAAACTCACCATCGATTCCATACAGGCTTTTTGCCAGTGGTGAACTCATAGCAGAACGCGCATTAGGAAAGTCGGCGCTTCCCGTTTCCATAACAGGCTTCCCGGGATAGAACATGAGAGACGCAGGATTAGGAGTCGATTGTGTTTGGATAAACATGCTCCTCCTCTGCCCTGTCAGATAATGTTAGCATGCCTTCATTAATGAACAAATTGTTTACATTTCCATGTACATGACAATCTAAACACCTAAAAATCGATATTAACATGAAACAATTTTATATCATTACAAGCAACTGCTCTGAAATAAGAAAGACAAATATCAAGTCGATCGTTTTCCTCGACGAAAACCAAATTGTTAAATGTAAAAATCCACATAAACCTCTCCTAATAAACAAAGGATTTACATTTCCATGTACATAACAATCAATACGCAAAAAATCGATATTAACACGAAATAATTTTATATCATTACAAGCAACTGCTCTGGAAAAAAAAAATCAAATTTTTATTGCAAAATTTACAGAAATTCCTAATAAAACCATAAACAAATTGCAAGTAAATAGCAAAATTAAATAAATTTAGCAAATAATTAGAGATTACACAAATTCAGCATCAATCAGTGATAAGAAAACAAATAAATAAATGATCAACACAAAAACCAATGATACTAATTAAACGCAGCCAAAGCAACACTAGATTCGATTAAGAAACATACCTCGGAAATGGTTCCAGTTGCAGAGGGCTAACGAAGACTTCGACGAGGGTAAACCGGTAAAATCCCTAGACTGGTGAGATGTTGAAGGAGAAAAAAGCAACCGGCGGTATATGTACAATCCTCGAGCAGCGCTGGGTTGGTTGTATGGTTTTGATAAAAATCCGCCATTGTTGCAGCTGGACTGAATTGCTCGGTACACGAATCGTCCAAACAATTTCATCGTTTAATTTTATTCGAAGGCTTTTTCTCGGAGAAGAAGGATGTGGGGTTTCTAAAGTATTGGATGATGAATATTTATTTATATATATTTTATTTTATTTTTTTATTATATCTGCAGAATTGTCAATTGATTGAAAAAACGTAGATGAAACTATTTGGGCTGCATTATGCAATAACCAAGGTCTTTTTTTTTCCTTCTTTTTGCTCACCACCTAAAATTCTCACACTATTTTTGTTGGATTGTAGAGCTTTGATACTTGGGATTTCGCCTAATTTCATATACGGTTCCGTCCCTAAAAGTATACTGCACTCTATTTTTTAAGTTTCGTTTACATTTAGCTCTCTATTCGTCGTAAAATATCTGAAACGCCCCTCATTTAATATCAATATTGCAACTACACTTCATTTCCACTTAAGAAAATGTTATTAGGCATAAAGACATGTTTTAACAAAATCGTTTCGATACCTATTTATTTATTTATTTATCCCCAAAATCTTAAAAACTACAAAATTATAATAAATAAATGAAAATTATACAAAAACTAAATATTTTATGGAAATATTATTTAGTACGGACACGGGAACGGTGATGTGGGGAAATGGGAAAATGTATAGGGGAAAACGGCATATCCCAAAAATGAAGATGCGGGAACTTGGGGAAACATGTAATTAAATTATAAGGGTATATTTATAAATATGTTATAAAAACACATATAAGTTTTTATTATATATAATTCTTTTTCTATATTTTTATATAAACATATTAAAAATAAATTTAACTATGAACTATCAATTTGCAATTGATCATTAAATCGTGCAAATAATTAGGAAACAACAAAAATATTAGAAAATTTCAATTTCGTACATGTTTCTAACTTTTTACTTTTTCTAAATTGAAAAATGACTCATAAGATATTCGGCAGGTGTCATGGATTGTCCGACACAAAACATGCCTAAAAAGCAGAAAAAATAAGAAGTTGAAATTTATGTACATAGATATTAACTAAAACTAACTTGAAATAAATTAAACTAGAGTATTTAAACACAAATTAAACTATGTGAATACTCAATTAAAATGGAAACCCAAGATTTATTCATTTAACCTAAAGTATTAAAAATTGAAATCTAATCCAAGTTGCCTCCCCCACCGTCGCCACTCCCTCCCGCTGCAAAATCGCGTCTATTGAGGTACCTTTTTTCTTTCTTTTTCCCAATTAAACATGTTTGTATTTTGTGATTTTGACAATGTTTTGTGGTTATTGCATCGAAATTATTCTCCTATACTATACATACCATCAATTGTTTGAAGTAGTAATTTTTTTTTTTTATCTTCTCTGCATTGAATCGATGGGTGCGCTCCATACATGTATAAATGCATCGCTATAAGATTGTGTACAAGTCGCAAAAAACACTGTTTTTTTATTTATTTTGATAACGAAGTAACCTGCAGCGGATGACGAGTCCAGGAATTGACCACTTGACCATAGGGTAGGATTAAATTTTTGGGGGTTCGGGGGCAGAGCTCCCGAAAGAAAATTTTGGACTTTTTTTTGGATAAATTAGGAAAAGAGAAAAAATTTAAGGTTTTTCTTTTTGCATAATATAAGTTTTAGGTGGGCTAAATAATAATATATGTAAAATATAGTGAACAATTTGTAATTGAGGGGGGGTTGAGTCCACTCTAGATAGAGGCTGGACTCGCCCCTGCCCCGGCAGTCAACCATATAGGTGCACTGTGCAAAAAGTATTCTTGAGTATCTTCGTCGTGTGTTTTGGGGATTTTTGTGCTCTTAGATACACAAATGTGGACATTGTTTTGGCATAAGGGTTAGTTTCTTATTATTTTATTTGGGAAATTTTAAGTTTCGCAGGTCCGAATTTAGTAATTCGAAAGAAAATTCCGTCCGTCGAGGGGCGGAATTGCAAGTTTAAATCAAAATCTGGCCTCCTCGCTGTTTATTTACGAACAAAATTTTGCTAAGAAATGCCCCTAATTAATATTGCTCTCTTTTGTGAAACTGAATTTTTCTTCTCCAATTGGGATGATTAATTATTTATTTATTTAGTATTACTTCCTTATATGCACACATTTTCGCTTAATTTTGTATGAATATTCCTTCAATCTTACTTGGCGATGCAACGAAATCAATCAGCTTCGGTCAGTATAAATCTGCTTGCTTTTTTTTGACAATATATTAGTTCAATTGCAACAATCGTAGGCTGTGGAGATTAAGTTTTTTTTTTTTTTTTTTTTTTTATAATTTGGCTAGCACCGATAAATATAGAATGCTTGCTGATTTTCTGGTTGCGTGTACGCACAAGTATGCATTTGTTCGATCCCGGGCATGGTTTCTTTGGCTTCTGAGATAATTGAATCTTTGCGAATTTCGAGGATTCTTGTCTAGCATTCTTAAATTGCCTTTTTTATGGATTATCAATTTTAGACCCCTGGTTCTTAATCAGATCGATTAGGGTTTATATGTCATGTAACGGAATGGTAGCTTGTGTTTTAGGGTTTATGACATCCTCAACGATTTTCGATCTCTTGATTTAAAAAAAAATATTGGTATCCCGAAGAGAAATAATTTATATGGTAGAGCCTAAAATTATTTTCTGAACACATACAACACAAGAAATGCATTTAGAAGGTTAACGACGATGCTTAAACACTCTTGGTTTTATGTATTTTATCGTCATCATTTTATTGTTTCGTAAACGATAATGCTAATTACATTACGTTTGCATTCTTTTATGTAAGAGATGAAACATTGTCAACAACTGTGTGTACACCATTAGCTCACTTTCGACCTTTGCCCTTACATTTCATTTTTTTTAGTTGCAGCTGCTAATCTCAAGAATCCGATTAACCCGTTGTATAAGCAATTCAAGAAACTATGTTAGCTGCAAAAACCCTCCCTCTCACATCCCCTCAACCAACACACCTCGAAAAATCCAACGTTTTCTCTCTCCCGTCCCAAAACATCCTCCCAATAACCAAACTCAACCGCAAAATCAAAACCACCACACGCCTCAAATCATCCCTAAACTCAACCACCACCGTATCAGAAACAAGTAAAAAATCCACCTCCGCTCAAACCCGAGTCGAGATCCTATCCGAAGCCCTCCCCTTCATCCAAAAATTCCGCAACAAAACCATCGTCGTCAAATACGGTGGAGCGGCGATGAAATCCGAATCCCTCCAATCTTCCGTGATTGACGATATTGTCCTCCTCTCGTGCGTGGGGCTACGTATAGTATTCGTCCATGGAGGTGGGCCCGAGATCAACCAATGGCTCGCTAGACTCAACATTAAACCAAGCTTCCTCAACGGCCTTCGAGTCACAGATGCATCCACAATGGAAATCGTGTCAATGGTATTGGTCGGAAAAGTCAACAAACACCTCGTCTCCTTAATCAACAAGGCCGGAGCGACAGCTGTCGGATTATCCGGAATCGACGGCCGGATTTTAACCGCCCGGCCTTCACCAAACTCGGCGCAATTAGGGTTCGTGGGCGACATTGCAAGCGTGGACCCCACGATAATCCGGCCGTTGATCGACAACGGCCATATTCCGGTGATTGCCTCCGTGGCGGCTGATGTGGCGGGGCAGTCGTATAATATCAATGCCGACACGGCGGCGGGCGAGCTGGCGGCGGCGTTGGGGGCGGAGAAGTTGATACTGTTGACCGACGTGGCGGGGGTGTTGTTGGATAAGGATGATCCGGGGAGTTTGGTTAGGGAGATTGATATTAAGGGTGTGAAGAAGATGATTGAGAGTGGAGTGATTGGTGGTGGGATGATTCCGAAGGTGAATTGCTGTGTGAGGTCTTTGGCTCAAGGGGTTACGACTACGAGTATTATCGATGGCAGGTTGAAGCATTCTTTGCTTCTCGAGATTCTTACCGATGAAGGCGCTGGAACTATGATCACTGGATAACCGGTAAGATTTTTTTTTTTTTTTTCCGGTCATATTGTATTATAAATAATCGAAAATTTATGGTACGAAATGAGCGATGTAGTTAAACGAAAGCATTGAGGGAGGAGCCATGAACTTCTCTAGTTTTTATGAATTGTAATTATTATGGAAGTGAAAATTGGTTGCTTTCACTAACTAGTGAGCTTCTTGCCTTTTGTATTAGAAACTTATCGTCGGCATTGATTTGTTTAACCTTTTCTTGACCTTTTTGAATTTTGTAGGCTAAATTGAAATCCTCATGCGTTAATGATTATTTGTTCGGAATGATTTTGGAGAACCTATATCTGGTGAAATATACATGTAGTTTTGTTTTATATCGTTGATCTACACATAATAACTAACACATCCATGTGTATGTGTGCTATCCATGTGTATGTGTGCTGATCTACGGTTTAAAACTACATGGTGTATTTCACCCAGTGTAAGATCTCATAAGCCATGTGTGTATGAGAATTAAGTTTTTCTTATTTCGCGAGTTTCATATATAATTCGAATTCAATCCACATATCTTTGGAAAATATGGAAACAAAACTTGGAATAAAAAGCTATGCCAAAACTAATATAATTTCATACCCCATTCAATTCGAAAAGTTAATTTTCTTTCGAAACCGAGTAGGGTTGGAACAATTTGTTTGAAATTTGTCAATGCCGATCGAGGATGTTTATTTTTAGAACAATTTTTTTTCAATACCGATTTTGGAAATTTCGGGTTTTCTTTTTTCAGTTTTTGATATTTCTTGGATACTAATTGAAGTACATAAGATTCGATTTGAATCATGGTTAGAATTTCATTTTCTTTTTCATCTTTCTTTATAACATCAATAGGGATAATTATAGTTTTGGTCCCTCAAGTTTGTACGTTTTTCATTTTTGGTCCCCCATTTACAGCCGTCAACGAAATACACACTAATGTTGTCACATTTTAACACATTTAGTCCCTCCGTCAGTTTGACCGTTAAGTAGTAACGGTCAACGGTTGAATTAAGGCTGAAATTTGGGATTTTTCATAGATGAAAATAGCACTCAGACCCCTGCATTCTTTTAAAATATTCTAAAACCCCCTAAAATTTTATTCAACCATAATTTAACCCCAATTTCATCATTTAATCAATTTTGACAAACGACCCCAAATTTTATCACAATTACCGCTGAGCGCCGTTGATTTTTTTTTTCTTTTTTTTTTTGCATTGACTTTTTTGTGTAATATTGATTTTGACGCCGTTCACCGACATTGTATTATCGGTTAACAATGTTGACTTTTTTTGTTTTTCCTTATTTTTTTTCCTTTGACTTTTTTTCGATCAATACAATTACTGTATAACACAATAATAATAATATATTAATATCTAGTATCGTAATATTAAAATTACAATTTTTTGTAACAAAGTTTTTATCTAAAAATTATAGGGCATAAATACAATTTAAAAAAAAAAATCCTAAAATCCATAATTTCTTCCCCTCAATTTTTTCTTCGTGGAACCGCCAATGCATCCCAAATTTATTCCCAAGAAAATATGAAGAAGATGAATTAGGCATGTGCGGTGTAATTTGAAATGAGATAACCACTGGCCGTTAATTTTTACCTTTTTTTTTGTCTTAAAATTTTTCTATCATTGAGATGCATTGACTTTTTCCTTTTTTCTTTATTTTGATTTTGTTTATGATATTATTTTCTCGCGGATTATCTGTTTTGATTTTTTTTGTAAATATATTTTTCCACTACTCAACAATTTAAATAAAAATAAAATAAAAATCAAGAAAAAAAACCCTAATTTTATCTCGATTAGAAATCAATCGATAAATTCAACAGAAAAACGCCGATCATATCTCCTCCGAACACATGGCCAAGCAATTCAACGTTCGGCCGGTGGTTTTCCCCTCCGTCCCCAACAGCGCCGCCCCCCAACCGCCCCCTTCCAACCTCAGAGATCCCCCAACCCCCTCCCCTTCCTCTCCTTCGACGTCAACTCCGCCGCCGCATCCACCTCCTTCTCCTCCGCCCCACACTTCCCCTCCACCGCCGTCGCCGGAGGAATCGGCGCCGCCGGATTCGACGACGAGCCGCCGCTCCTCGAGGAACTCGGAATAAACACCAAGCAAATTTACCAAAAAACCCTCTCAATCCTCAACCCCATCAGAGTCAACCACCACCTCCACGAGGACGCCGATCTCTCCGGACCATTCCTCTTCCTCATCGCCTTCGGCCTGTTCCAGCTCCTCGCCGGAAAATTGCACTTCGGAATCATCCTCGGGTGGATGACGATGGCGTCGATGTTTCTGTACGTCATCTTCAATATGCTCGCCGGCAGAAACGGAAACCTTGACATGTACAAGTGCCTGAGCCTGCTCGGATACTGTATGCTGCCGATTGTCATGCTGTCGGTGCTCTCTCTCTTCGTGCCTCGGGGCGGATACGTGATAATGGCCTTAACAGGGGTGCTCGTGATTTGGGCGACACGTGTCTGCACGAGATTGGTCGTCGAGCTTGCCAACTGCGGGGACGAGCATGCCAGGCTCATAGAGTATGCCTGCTTCTTGATTTACATGCTTTTTTCTATGCTTGTTTGATTTCGTCCGTGGGGCTTCCTTCTTCCTCAAGGTAGCTTGATCCGTACTCCGGTGACGATACCTGCAACGCCGGGAGGGGTTCCCGGCGGGAAAGCTCCGACGATCAAGTCAGTGATCGGAGTAGAGGCAAAAACGTATATGCAATGTAATAATATTTTATGTATATTCTTATATCTGCGTGTGTTTAAAGATCCTACTATTTATAGATGAGGAAACCTTGGTTCACAAGGTTTTCTTTTTTAGGGTTTTCTCCTCCCTCAAGTCAAGTATTTGGGCCTTCCCTTAATGGGCCTGTTTTGGGCCATGGTTATGTCGGGGTTCGAGTTATCATTCTGCCAGCTCGTTATCGAAGGTCGCCGTCCGGCATCAGGCCTTATAAGAACTTAACTTTCCTGAGCTTGCATTGTGCTTATCTCGTCATAATGACCCGTATCAACTACTCCCCCTACTCCTTACTTATAGGACGAGTTGGTTTTTCCTTACCTCGTTTTATAAGTACGGAGTACGAGGTGCAAGTTTAGTCCTTGGTTCATATCGGTCCGATGTGCGCGATCTTTTCACTTTTCCCTCCATTTAATGACTCTGACATTCTGCGTGGTCGATTCAAGTCCCCTAAGTCATCATGAGGAACTTTCAAATCAGTGCTTTATGCGTCAGATTTGAGACGCCCTATATTAGATCTCACCCGCCCGAATGGACGGTTATGATTGACTTTCCCTCTTCCCTAGGTCATTACTGAGGGATTCCAATCGACACCTCTTGCGCCGGATTCGAGGCGATCTACTTTGAATCTCGTTCGTTCGAATAGACGGTCACGATCGAATTCTTCTCCTTTCTTTCTCCTATAAGTATCCGACTTCTGCGAATTTTCAAAATTTTTTCCTCTTCTTCACCTCTGTGCTCTCCTTGTCTTTATTTTCCTCCGGCGACTTTTGCTTTTCCGAGAACTAAGCTCTTTCCGTCCCGTGCTCGTTTCCTTCTTCGGCAAAGGTACTCCATCTTTACCCTGCTTTTTATTGTCCTTAACCTATGTCTTCCAATTCCCCCGACCCTTTTGGTCAGAGAGTACCTTCCAGAGAGGGAGATGAATACCCTACCCTTACTCTCTCTTCTTCTTCGGAGGAAGGGCCCTTCTTTTCCCCTTCGGGAAACTTATTGAAAAAATCTAAGAAAAATGGGAGAGATGACACTCTATCCTCTGCGAGGAGTGGCTCTCCTTCATTGTCTGGGGGGCGCGATATAGATGACCAGTGGGGGCCCAGTACTTTGAGCGAGGTAGACTTAGACAATTTAGTTCGTGATATAGGTCTTCCTACTGACATCGAACTAATATTACCCTCTCGAGATCAGCGTCCCTTGAACCCACCCCCGGGTTTCAGCACCTGGTTCTCGGAACAATTCTATTTCGGTCTTTCTTTTCCCATCTCGTCCTGGTTTTCCGAGATTGCGCAATTGTGCAACGTATCCCTCAATCAGTTTCATCCCCATGCTATAGTCGTCATGACTGGGTTCCGCATGCTTTGCGTCTGGTCGGGCGTGACCCCTACTCCAGCTCGATTTCGGAGTGTGATGGTCTTAAAAAATTCCAGTCCTTTCCACGTCTCTATCTCGGCTCGCCCGGGTTTCAAAATATTAATGCCGCCCAACAAGACTGATGGGTGGCAGGGTCACTACTTTTTTGCGAAAAACCCCGCTGATACCCCTTACTTATGTCCTTGGTTCGCAACCTTACCCGACAAGCGGAGGGGAAAACCCTTGGCGATTGATGAGTGGCTTTTGAAAATGATTGTTCATTTTCAACCGAGTTACGGTATGCCTGAGACTCTTACAAGCTTTCCACCGGTACTTCGCCATTTCTACTTTCATGACAACGGCACTCATCCCTTAACCCAAGAGGATTTAGGTGGGTTTAAACATGATATTAATTTTCTGTATCAGCTCGTCACTCATTTCGGGCTGTAGCTCTTTATTTGATTGTACCTTATGCTTGTCGGTATATTGTCTGCTTGCTCACCATATTTTCCTTAATCCAACGAACAGACTTAAGGATGAAAAGGATGTTCCGAGGTGATAAGCCGGCGACTCGCCCATCCGAATCGGAGCCGGAGTTTCAGGCGTCCGAATTTCAGCGCCCTGTGGCCGCTGAATCCGAGAAACGATCCTCTGAAGAAGGGGCTCTAAGGCAAAGGCCTTCTAAGAAGAGTGTTGGGGCTGCGCGTCCCCGAGGTAGCCCACGAGTTGAGGATCCCGAGCTTCCTCGCCGATCTTCGGCCATAGTTGCAGTCCCTTCCCCGCCACCTTCCTCGGCCGAAGAACAGGTGGAAAAAGAGCCCACCACAAAAAAGAGAAGGACTGATCTAGCCCTTGGGTTAGTTGGGTCGACTCCTGGGCAGACCGGGTCAGCTTCGGGGCAAGTTGGGTCATCTCTGCCTCCGAACTTTGCACTTCACCTCTGCCAGAACGCAGAGAACGCCATTGCTGCTTGCCGAGCTATGGCGCTTCCCCGAGACGTTGCTCACTTCGGGCAAATGAGCAAGGGTGATCGGCTCGAGTTGCTTCTTCATAACATAACGCAGGTTTGTTTTATCTTGCATACATGAATTAGCTTTTACGTTTCTTAGCCACAATTGGTTTTACTTAAGTCCCCTATATGTGTAGCAATTTGCGATCGCCTTCTCGGGCCCTTTGGGGTGGGATGACGTCTCTCGTGAGGCATACGATAATCAAAAGAAGGAGGTCGGCCAGCTCCGAAAAGAGGTCCGAGGTCTGAAGGAGAGTCTGGCGGTGTCTGAGTCGGCGAAGGAGGGACTGTTTGCCGAGGTGAGGAGGCTACAAGAGAGGGAGAAGATTCTACAAGCAGAGAAAGACTCTTTAGTATCTCATAATGCGAGCTTAGAGGAAAAAGCTAAAGGGCTTTCCAACGAGCTATTTGCGGCTGGGAAGCAGGCATCTTCTAACTTCACCGAGGGAGTGAAGGAAGGCCACAGGCTGTTCCCGGGTTCCTCCGAGGGTCTGCGCTTCATGGAGGCGTTCGTCGGTCGTTTTTTCAACCGGCTCTAGCGTTCCACAACATTTACCCGACAAGCGTCCGGCCTAGCTCGCTTCTTTTTCTCGGAAGCGGTGAAAGCTGTTCGGAAGCGATTAAACGGTGCTGGCATCGAGTTCCCATTGGTCGAGAACGATCTTGCCGAGGACTTGCCGGATGATGTGATCCCGGGTTTCGAAGGCGACGTGAATGAAGACCCTGACTTAGAGTGGTGGAGGGAGGTACATCGGGAGCTTGTTGTAGACTTCTCTCGCCAGGGAAGCTCTTCGGTGTTCATCACCGAATTGGTTGGGGATGTTGAGACTATCGATGCAATGGCGAACCTCAACAGGGTGCCGTCAGACCTTGCCTCCTCTCCTCTCCTATCTGTCGGGATCAAGCCGGAGCCGGGGTGGAGTCGCCGAAAAATACTTAGCCGATTTTAGCTGTTTCCCATTAATGTACTATGTACTTGTATGTGTTTGAACAATTTTTCTCTGCTCTCCTTATATCGATATATCAGGAGTTCGTTTGTTTAAGTATTGCCTTTCGTATTTACCTTGAGTTTATGATATTCTGATTTTTGTGCATCCAAGAGTAATTCTTTAGACTTAGCAACTTTTCCTTGTATTCGAACTGAACCGATGACTTCTTAGATTTGTATCGATGATTATCCCATGATTTCATCAACCCGGGACTTACCCTGATTTTGGCAAGCCTCTTTGATTTTAGCGCAATATTTTGCTTTCATTCCAATTTAACTCGCCTCGGTAAAACACGCGAGCTAACGCCACAGTAAAACACGCGATTTAACGCTACAATGAAACACGCGATTTAACGCCATGATGAAACACGCGATTTAACGCCACAGTAAAACACGCGATTTAACGCCACGATGAAACACGCGATTTAACGCCACAATGAAACACGCGATTTAACGCCACAATGAACCACGCGATTTAACGCCACAATGAAACACGCGATTTAACGCCACAATGAAACACGAGATTTAACGCCACAATGAAACACGCGATTTAACGCCACAACAAAACACACGATTTAACGCCACAATGAAACACGCGATTTAACGCCACAATGAAACACGCGATTTAACGCCACAATAAAACACGCGATTTAACGCCACAATAAAACACGCGATTTAACGCCACAGTTATAACTTAAGTAAATAACACAAGGGTTTTTTAACGTGGAAACCCTCCAAATGAGGAGAGAAAAAACCACGGGGCCTAGCCCAGATCGGAAAATGGATGTTTATTGATGGTTTTTGTATGTACAAGGTATGTCATTTCTAGATTTCGCTGACTAACTTCCTCTGTCTCCTCTTTTTTTTTTTTTTTTTAAGCGAAGAAGCGCTTCAGATGTATTATGTTCCAGGCTCGTGGCAACGGCTTTCCTTCTACATCTACCAGCTCGTATCCCCCACCGGCCAAACATTTTGTGACCATGTATGGTCCTTCCCAATTGGCCTCTAACTTTCCTGTGTGCTTTAGTGCGTCAGCTCGTCGTAAGACGAGATCACCGATCTGGAACGAACGAGGCCGTACCCCTTGATCGTATCGAGCTTTGATCAGGTTCTTATTTCGTTCCATGTGTAGATACGCCGCTTCTCGTAGATCAAAAACCTCATCCAGCTGTGTCCTTAAGGCATCATCGTTTGTCTTTTCATCAAATGTGGCAATGCGGAGTGTGTCCATTGCCACCTCGACCGGGATGACAGCTTCGGTTCCGTAGGTTAACCGAAATGGTGTCTCGCCAGTAGCTGCTTTGGCCGTTGTTCCGTAAGACCAAAGGACTGAGGGAAGCTCGTCTACCCAGCTGCCCCCTAGCTCGTCTAGTCTCTTCTTCAAACCGTTGACAATGGTCCGGTTTGTGGATTCTACTTGGCCATTGGCCTGGGGGTGCGCTACCGCCACAAATTTCTGTGTTATCTTCATTTCTTCGCACCATGAGCGAATCTTCTTACCGTTGAATTGAGTGCCATTATCCGATACGATGCTTCGAGGCAGGCCAAAACGACAACAGATGTTCTTCCAGATGAAGTGCATGACCTCGTCCTCTGATATTTTTGATAAGGCCTCAGCTTCGACCCACTTAGTAAAGTAGTCTACCGCGACAATGATGAACTTTTTCCGGCCAGTGGTTTGAGGGAATGGTCCCACCAGGTCAATCCCCCATTGGGCAAAAGGACATGGGGCACTCATGATAATCATCTCCTCCCCCGGTTTATGGATAAGTGGGGCATATTTTTGGCATTGTGCGCAGTGTTGAACGTATCGGTGTGTATCTTTTTTCATACCGGGCCAATAATACCCTGCCCGATATAACTTCTGTATGAGGGCCCGAGCTCCTCCGTGCTCACCGCAGCCACCTCGGTGAACTTCGTCAAGGACATGTTTAGCCTCCTGCTTTCCCAAGCACCTCGCATCTATTGTAGCGAAATTCCTTTTATATAATATCTCGTGCCGCACGTAAAAGTGCCTCGCTTTATACGCCAAGCGGTGTTGTTCCCTTCTTGTGCCAGTTCGCTCCCCTCTGAAATACTTGAATAGAGGTGTTCTCCAGTCAAGCTCTTCTTCGATCATCATGATTCCTGATGTCGGACTAGGGGCAATGAGGATGGTGATTTTTCTTTCAACACAGTCAGCGACTGAAGACCCAATTTTAGCGAGGAAGTCAGCTCGTTGGTTGTCGCTCCTCGGGAGTTGATGCACCGTGCAGGCTTCGAAGGTTTCTTGTACTGCTCGAGCTTTATTCACATACCCCTTCATTCTCTCATTTTTTTACTTCGTAATCCCCTTCGAGTTGGTGTATCACCAATTGTGAGTCGGAGTATATTCGTACCACTCGCGCTCCGAGCTCCTGAGCGATCTCCATACCTCGGATGAAGGCCTCGTATTCTGCTTCATTATTAGAAACTCGGGGTAATTTGACGGCAAACTCGACCTCCGTTCCTGTTGGATCAATGACTATTATTCCTGCCCCTGCTCCTGTTGCCGTAGATGACCCATCCACGTAAATTTTCCACTCCTTTTCGATAGGTATTCTGGTAGTCTCCCGGATGAAATCTACCAGTGCCTGTCCTTTGACCGAGGTACGGGGTTGATACTGAATCTCGTATTGTCCTAATTCGATGGCCCATTTAACGATTCGTCCTGACGCAGTAGGTTGGCCTAGGGTTTGCCGAAGTGGTAGACTTGTACGAATTACCATGGTATGCGATAGGAAGTAAGGCCGGAGTCGCCGCGTAGTGAGGACCAGTGCATACGCTATTTTTTCGACTTCAGAATATTTGCTTTCCGACGTAGTAAGGATTTTGCTAGTATAGTAGATCGGCTTTTGCTGGTTATTCACCTCTTTGAACAAGACCGAGCTGATTGATTCGTCGCCTACCAACAGGTATACGAACAGAGTTTCACCCTTTTCAGGAGTGCTAAGAATCGGCAGACAAGTGAGGGATCGTTTTAATGCGTCGAATGCGAGCTGGCACTCGATAGTCCATTCGAACTGAGCTGTTTTTCTCAATATTTTAAAGAAAGGTAGACTCTTATCCGCCATCCGTGATATAAACCGAGCTAGGGCTACTACCTTCCCTGCTAAGGATTGAACTTCTTTGATGGAGCGAGGGGGTGTCATCTGGAGTACAGCCTCAACCTTATCCTGGTTCACTTTAATACCTTCTTGATTAACGACATATCCCAGGAACTTTCCAGCTTGTACTGCAAATGCACACTTCGCGGGGTTCAATTTCATTCCGTATAGACGAAGGGTGGCAAAGGTCTCGGCCAGATCCGCGAGGTGCGTGGAACGCCTTTTGCTCTTAACTAGCATGTCATCAACGTAGACTTCGATGTTGTGTCCGAGTTGAGCCCGAAACATTCTATCCATCAGTCGCTGATACGTGGCCCCTGCATTTTTCAAACCGAAAGGCATTACCACGTAACAGTAAGTACCCGTGGCTGTGACAAAACTCACTGCTGGCTGATCCTTTTCGTCTAGCGGAATCTGATGGTACCCTTGCGAAGCATCCATCATACTAAGTAGTTCGCACCCGGCAGTGGCATCTACAAGTTGATCTATGCGGGGTAAGGGATAATCGTCCTTTGGGCAAGCCTTGTTTAGGTCCCTGAAATCAATGCACATTCGCCACTGGCCGTTAGCTTTCTGTACTAATACTGCGTTGGACAGCCATGTGGGGAATTGGATTTCCTTGATATGTCCGATGTCCAGAAGTCGCTGAACTTCCTTTTGTATGATTTCGTCTTTTTCGGTACCGAAGTGCCGCCGTTTTTGTTTGACGGGTCTGCACTCAGGTCGCAAATTGAGCCTGTGCACAACAGTACGAGGTGAGATACCGGTTAAGTCACTTGGTTGCCACGCGAAGATGTCTTCATTGGATTGTAATAACGCTATCAGCTCGTCTCGGAGAGGTTCCTCTACTTTCTGTTGTCGAGCTTCTTCAAGATTAATGAATCTGGATGCTCGTTCCAACAAATTGTCGAAATCAGGTGAAGGTTCCAGCGCCAGGGCTCGAAAGAACTCATCATCCCTTAATCCTTGTGAAAGAGCTGCCATAAGCACCTCGTCGCTCGTGGTGGGGACCTCCAGCGTGGCCGAAGTGAACCGTTTGATATAGTTCCGCAGACTTTCTTTCTCTTTCTGGCGGATGCTGAACAGTGACAGCGAGGTCTTTTTGCACTTCTTTGAACTAGCGAATTGATTCATGAAGGCCTTAGCAAACTGTCCAAAAGAATGTATACTCCCTGGCAACAACAAACCGAACCAGGCCTGGGCCGGCCCAGCTAAAGTGGTGACGAAGGCGCGGCACTTCACCCCCTCCGTGAGCTGGTGGAGCGATGCTGTGTTGTTGAACCGACTCAAGTGCTCGGCTGGATCTGACGTGCCGTTATACTCGAACAGGATTGGTCGGTAATTAGCCGGTATGGGGTCGTCATGGAGATGCTTGGCGAAAGGGCCAGATCCCGCGAGATCTCGCGTTGGCCCACTTCGCAGGGCCTTCAGCTCATCTATATCGCGCCTTAAGCTGTCAACTTCCGTTCTGACGCCATGACTGTTGCCTCCTCGATTCTCCGAATAGCTATCGCACTCATCCTCAGCTCGCCCTTCATTCTGGGAGCGTCTGAGATCTCTCTTGGGCCGGTTATCTTGAGGTAAATTTTGCGTGTAATTCCGGATGGCCGTAGTGATCATGGCTTCTACTTCATCCCGGGTGTACGTACGCTCATCGGGGGATGGAGCCGGTGCTGTAGCTGGTCTCTTCGAAGCGGCTCCACCGCTCTGAAATTCGAAAGAAGGGCTTCCTGAAAAGAGGGGGATCCGTCTTTCTTTCTCGGGCGTGAGCAGGCTGCACCCTGACTTCTCCCTCAAGGCAGACGGCGGATCGACACCAGGTGTGTCATGAACTGCTGCATCCAGCTCCTTTTGTAGGTTTCGGGTGATCGTGCCTTCTTCTTTCATTTTTTCTCCACGTTCTTAGCTCAGATCTGGACTTCCGGGGGTAGATCTGATTTTTCCCGGAAGCTGTTTCCCGAAACTTCTAGATCTTTCCCACAAACGGCGCCACTTGATTTCGTCCGTGGGGCTTCCTTCTTCCTCAAGGTAGCTTGATCCGTACTCCGGTGACGATACCTGCAACGCCGGGAGGGGTTCCCGGCGGGAAAACTCCGACGATCAAGTCAGTGATCGGAGTAGAGGCAAAAACGTATATGCAATGTAATAATATTTTATGTATATTCTTATATCTGCGTGTGTTTAAAGATCCTACTATTTATAGATGAGGAAACCTTGGTTCACAAGGTTTTCTTTTTTAGGGTTTTCTCCTCCCTCAAGTCAAATATTCGGGCCTTCCCTTAATGGGCCTGTTTTGGGCCATGGTTATGTCGGGGTTCGAGTTATCATTCTGCCAGCTCGTTATCGAAGGTCGCCGTCCGGCATCAGGCCTTATAAGAACTTAACTTTCCTGAGCTTGCATTGTGCTTATCTCGTCATAATGACCCGTATCATTGTTGTTTTCTGATTCGAATACGTTATTTTGTTTCTTTGTCTATTGCACGAGTTCGCATTGAAATACAAGTATAGTCCGATCAAGTGGCATTTTCTATGTTGTGTATCGTTCGTTCTATATCAAACGTTTTTTTGCTATCTGTACGAGTTCGAATGGAAGTAGTAGTACAGTCTGAATTTCGTGAGCTTACTGATCGATTACGTATCCGAAAATTGAGTAGTGATATCTGCACGGTGATGTGAACTCAGAATTGCAGACATGTATACAGTTGCAATTCCGCGAATGCTTAATATATTTAGTAGCGCATTTTTTACAAGAGATGCAATATTTTCTGTTAGTGATTAATAACACCTTTTTTATTTACGACCTGCTAAACTGAATTAAGAAATGATTAGTGCGAAAAGTTGAACGGTATGAAGTATGGAGATAAAAAAAAGTTGTAAATTATCTGGCATTAGCACGATTAAGTCGCAATGTTGTAGAGCATTGCATGCTCTGTTGTGTATAGGTTTAGCAAATCCACCGATACTTGTTATTTATTTGTGTAGATTAGTACTAATTACTTGATTTTGGTGTTCAAACGAGTGTAAGCTGGAGTATGAGCATCTGAAAACTCCAGTTCTAGATTTGTTAATTGTTTGTCATTTCAATGACTGTATACAGTAGAACCTCGATAAATTAATACTCGATAAATTAATTACCTCGCTTTAATAATTTTTTTTTTCCGGTCCCGACTCGGTGTAAAAATACTAAACTATGAGTTCAATAATTTAATATTTTGCTAAATTAGAACCAGTAGATTGAGTGCGAGTGCATGCACGATCGTTTGGAAGCTGTACGTTCGTTGCATATATGGTGTAAACATTTCTATGTATTTTTTATGTATATATACAGATAATTGATATGTTTTTATTGCTAATAATAAAATATTAATACTTTTTTTCCTATCAATAAAATCTGATTTAATTTAATAATTGAGTAATGTCTTATACTTTATTTATTTAATATTTTGAATTTTTGGACATTTTTTTTTATTTTCCTTTCAATTCTCTTTTCAATTCCAATGTTTTCTCCAAATCATCGTAATTTTGGATGATATTAGTTTTTCATTTTGGTGATTTATTTCAAATTTCGAATCGTGTTCTACAGTAACTTGAACCTCAATGGGTAAAAAAAACATCACAGTTATATTCTTCCTTGATAATATAACCAATTCATGAGCTGATACTGAGTATTTTTTAATATCATATCTATTTTAATATTTAAAAAAAAATCTTATTTATGTTTAAATATGTTGGAAGAAAATTGTTTCGAAAGAAAATTCAAAATTTTGAAAAATAAAGTAATATTTATCTGAATAATAGTAAATGCAAATTATTGAAAGTTATGCGATTAAACAAAAAATTGAAATTATAGTCAGTAAAAAACATAATATAAATATATAATAACATGACTATTAAAATTCAAATATTGAAATTTATGCGATTTTAGGATTAATGAAAGACTCACAAAGTTCGTCTCCATCTCAACGTAAAGCGAGTAATAACGTTTTCCTCTGTCATCCAAATCTCCTCCCGACAAGTCTCCACACGTTTTCCTATGTCCTCCAAATCTCCTTCCGACAAGTCTCCACTTTTTCTCTGAGACGGAATAGACGAAAAATGACAATCCAATCTCAAACTCTTCACCGCAACAGGTTTATTACAACCATTGTCTTGTACCATAATGTTTTCTAGGATTACGTCATTGCCGCGATATTGAATAATAATACTCAGAGATTTTTTTTCCCTACCTTTTGAAAGGAGGATAGTTACTAGTTCTCCAATTCCTGGTGTCTTGAACCCATGACCAAATGGTCAGGGGCGGAACCAGGATAAAAATGTAGGGGGGGCTAACTAAAATTTCGGGGACCGGGGCGGAGCCCCGAAAAAAAATTTAGGTTCACAATACATTGCAAAAATAAGTTTATATTGATATGTTTTAATTAAAATGTTATATATATTATAATTTTATCGTATTTTAAGCATGACAAAAAAATCTAAATTAATTCAAATTATTCTAATATTAATGTATCGTACTTAATATTTTGGGGATTCATGGCATCGTCTCATATTAATTTTTAGAGTTATTGATAAAAAAATTCAAAAATAAGTAAATAGTCATAAATTTTATTTCAAATAATACAAGTTTTCACCATTTTATTATATATATATATATATATATATATATATATATATATATATATATATATATATATATATATATATATATATATATATATATATATATATATATATATATATATATATATATATATATATATATATATATAAATTAAGGACTAACATATATATTTGCAAAAACTTTAGGGGGCCAAAAGTAATATTAAAAAAATACAGTACCAAAATACCTAATTTTTTTTTTTTTTTTAAAATCTTGGGGGGTCAACAGCCCCCCCTTGCCCCTATTAAGTTCCGCCAGTGCAAATGGTCCAAGGTGCAAGGTGCTTACCAACAGGGCTACCTTGTCGTGACTAATACTAGAGAAATTAAAGATTGGCTCAATGACTCGAGCAATTCTTTTAGCTTGAGGAACCACGAAGAAGCATCGTTTGAACGGAGATATATTAGGTCTATACATGACTTCTCCCATTCATCGGAAGTGGTTGCAAAAGAGATGGACGGTACAAAGTCTCCGCTGTATTCAAAATAGTTTATGCTTGGGGCGTCAATAAATAGCTGGATTCCGTTGAGTCATTTGCACAAGATAAATTTCAAGGTTCAAAGACTTGGGAATCTGCACGACGACAAGTGGTCAAATGAAGACTTCGCCTCGAGCAAAGATAAATGGTTTAGATTACAAAAGTCAGCTTCTTTGTGGAACGAAATGTTGCCGTAACTAATATTGATGGTTTGAATAGACGGGGAATGGATTTCGATGCTACAAGGTTCAACGGGAAAGGTGAGATCATAGTACATCCGAAAAGTGAAGTTCTTGAGATTGTAAATATCATTTGCCTTGAATTTTCTCAACCTTTTACATTTTGTGAGATCCAAAGTTTCAATCAAATGGACAACACGCGATTATCTTCTAAAAAATCTCGTCCTTGATCGAGACTCGTCGGAGGCGGAGTGTTTTTAGATTCTTGACGTGTACTATCCTTTGAATAGACCTTTTGTTCAACTTGAATCTATGCACGTGCAGTTCTTGGAGAGATTCACACCTCCAAAGACGATAGAGGGCGGTTTAGCAAGTCTCTGACCTTGCTCCGAATGAATAGAAAGACAAAACTTCTTCGTACCCATATTTGCGAGTGTTAGGTTCCATTTTTCGAGAAGCGGAACCAACTCGTGATCCGAATAATAATCGCCTAGCATCAATATGCAAAGGCGAAATTCCTCCACACACAACCTTCGGTCACAGTATCGCTGTAAAGTCTTGTCCCCAACCGATAAAAAATCTTGTTTGCTACCTTTGAATGATAGTGATATAAGCAATTTTTTTTGAAAATCTAAGCAATTTTAAATGATATATTCGAATCAAATATTTTTCTAAATTATTAAATAATTTTCTCATAAAAAAATTATAAGTAAAAAGACAATTTTAGTGGGAAAAAATACATAGATTTTGGACCAAAAAATTTGGTTGCTCTGACGAATTTATTAAACTTGATTATATTAAATGAAATTAAAAAATAAAATTAATTAATTAAATAAATATCAATTATAAATATTTCCTAGGTTTTATTTTCACTGATAATCCCATATAAAAGTTATATATAAATAATTATAAAAAAAATTAAAAATCGAAAACACCCGGTCTGATCCCGGTTGAACGGGTCCAACCGTCTTGGGTACTACACTCTACAGCTGAAATTTCGGGCGTGCACCACAACCCACAATGGCGCGAGCACTCGTAAGCCCAACACTCCATCCTCCGGTCATCCGAACCCCGTCTTTCCGGCGCCTTCACCAACTTCCGACGCCGTTAAATCCTCAACCGTCCGCCGTCAATTCGAATGCAGCGCCGCCTCTTCTCTGGAAACTCCGTCCAGTTCCTACAATACGCCGCGGCATTAGAGCAAGCGCGGAGCCCCATCAGGTTTTCCCTCCTTTTCCATATCTTAAAATTAGGTTTTCATTTCAGCTGGCTGTGTTAGAAATTAGAACATCCTTTTGGTGTTGCTTCAGGGAAATGGCGATGGAGAAAACCGCCGACTTCCGCAAGCTCTGAGTTCAAATTGGCCGAAATCATTTGCGAAATTCGCGGCTGATAATTTTCTGCCATTAGGTGTGGTAGAGGTGCATATAGCAGAAGCTCGATAAATTAATACTCGATAAATTAATAACCTGGATTAAATAATAGTTTCTCTCTGTCCTGACTCGGTGCAAACGTGTTAAATTATTAACTCGATAATTTAATAATTCGCTAAATTAATAGGATTTAACTGTATATTACTTGTTGAATTTTTTCAACTAAATTGTTTAATCCTGCAATTTTGTGATTGTCTAAATTAGAAACTGGCTGGTTTTATTTTCTTATATGAAGGGCATTATCTCTTGTTTTGTATCAAAAGCGTGATTTTTCTTTCCGTTGTTCGTATACTAAAGCATTTTTTTCCATGGCTTGACGAACACGATATCAAAATGTATTGAATGTCCTTCATCTAAATGCCAATTTCCTTTTAAAGAGACGTAGAATTTGAAACTATTATTCGAACTGTTTTCGTATAAAAAGCTAGATCTATTAGAGAAGTGGCACGGTCTTCATAGAGGTGTGCACATACATTAAGGATTAATTTGTTACCAATTTATTCTTTTTTAGTTTTCGGGCAGATATGTTCTGTGTACTGACCTGTATACGCATCGTTGTGGTTGCAGCTCTTGTCTCTGGAGTGGTGTTAGGTCTTGTGAATCCTAGCCTTGGTTGTCTTGCTGATACATATTACCTATCAAAATTTAGCACTTTTGGGATATTTGTAATATCAGGTTAGTTTTTTTGTGGTATTAATTATCTTATAATTTAGTTTCTTGTGAATAATATGCTAGCTTTCAAGCTTTGAACTTAGAAGTTTTCGTACTAAGTTTTTGTCTCTATTTTTCGTTATACAGGACTGACTCTTCGCAGTGATGAAATTGGTGCTGCTGCTGAAGCATGGCCAGTTGGACTCTTTGGGCTGGTATGATTTTGCACTGTTGTTCTCATTTTTTTTTTCATCTGTTGTTTCGTAATTCTTTTTTCGTCCATATCTCGACATGCTATTGTCACAATGTTGTCTGATGCTTCTTATACATTTGTTTTCTGAATCTCTCAACTCTCAAATTCCTATGGGACACTTACTTTCTACACTTTATTGTAATGCAGGCTTCAATATTACTTTTCACTCCGTTATTTTCAAAAGTCATTTTGCTGCTCAAGCTCCAGCCACAAGAATTTGTCACAGGTTTAAAAATTGTGCTCTGATATTGCAACGTATATTTTCACGAGTCATCTTTTTGGATCAAAATGAGAGGATTTCTGAGGGTGATTAAGTATTGCGGGAAGGGGTTTCTTTGGTAAGATTAGGAAGGTCGGCACTGTTTCTATGCTCATTATACTTAAAAAGCAGACTATTGTTTTCAGTTCCTATTTCTTTCTAGTCCCATGGTTTTGTAGCCTTCTGAAGTGAGCCAAACTTTTTGTTCCTCTTTCTTATAGACACACATACATGCACTTGTGTTTCCACTCCAGTAATTTTTTAGCCTATTCTCTTTTCTCTGAGAGTGCAGGTCTCTCTCCCTCTCTCTCTGCCAGTTTCTGTTTGACCTGTTAGACTTATGGTTTCTGCAGGACTTGCTATATTTAGCTGTATGCCTACCACATTATCTAGTGGAGTGGCGTTAACTCGGGTAAAATAATTGTTGTGATATTTCTAATGAGCAACTTATGATTTCTCACACCAGAAAAGATGTTGCTGTTAGTTTGACTGCAGGTTTGATTTGATGAAACACAGTTAGCTGGAGGGAACTCTGCTCTTGCTCTTGCGATGACTGTCATATCCAATTTATTAGGGATTTTAATTGTAAGTTCTTACGTTGGACTCTCTGCATCACAATTCTTTCTGCATAAAACTGACACCATATGTTGCACAATGGCATTACGCCGACAACTTGTGCGTCAAATGTGAAAGTAGCTGGTCAATGTTGATGTATGGCGAATTAATTTTTTAAGCATCATTTTTTTTATCAAATCATGAATTCTTTTACAACCTTAGATAAATAAAATTGTAGCTCCGAGGAGTGCAATTTGTGAATTTATTTTTGTCCTTTTAGTTCCTTCATTTGTCCCTGAACTGGACAAGATATAGATGACTATCCTCTGCGAATTCAATTTGCATGGATATCGGTGAACAATTTTTTGCCTAGAAATAGTAATGAGACATTAACTAATTTGTGTATCAGTGGACCAAGATTTTGTATCCACTATGATTTTGAAAGGCATACTTAAATTTTGCATGGCAGATACCTTTTTCAATCTCGAAACTCATAGGTGCTGGAGTTGGAGTATCAGTTCCAGCCGAACGATTGTTGAGAAGCCTTGTTCTCACACTTTTAGTTCCTCTCATACTGGGAAAGGTGACTTTCTTCACCGGTCTTATTACTCTATGTTTACCTCAGAATGTCCTTGTCTATTATTTCTTACATCAGGGTATAATTTTTTTGTAAGAACGTTTGGTGCGAAGTAGCGTATAGGATGTCCTAAAACTTGTTAGTGAATAATGAAGAGTAATCGATTATCCCTACTTGGCTGAAAACTTACAGAAGTATTTAATTAAGGTGCTTAAGATGCTGACTGAGGTTTCACAAATTTATAGTCTGGAAGAGCACTACACTATGCATGACAATCGTCCTTGTCAGTTAAAGCACGATTTTAAATGGCCAACCATTTTTTTTCCTTGAATCATTTTCTTGTTTGAATATGCTTTATATTTGTACAGTTGTAGAGAATTTCTTCTTTTTTCAAGTTCTACGACAGTCACTAAAATATGGTGCAAAATTATTAGAAAGGAAAAATATCTAACAAGATCATGTGTGAGAAATATCGAGTATTTTATTGTGATATCGTTTGGTCACAGCTGTAACATTAGCAACGAGCAAATTGTTTCAAAATGTTCTCCAACAAGAAATATTGCATAAAGATTTCCTTTCGTGCAAGTGCTCTTATATAATATCTAATGCTTTCGTATTGTTCTTTCTTTCTCTCTCTCAATCGACAGGTTGCTCGAGAACTCTCCAGAGGTGAGACACGACTAGATGTCTTTTGATGATGCTTAGCACAATGAATTTATCTTTATTTTGGTAACATGCCTAATACTGGTTTATTCCCGTCAAAACATTATAAGATAGTTTCTGCTGACGCATATATCAATGCATATGAAGTGTTCGGGGAAGGTTTGCTAAACTTAATGTGCTAATATTAGGACGAGTACAGATTTCTCTACGCAGTTTGCAAGTTGGTTTTATACAAAATTATTAATTGTAATGGTAATCAATGTTTCGTTATATGCTTTCAGAGTTTTAAGTTATTTTGTTATACTTAACAATTAGACAGCCAATCACATATAATTAAACAAATTTGGAAGACGTGGCTACATAATTCTGCTATTCTCTGTATTTTAGCGTAAGAGTTTTAGTTGTGCACAGTGAATCCTGTATAAATTAAGTCGTTTCGTAATTGAAGTTAATGCAGGGTTAAAGCTTTGAAATTGAACTCATAGGATGGTTATTAAATAACATTATGTTGCTTTTATCACACATTACTGATATTGGTGGTGACTGTATTCTACCAATACGTTGCAGGGGTAGCAAACTTTGCAGATGGAAATCGTAAACTTCTGGCAATGATCAGCGCTATCTTCCTTAGTTTTGTAAGATCCACAGTTGACTTTTATTATCACGTTTCATTCGCATTTTCATTTTGCAGTGCAATAACCAAAGGCAGTTCTCTGATATCACTATTTTATGGTCTAATTGCGAAGGTACCGTGGATTCAAGTAAGCAGATCAAGGTCACTTTTGTTAATGGTGAAGCCATCAGTTTTTCTCGTGGCTGTCGTGATGGGAGCGTACGTTTTCTTTATTCTTTGTATCAATTTTCCTACTTTTTAAGGGTAAATTACACCCTCACCCCTGAGGTATATGCTAAAATAACTTTAAGGTCCCTATGATATCGATAATTACACTCACCCCCTTGAAACATAGTTAGAAACTCTAATTGGATAATTCATTGGATACGTTATTCCGATAGAGTTCTAACGGACTATTACTTTTAGCTAGTGGTGAAGACAACATAGAGTTTGTTGTCTCCACCACTTCCGGAAACTAATAGTCCGTTAAAACTCTATCGGACAAACGTATTCAATGCATTATCCCATTAGAGTTTCTAGCTATATGTTTCAAGGGGGTGAGTGTAATTATCGATACCACAGGGACCTTAAAGTTATTTAAGCATACCTCAGGGGTGTGGGTGTAATTTACCCTTTTTCAATGTTGACCAACTGTCCGTATCTATATCCAAAAGCACAAGTAATTGTTATCACCATGAAGATTGTCTAGAAAAAAGTCGATTTTTTTCTCGATCATTTGTAAGAGCTTCAGCATCAACTAACATACCTCGCTAACATGTTACAGGCTTCTGCATGCTGTCCTATTAGCTTTCAACGCTTTGCTCATTCCAAGTCTTTCGGCTTTATCTGGAGGTAGTAAATCACCTTTCGCCAAGAAAGAAAATGCCAATGCTCTTCTATTAGTCGCAAGCCAGGTGACAAAATTAAAGTGTCTTCACATTTACAAAGATATAAGTAAACAAATTAAACGGCAAAGAATATTTTTTTTGTCAACAGTATTGTTGATGGAGAATCTAGAGTATCCGTTGCTAAAAATATTTAAATGATTTTGTAGAAAACGTTGCCTGTGATGGTAGCAGTTGTCGAGCAACTTGGTGGTGCTTTAGGTGAATCCGGCTTACTCGTTCTTCCATGTGTAGCAGCTCATTTGAACCAGGTCAACTACTATTAGTCACATCTTATCTCATACTCGGTTTATTTTATAGCTTATACGAGTTTACGTTTTGTAGATTATCATCGACTCGTTTTTAGTGAGCATATGGAAACGAAAAGTGACTGAATTCGAAGATTCCAAGGTTGCGTAGAGCTAATTTAACATGCACCGAAGGGTACGTCTATCACATTAGCTGTGTCCATATATATGGTTTAACCATGACGTGACAGTACAAATAATCACTTTGTGAGGCCTTACGCATTTGTTTTGTATCTCTGCGTTTATTTATTAATGTTATTGGGCATAATGTTCCGAAACGCAAAGGTTTATTTCATCGGCATTATTTTCGTCTGAAGAACTACACAGCAAGTGCTGGTAATGGTAAATGTAAGTTAATGATGAAAACAAATTTTCGAGAAAATGTGATGTTCCGTTTGATGCAATGAACATTTTCGATGGCATGAGAATGTTACATGAAATTTGGCATTAGCGAAGTCTTTTAGATCGTAAATTACACTTACCTTGTACCGAGGTTGTGTAATTATAGTTAGATCCCATAGTCCATAGAGATTGGAAAGTTGCGCATAGTTAGTTTGTGTTCTGGGAGTAACAAGCAGAACTATATAGTTCATGGGGCAGGTTTCATTTTACTCTAATGAAAATGACTTTCTTACCCTTCAAAGAAAGTACATGATATGGTACTTTAATATTTCTTTGAAGCGTAAGTTGTTACGAACCTGCAAGTTTAACTAGCTCGTAGAAAATGTTTTTGTTTCGTTTTGTTTCTTTGTCGTAGCTGTTCAAGTTAAAAGGGTTTTGTTTGAAATCTTAGTTTGATTCCCGGTTGAATTAAGCTCGAAAGCGTTTTAATCAAGTCAGATAGAAAGCAAGGTCGAGTAGCTTATTTTTTTCTATACTCGAGTGCAGTTTTGGCGAAAAACGAAAATCAAAGATATACAAAGGCATGAAAAACGAAACAGGAATTACAACAATTTTCCCAACAAACGGCTACTAAATGTAATAACCGTACGCATAATTGCAACTGTATACCATCGAAATTTGAAACAAATCGCTAAAGTGAAAAACGAAAATCAAAGATACAATGGGATGAAAAACGAAATTGAGGAATTACAACAATTATTCCGACAAACGGCTCCCAACAGAAGGCGATAGAATGCTCCCGACGAATGGCCATGCCTCGTCATATACCACCGTGTGTGGACCGGCATCGATAACAGCATCTCTCAAACTCAACTCGTTGAAATTGTAAACTTGCAACTTATTCAACGAACTCAACAACATCTCGTCATCTTTAATAGAACACAGCGGTTTCAAATTCTTTCCAAAAAAATCACCAAAAAAAGTATACTTTGTCCACGACTCAGCCACCTCGTATTGTTTCATAATCCAGATGTCATTCTTGGAATCGCACTTCGATTCCACTATACACAGCCAGCCTTCGAAAACAACGAGTTTACATTGCCATATAATTCTATTCAAACTTATTCCACTCGGAAGAGGTATTTCTTTGAATGCCTCACTTGCCAAATCGAAGGCGGCGATCGTGCTATAGCCGTCTCCTGCTTCGACAGTTTTCTCCACGAGCCAATGTATCTTCCCATTCAAGTATGCGGAGTGACTGTATCGAGAAGGAGACGGAATGAACGGGGAGTCTTCCACGCGTTTCCAAACACGCTGTTTCACATTATAAACTTCGACAGCCATTTTCGATTTCTCTACAAAAGGCATAGAATATCGTGCCTCCACAATTTTATACTCGTCGTTCCAAGGATCGTAACCGAAGCCATACTTGTGGGTCCGTATTCGATTTTCCGTCGCCGGTGGTACTTCTAAGATCTCCACGGTGACCGGATTGATCAAGAAGACCCGACATTCGAATGTCTGCAACAAGATCAACCCGTCGCAAGAACCCAGAATTTTGAACCAACCATGCGACGGCTTGAAATCAATTGTTCTTGAAACGGCATTCAACTGAATCTTGTCGATTGTTTTGATGATTTCACGGGGTCGGGTGATGAAAATTACACTTTGTTCGTCCGGTTTTCGATGAAGCTGGGAATTGACGGAATTGAGGAAGTATGTAGTGGAGAATATTCTCGACCATAGTTTAGATAAACACCTGAACCTGCAAATCGATTTTGCAGGGAGTCTTGAAAAAATATTGAGCATGATATCATGAGGAATAGTGGTGTTCGCCGCCATTGTTGGGGAGAGAGAGAGGGAGAGAGAGAGGGAGAGAGAGAGAGCGCGTGTTTTTTGAGAATCCAGAGAGAGTTTTGAAGAAGGGGCTCATACAAATTTAATTTTATAAATCCATAATTTGTATTTATAACCCCTTATTTGCCTTTTTTTCGAATTGTTTTAATTGTAAAAAATAGGGTAAATTACAAACACCCCCCTGAGGTATGATCAAAATTACAAAAACACCCCTCTTGTTTGGATAATTACAACCACCCCTCAACTCCTCAAATTTAGTGGATTTTTCGAGATTATATGGAATATTATCACTTTTGTACCCGTTTTATCCTATTCAAACTCTACATTATGAAGCAAGATGATCATAATATGTGATTTTTAGCTTGTATATATCAGTTTGTGGTGCATCGGAAACTGCATTTTTACACAAAACGAGTACAAACTAGAGCACATTCCACGGAATCTAGATGATTATGTTGAAATTGGCACCATAAGGGTAGAGGTGTAAGAAAAAAATCATAGTTGAGGGGGGTAGTTGTAATTATCCAAACAAGAGGGGTGTTTTTGTAATTTGATCATACCTCAGGGGGTGTTTGTAATTTACCCTAAAAAATATCAATTTTTTACCTGTAAAATGTAATGCCACATGCTCATCACACGACCTCAAAGTGTGGAGAGAAGAGACGAAAATGACTCCGTTTACAAGTCAAATAGAAAGTCAAATTACATTAGGGTGCTCTTTGAACGATTAATCATGTTTCGAATGCAAAAAGTGTTAAAAAAAAAAAAAAAAAAAAATTGGAGGTGCAAAGTGCCAAAATATAGCATTTCGAGGGTGAGAAGTAGGATTAACCCTTTAGTTAATTTAATTATTTAAAGTTGATTATCACAAACTTATGTGATTCTTCTCAAAGTAACAACAGAAAGTATTTCTTACACTCATTTGATGAACATATCCAGTAACTTGAAGGAGCAAAAGGCAACAAATACGGCAAGTTACACACACCCATATGGATGTGTGTGTCGACGAACAGTAAATGTTAAACACAGTGTACTTTTACACGGTGTAGCATCTCAACCTTCGAATCCCCGTTAACCAGATCACAAAAAGAAAAAGAAAAATCAATTTTCCACATATTTAAGTCCAGCTATACCCAGTTTCCTTCTTCACTGTCTTCCCTTCAATTACTTTTCTAACTTCAGAAGCTTCACTCCACATTCCCAAATCAGAATAGATATTCGATAGCATAACCCGAGCAGATACATCGTCCAAATCAATACTCAAAATCTTCTCAGCAGCCAATACAGCCAAATCCAAGTCTTTACTATTCACACAACCAAACAAAAGACTCCGCCAAACCACTTTATTCTGTTCAACACGAGAACTCCTTATCAAATCATGAGCTTCTTTCGTTTGACCGTTCCGCGCATATAAACTGACCACGCATGCTAAATGGTCCGTTCTTGGAGCGATTCTAAAGTCTTTAGTCATCGAACCAAAACATTGCAATGCCGCCTCCAAATCTCCTACATGTCCGTACGCTGACAAAACTCCGACAAATGTGATGTCATTCGGCTTAACTCTGCACCTCAGCATGATGTCATAAATCTCTAGAGCTTCTCTTCCAAATCCATGTTGGGCGTAACCCGTTATCATGGAATTCCAAGAAACGAGATTCTTGATCGGAAGAAAGTCGAAAACTTTTCGAGCATTGTTAAGTTGACCGCACTTTGCGTACATATCTATAAGAGCACTTCCAACTACCACATTGGAATCTAATCCAGGTTTTATTACGCGGCAATGAGTTTGCTTGCCCCACTCAGCAGCTGGTAAATCGCCGCAAACGCTTAAAATACTAGAGTACGTGTAAATATTAGGGTCGAATCCGTCCAACAACATATTCTCGATAAACTTAATTGCTAATTCATAACGGCCATAGTTCAGAAACCCAGCTATTAAAGTGTTCCAACTAACAATATCGTGTACTTCCATTTCGCAGAATGTTTTGAACGACTCGTCGAGGCAACCTATTTTTGCGTAAAAGTCCGATGTTGCATTGGAAACTAAGGTAAAAGATTGAAATCCTAGTTTTATAATCAAACAGTGGATTTGTATACCGTGTCGGGTTTCTTTTTCCCTACCCAAGGCTCCGAGGACAGAAGCGAATGTCTGCTCGTTCGGTTTCAAACCTGCAAAAAGCATTTCTTGAAAAAGATCAATTGCTTCTCTGCATTTCCCCGTTTGCACGTACCCTCCAATTAGTGCAGTCCAAGCTGTCACATTCGGCTTATTCGCCTCTCTCAATGCTTTATTAGCTAACTCCAATTCGCCGCATTTTGCGTAGAAATTAACCAATGCGGTCACAACAAACTGATCCATTCGAACACCACATTTGAGCGCAATACACTGCAATTGCATTCCAACATTTAAAACCTCTAATGCAGCACAAATGCCTAATACACTCCCATAAAGGAACTCGTTAATCTCGACTCCCATTCTCATAAATTTAGAGAAAACTATCAAACCTTCCTCATTGTCACCTGACTGCGTATAGCTAGCAATAAGTGAAACGCAACTAACAATATTCGGCTCAGGCATCGTATCGAACACTAGCCTAGCTGACTCCAACGACCCGCATTTCCCGTAAAAGTTAATCAAAGAATTATTCACAAAGGTGTTCACAGTTTCTTCACTCCTATACATCTTTCCATGTATCTCTTTCCCGTTCCTCAAAGCCCCAACTTGAGCACAAGCTGAAATAGCAGCAACGAAAGTGTATTCATTCGGAGCAATCCCGTCATCAAGAACCATTAATTGGAAGCAACTCAAGGCTTTCTCCGAGAGACCCAATTGAGAATAAGCAGAGATAAGTGATGTCCAAGTGATGACGTTTCTCACGAGCATTTCGTCGAACAGTTTCTGGGCATAACCAATGTATCCGATTTTGGAGTACATTGAAAGCAAATGGTTGTTGGTCTGAACATCGCGATCCAGCCCAGATATGATAAGACGAGCATGAATCGCTTTGCCATTGAAGATTGATTTCTTCGCAGCAGATAATCGGATGATGCGAGAAAATGACATCCAGTAAGATGTTTCTTGTACATTGATAGTTACATTAATAGTTAATGTTAGACATATATATATATATATATATATATATATATGAGGAATTTTACCAAATTATCGTCCTTAACGGTTATCAACACTCAAAAAAATAAAGTTTTCAAAGTTAAAATGGATCGACAATCGAAATCTAATAAGTATTCCAGTTTTATTCCAGTAAAATCCGATGAAATAGAAAATTGGAACTTTCGGAATGAAAAATATTGCTCCCACGTTCGGACCTATGACATTTATTAGGGGGAGCAATCTTTTTTTGCTATAATACAATTACTAATTTATCGAGCTTCTGCTGTATGTATTTGTTATTAATTAATAATAAGTTATATATTAAGTAAAATCATACGCAATCATGTATAGTCTATACATGCATATGCGATGTATGTACTCATGACAACCTTGGGTTATTTTGCTTATACTCCAAATTTTGTTATCGTTTGAGCACGCCCGATTCTGAGGGGAGGCGACGTAGGCGGTCGTCTAGGGCCCCCGATATTTTTTTTTTTAATTTCGGGCCCCCAAATTTTTTATACCCTTTATATATTAGCATTTATCAAAAAAATTATATTATATATATAATTATTGAGAACCCAAATTCATAAATAATTATTAAATCAATGATTGTTATTTGTTTCTATAGTTTCTCTAATTATGGCCCCTAATTACTAAATTTATAATGTATTAGTTATTTATTTTTATATATATTAACTTGTTTAATGAGACTTAATGCAAATTGTTTTTTGAAAAAGTTCGGGGCGCTGCCCTCTACCCCGCAAACTTTAATTCCACTATATCACAAATTTCTACATTTGCCACTGATTATGTACCTTACAAAAACGAGTTAAGATAGAGTTTATCACATTTTTAGAAAAAAAATGAGTTTTATTGTAATTGTAGAAGGGCCCTATTTTTTAACGGTCTTTAAATCTCGCCTAGGGCCCCCAAAATCTCAGGAACGGGACTGCGTTTGAGAATACATATAACTTTGTGTTTATGTATGAGTTTATCATTTTGAAATACCTCTCATATTTGTTTTTTTAAGAACTATGGGTGGAAATTAGACAAATCGAATAACAATAAACCTTCAGAAAATTCTAAATTTTTTCTGAAAAATGAAATTTGATTCCGTTGATTTCAAAAATTGAAAATTTATTCCAATCTCGATTTTCTTTTTTTCAAAACAAAAAAATCATCGACATTGGAAGTATTCCAGAGATCTCAATTTCGGCCAAATTTTAATTTATGAATAAAATAAAATATTTTTTTCCTGAGATGTAACACTAATTCACACATTAGATATGAATTGAATTATTTTTCATGATCTTGTAATGTTTCAGGTACAATTCCGGAAGAGATCGGTAACCTTAACAACTTACGATCTTTAGGGTTGAGATCTAACAAGTTGACAGGGCCAATACCTCCAACCATTTTCGACATATCTTCCTTGAAATATATCGATTTATCAATCAACAATTTATCGGGAAGTTTTCCGGTCAACTTGTGCAAATATAGTCGGGTATTGCTTTATCTGCACGACAACATGTTCGACGGAAAAATACCATCCAAATTGGAAGCTTGTTCTAAACTTCAGGTGTTGTGGCTTTCATCCAACAGACTTATTGGACCATTGCCAACTCAAATCCGGAATTTGACATCGCTTCACACGTTGGACCTTAGCTCCAATTCTTTAACCGGTATGCTTCGAACTTCTTGAACATTTCATTCATCCGAAGCACAATGTAACTTATATACAGGCCATATTTGGAATTAGAGTTGTTAAGTAGTTCGTTTAGTGTGCAGTCGATGGCGGAGCCAGCATATAGTGTCAGGGGGCAATGGCCCCCCAACATTTTTATAATCACTATTATTTTATATAGAAATTTATAAATTCTCGTGTGTGATAGCATTATCAGCCCCCTCTCAAAAAAAAATTAATGCATTCGGCCCCACCGACGGTGGGGAAGCCAGTGTACCCCTCAATTTTTTTTTACTACTATATATGTATATATGATTTAGGCGGCCGTTATATGCAAGCCCCTTTTTTTATTAGTTCAAAACCACATAAAGAAGTTTATTAGTTCAAGCCCGTAAATTAATCTGATTTTATTACATCAAGACCAAAGATGACAGATACACCCTTATCCACAAATAATACTCAAATACAAATAAATCTTATTTTTAATTTGTTCAAGACCAAAAAAATAAAAAAAAACAAAAAAAAAAAACAAAAAAAAAAAAAACAAAAAAAAAAAAAAACAAAACAAAAAAGAAATATCACGATTGCCAAATATTAATATATGCTAAATATGTATGAATGAACATTAATCTATGCTTATTTCTTGTTGGATTGCAATGATTTGGCCGATTTTGGAAAAAAAATTGAGCTTGAAATTGGTTTTTTTTATTTTTTTTCGTGGGTTTCCCAAATCAGTTGATCCAGACCGATTTTGTATACGAAAATCGGCGTCATAATGCCGATTTTTGTTAACCAAATCGGCGACACAATGTCGACTTTACAAGTCAAAATCGGCGTTCTAATGTCGATTATTGAGTACAAAGTCGGTTTTCGAATACCGATATTTTTTGAATTTTTTTATAAATAATACATTATATATTTGATTAATTGATTTTTTTAAATATTTGAAACGAAAATGTTTATCACCATTCGGTGGCGTCTACCTCCTTTAACTCAATCGAGTAGAGCTTTCAGTGTCTCAAATATTTATTCGTTAGATAATTCATTTGAATAATCCTTCATCAATCCCCTAGGTTGATGCACGAAAGTATAAGAAAACGGTCTTAAAAAAACACAGATAATAAAATCGGTATTTTAAAACCGAATTTGTAGCAAGTCGGCATGACAATACCGATAATACAAAAACAAATCGGTGTTGTCATGCCGATTTTTACTACAAAAATCGGTTTTCAAGTACCGATTTTTAGTAAAATAATCGGAATGTGGTTACCGACTTTAGTAACAAAAATCGGTATTTACAGACCGATTTTTGGTATCGTCGACTTTTTTTTCCAAATAAAAAAAAACAACACAAAAGCAAAAATAAACAATGAAAACATATTTCATTGTGTTCTCCACCCTCGTAAACCACCATATTATTGTTTTCTGGTTCTATCGTGAATATTTGCTATGTATTTGATAATTTTGGTGTGTAGGATTTCTTGGTGGGTTTGTGAAGAAGAAGGAGGAGAGTTTTAAGTCGTGAAATAAGAAAGAGGGGTTTTGGATTTATGTATTTTATTTGGTCTTGCACAAAGGAAATAATTTTTTTTATTTTTTAATGCTTTGTATTTTTATTTGATTTTAAATTTCATTAAGGGTAAATTAGTATTTTATGTTGGAGGTCTTAAACTAATAAAAAAATGGCTTGCATATAACCGCCGCCTATGATTTATTGCCTCTATATTGTGCTTCTATAATTTTTAAAAATTAATTTCATATAAAGAATAAAAATTAAGTATTTTTATTTGAAGAAAACAAAGTAAAATAATAAACGAGTCGAACAAACAGTAAGGAAGTTATGAATTGAACGAGGGGCGAGTCCACCCTTGGTCAATGATGGAATCAAACCCAACCTCAGTTGAATCTTTTTTCCACTATACTACACCTATATATTTATTAAGCCCACCCAATTGTTATTATTTAGTTCACCCAAAACCCAAATTAATGCAAAAAACGTCGTACGTTTTACGTTTGTATTTTCCCATCTTCTAGTTTTGTCAAAAAAAAAAGTCCTAGTTTTTTTTTCCGGGGTTGCTGCTCTTAAACCCCTAAATGTTTAATATCGTCATGTAACAATATCCTACGTTCGCCACTCTTGAAACAATCATTGGTGTCATTAGGTTATATATATTATTTTTTATTTAAAATTTTTGTATATTCAACCCTCCTAGTGATGAATTCCTGACTTCGCCACTGTCCACTGACTTCAATTCCTGGCTCTGCTAGTGTATACGGTTGTATTCTGCACTTTGTTTCCAACAATAACGAGTATTAACTTCACAATTTTTATATATATATATATATATCTTTCAGGTAACATTCCTTGGGAGTCGTTTCGAGCAAATATCGGAGTAGTCGATCTTTCGAACAACAAGCTTTCGGGTATAATACATTCCACCATCGGAAATCTATTAAACGCGTCATCCGTAATACTCCATTCCAACAAATTAACAGGAGAGATTCCATCATCCATTTGCAACTTAAAATCCCTTAAATATCTCCATCTATCACATAACAGCTTGGAAGGGCAAATCCCACATTGTTTAGGAAATTTGAGACACTATCTAAAGATCGTGAATTTGTCTCGTAATAGCTTCACGGGATACATACCTTCATCTCTTGGAAACATTCCTGCGCTCGAATCGTTGGACCTGTCTTCGAACCAGTTGGTTGGGGAAATTCTGTTGCAACTGACAAAGCTGACGTTTCTTACTAAATTAAACCTTTCATTCAATAACCTTGTCGGAAAGATACCTCAATCTAGTACCGGCCAGTTTCCTATGTTCGATAATAGCTCGTACATAGGAAACTCCGAATTGTGCGAATTTCCATTAACGAAAAAGTGCAAATTACACGACAACGTACAAAATTTTCTCCCGATGTTGCCCCAAGATGACGAATCGGGTTTTCTCGACGGTTTTAGTTGGGAAGCTATTCTTTTGGGGTATGGATGTGGGGTTGTAATTGGAATTGCGATGGGTTATTTTATTTTTCGGTATCGTGAGATGCCGAAATGGTTTGTTAAGAATGAATACAGAAAAAGGAATGTAACACGGCGCAGAGTTTAATTAGTTGAAGTTGTAAGTTTTGTATTGATTTTAATTTGATGTAACTATACATAAGGACCATGTCTCTACTATATTATATATTTGATATTTGAAGTTAATTTAAAAAAATTCGAAATTCGCAGCTTCCGATTTTTTGCATGATCATATCAAATTGCATTTTTTTTTAACAAAAGAAAGCACAATTCTATTAATGCTTCAAAATTACAACTTTAGTATACGGGTAGTTACAAAATTTGGAGTAAGTTTTCGACAGATTTTGGTTAAAAATAGGATACATAAAACTTGGACACAAGTCAAAAAACAAAACATCACACCGGTTTGCCAAAAGAACACCCTCGTTAATTATTTTCTATTTTCGTTTCACTTCCAGATTTGCGAATTGTGCCGATGAACGGAAACATGATGTTTTCGAGAGAAATAAACTCGGGGCTAACTAATGATCATTGTAATAACCCCTTTGATTTTAAAAATGGGAACACTTTGTACCATGCTTGTTTGTGGTTATTAATTTGGTTTATAGAAAAACATTAATTTGTTTCGGAGCTACTAATCAAAGTTGTTTAGATACAGTTGTTAAGTTGTTAAATGGCTCTGATATGCTAATAAAACTTATAGAGTAAACTGCAAAAATACTCTTGTCTAATCTCTAAATAGCAAAAACTCATATATGATAAATCAACGTGTAAAAACTCCTCTGTGAAATTTAGTCAAAGGCAGAAATTCCATAGTTGACTTTCGTGTGACTCATTCGCTGGATGTGCGGCTGGCAGCTGATTTTTTGAAGTGAAATGGTGAAATTGTCCCCCAAAATGTACTTATGTGTATATATATTTTCTTTTTAATTTGATTGTTTAAAAATTAAAATATTATTAAAAATTTAGTAAACAATTAAATTGAAAAAATATAAAAATTTGGTAATCAAATTATGTATAGGTTTTTCTAAACCCATAATAATGAAATTTAAGTTTTCTTTTGTTGTAGGGATAAGTTAAAATATATACAGAAATTATTGGGAGAATTACACTTTTAGTCCCTCATGTTTGGTCCGATTCTACTTTTGGTCCCCATTGTTTCAATGTGAACAAAGTTCACCACCAAGGAACAATTTTAAACACTATCGGTCCCTACTGTCACATGCCCGTTAGCAAGTAACGGAAAACACTATTATGGGCCAAAATTGAAATTGAAATTTTTTTGGGGTTGGAAAATAATTTTAAAAAAATAATAATAAAAAAAAGAAGAAATTAACTAAATAAATTATTTTTAAGAATTAAAAACTCGCTGACACCATAAAAACAAATCCCCACAATTGAAACTCCTCAAGAACCAACCACAAAAAAAAAATTAAGAAAAATCCCAAACCGAAAAAAATTAATTAAAATATTTTTGGTGCTGGAAAATAATTGAAATTTTAAAATAAGCTACTTATAATTAAATTTTTAATAATATTAAGTATAAATGTAATTTCTAATTAAAATTTTATTTTGGATAAGAATATAAAAATCTTATCCAAAATAAAAGAAACTCATAAATTTTGGGTGATACTTTAGGGTGGGAACATAAATGCAAATTTTCATAAATTTAAATAGGAAAATTTATAAAAATAATTTCCAGAATATAATTTTTTTTTCAAAAAATTTGGGTGAAATTTTTAGATTGTGGAAAATAAAATTAGGGAATAAACATGAAAAAAAAAATGAGAGTAAATTGAGTGCAAGAGAGAAAGAAAGAGGCACACTTTTTATCCATAGCCATAAGGGTATTTTCGTCTGAAATTGTCCAACATCTAGTGCAATGGTCGGTCAACTTTAAAAATGGATAGATTCTTTAACATAGTTTAACGACCGAAGCTATTTTGTCGCATTTTATAGTACATGAGAATATATGCAACACTGATGATAGTACATAAGTGCAATTTGTATTTAACCCTTTTATAAATAAATGGGGCAAATGATGCAAAATTAAAATGTATTTAATTCTAAAAATACATATAAAATATAACTTCACATTTCATAAATTCAAAAAGAATCCTTTATGGTGATTAGTATTACGAACTTCCATAACAATACGAACGACGTAATACTTTTACACTAAAACGATATAAGTTCAATAAATACAATCTTTTACGTCTGCAACAATTATAAATAAAGTACATTTTAAGTCGACATATGTCGATCGTAGATCAAAATACACGTTTTTAGTCGACATTTGCTAACCCGTGTAAAAGTTAAATCCCATTTTATACCCATATCTAAACAAACTAGTGAACATTCCCTTTTAAACCAAACACCAAGCCAAAAGGATCTAAAATCCATGACATCTTTATAAACATCAAATGTGCAAGAATCCATTGGTCAAACTCAAACCTCAACACAAAGTCCTCATAACTACCACATTTGTCTTAACAACAAATTCCCCCAAAAAATAATTATTTTTTGTCAAAAAAAATAAAATTAAATAAAAATAAAAATTAGATTCACTAGCAAGAACACTAAATTCTAGGGCACTTGTACTTGTACCTGCACCCAATCCCATTCTATTCTTTCCCCTAAAATGTAGCAAGTGGACCCCATTCTTAGTTGTTACTATATATACGCCGAAAAAATATTTAGTGACGAAATAACAAGAGAATAACAAAACGAGCTGCACACACAGTTTCCTTACACTCGTGTTTCTCTCTCTGCTTTCTCTCTCTACTTTTTTCTTCCTTTTCGCCACTGTTTCTCTCTCTTGATCCCTCTGGATCAGCGAATGCAGGTTAGCTTCTGGCCTCTACTCGTGCTCCTTTGATTGAATTGTGCTGGAGGTTGCGTAATTTTGTCGAATTTGGACGAAGTGATGGAATTGTGAATAAACCCTAATCTTTGCTCCTCGCTCAATTAAGCGTTTTGATCGTCTCAATGGAATCTCGAAATGTTTTGTTGCGTGATGTGTGTCAGTTTTCTCTTTGATTTGACCTTTTTTTTTTATAACTTTTTTTTTTTGCTGAATTTAGTTAATTCACTGTTTAATTTTTATGTTCCTGTTTTGTTTGGACGTAAGACGACGTATCAATGGCTACTAATGCGCTTGATAGTTTTCTTTTATTTAAAAATAATTTTTTTTTGATGAATTTCAGTTCGAATTTTTGCTTTCAATTTCATATTTTACCACCAAAATAGAATTTATGAAGGCTTCATGTTTGTTTTTTTTGGTGATATGGAGTGAATTGATGGATTTTCATATTGTTCTTGTGGTTAAAAAAAAATAATTTGCGCTGCTCGTTATAGAATTGTTGTTTTTGGTCGTGCCAGTGTTTAGAAATCTGTTCATATCTGAGGTTTTTAGCTTTAAATCTATTTTCAGGTGGAATACACTATTTATCGCATATTTGCTATTATAGTTAACTCCCGGTAGGATCTCCGAAAATCGTCTTGATTGGTAAGATGTGTTAGACTAGTAGTTTATTTCCCCATCGGAACTCAGAAATCATCTTAATTTCTAAGAAGTACTATTGTTTGATTTTTGGTGATGATCTTGGTGACTTGTTTTTGTAGGTTTTGGTGGTTTGTAGCTGCTTAAGTAGCTGGTAGATTTATTTAGGGGAAACATTTCTACGGATATGAGGTCGTCTTCACCGTAATAATGGCTGGAAATGCGAGATATGAGATGACATCAGCTAGCCCCGACTCCGGTTTTGCAGGGAACAGCCAAAATGGGCAAAGGGGGTACTCTGCTGCCACATTGGATAGGTCTACGAGTTTCAGAGAGGGTACCGATAGCAAGAACTTTACTTCGGGAAAGGCAAATTCTAGGGGGAGTGCTTCCTCTTCAGGCGATGTGACTGCATTAACACAATGCCTGATGTTGGATCCAGTTGCTTTATGTGATCTGAAGCATCCGCGGTCCAATGAATTAAAGAGGCTTCTGGGATTTTCTGTTGGGAGCGGTTCAGAAGAAAATTCTTTTAGTGCTGCTCATCTGAAGAATACATCTCCAGTGGCTGTGGAGGAATTGAAGCGATTAAGAGCGAGTGTCGCTGATACTTGTGTTAAAGCCAGGTAAAAAAAATGTGCATTTATATGTTATGGTAGACTGCCCCGTTTTTAGTAATTTGAAACATTTGCACTTAATTGATGAAAATTTGACGTTTAATCTAAATGGTATCTTGAAACTCGTGCACGCGTGGTATTATGAGCTATAGTAATTATCCTCTTCTGTGTATTCTGTAGTTATATATTCTTTTGTTTTTGATGTCAGTGGTCGAGCAAAAAAGTTGGATGATCATTTAAGTAAGCTGAACAAATTTGTTGAGTCCGTTTCCTCTAAGAAGCAGCAGCAAAGGAATGAGATTCTGACAAATGAACGATCTAGTGGTTCAAACTTGAAGAGTGGATCTCTGATGCATCGAAATCCTTCGGAATTTGGAAATCAGAAATTTGATGATCGGCCTAAGAATGGTGGAGTGAATAAGCGATTACGGACATCAGTGGCAGAAACTCGGGTTCGTAGCTGCATGGTTTTAATTTTTTTAATTTTTTGTGCTTTCAGCGTTTGCTGCTTTTAAGTTCTCGTCTCCTCTACAACAAATAAAAGATCAGCATCAACTGAATTGTTTTGAAATCTGACTCTGAATACTTGGCATGGCATTTGCTGCTTTTAAGTTCATAGCACTTTTTTAGTTTTACTAGCTTAGTAAAAAGTAAACATTAGTTCTCATTGAACAATCTTGTGATTTGTAGTTGCCTAATTTTTATTACTCCAGTTTCGTCATTTATTATGCAGAAAAACTTTGTGCTTTTTTATTCTATTTCCTTTTATTAATTTTAAAAAGTTATTACTGTTTTCCCTATCAGGCTGAGTGCAGGAATAATGGAGTGCTAAGGCAGTCTTTAATGGTGACAAAAGAACGAGACCTGCTGAAAGATGTCAGTGCAGATTCTGATATCGTTGAGGAAAAAATAAGGAGATTACCAGCTGGCGGAGAAGGCTGGGACAAGAAAATGAAAAGGAAACGCTCAGTTGGTGCTGTCTTTTCAAGATCTGTTGACAACGACGGGGAACTGAAAAGAACCATGCATAATAAGCTGACTAATGAATCAAGTCTGCAGTCTAGTGATTCCAACCTTAGTTTCAGGTCAGTTACTGTCATATAACCAAAAACTTTTATGTTCTTTGCAATTTTGCTGCTTGCTTTTTTTTTTTTTTGCTGTATATGGTGTACTCTTTGCATATTGTTTTTATCACTGGAATTAAATTTTAATTTTGTTGTTTGTTTCTCTTAGTTTTTTTGGATGTTTTTCCTGCTCTTGAAGAAACTGAACTCTCGAGTTTGTTTGAATTAATAATTTTTTTTGTTTTTTGGATATTCTAATGAGAAATGATACTGTTATGTTTGATTTTATTGGAAACAAATTCATAACTTCATGATTTAGAGACATTAGATGCTCAAAGTTCCTTCTCAAGACGATTTTCACATCACTGGATTAAGAATTTGTTGACTAAATTTCACAAGATTTTTGCTCAATCTTTATGAAGGGAAGCAGCTTCGTCTATTTGTGTAATTGATAATGTTATTTATTGTTTCTATCTCTTCTGACACCTGCAATGAGGGAAAAAAAATAAATATTCTATGATTTATTGAATCGATCATTGTTTTATCCAGCCAAATCAGTATCCCTGACTTGAGGCATAACTATATTTTCAATGAAATCTTTTGAATTGAGGATGATTTGTATATAACGAGTCTTTTATTTTGAAAACATGTTTCACAGATCAGGAGCTTCTGGTGGCAGTAACAAATTAGATGCTACATCATCTCCTGCTGGTTCTAATGCTCGTACAACCTTAAAAAATGAACAAGAAAAATCTACGCTCTCAAGGGATCTTTCTGCTGGACCAATTAAGGAGAAAATCTTAGGCAAATTAAATGTTAGGTACGTGTCTATCATTTTGTGTATGATTCCAAAAGTCACCACTCCTTTTTTTTTTTTCTTTTTTTGAACTTAAACTGGATTTGCTGACGACGCCTGTGCTGGATTCTTCTTTTAGGATAAATAATCGTGAGGACAACAATGCCGTGTGTCCTAGTCAAATATTAAAAGGGAAGGCTTCAAGGGCACCCCGAAGCGGCTCTATAGTTACAGCTAATTCACCATCTAACACCCTTCGTGTTTCTGGAACTTTGGAGAGCTGGGAACAGCCCCAGTCTGTAAACAGAACCCCTACAAATGGTGGGCCCACCAATCGGAAGCGTCCGGCGCCCGCCGGAGCATCATCTCCACCCATAACTCAATGGGGTGGTCAAAGGCCACAGAAAATGTCTCGAACAAGAAGGACTAATCTTATCCCTGTATCGAACCTTGATGATACACAGCTTCAACCTGAAGGATGTTCGCCTTCAGATTTTGGTCCCCGTGCTTCTTCTTTTTCGGTCAAGAGTTCAGCTAATGGAAACCAAAATTCTAACGTAAAAGCCGAAAATGTTTCGTCACCCGCTAGATTCTCTGAAAGTGAAGAATCTGGTGCCGGTGATATCAGAATAAGAGAGAAGGGTTTAGGAAGTGAAGATGTGGAGGAAAGGGATGCAAATACTGGTCAGAATGCTTCTTCTGCAATTCCGACTAAAAAGAATAAAGTTATGCTCAAAGAAGAAATTGGTGACGGTGTGAGGAGACAAGGGCGTAGTGGAAGGGTCTCGCCGTTTTCTAGGTCTAGCATTTCGCCAAATGGAGAGAAGTTGGATAATGCGGGTCCGATCAAGCCTCCAAGAAATGCAAGATCTGGTTCTGACAAGAATGGAAGGTGCTCGGTTGTTTTTCTTTTCAGTTGATATTAATTATGTTTCTTATAATGGACTCTTTCCGCTTACCCATGAAGGATTTATTGTCTTGCTGTTACAGCAGGTCAGGTCGTCCTTTGAAGAAGCTGTCAGATCGAAAAGGCTTTTCCCGTCTTGGTCACATGGCTAACGGGGGTTCCCCTGATTGTAGCGGTAAACCTTGACATTATGCATCTCTATATTATTCTTTTGGATGTAGTTTTGTCCATTTCCTATTTAATTCACTTCAATTTGATAGTGGGTGAAACTTGTCTGCCTGTCAGTCAGTCTTTGTTATTCAGCACGCTGCTTTTAGTGCAGGCCTTCCACTAATGCTTATTAATGTCTTTGATTTCTGCATTTATGTATTTATGAACCAGTCCCGATGTATTATGTTTAAGTGGACTATGATAGCTCTAGGTAGGATTAGTCTCGAACTACTTCTTAACTTCTTTGGTTATCGAGATAATACAACCAATATAATTTACGAAAGACTTGATTTGCTGCTTAGTTTGGACTTATGTGAACATACCTGTTTCCTTGGACAATAATCGTTCTTCACAAAACCCTTGACAGAAGAAAAAAATGGGAAGATGAAATCAGTTTATGTTTCCTGAATTTCTTTGTTATAAAAGTATATGCTAACGAACGATTACTTTTTCAGGGGAATCAGAGGATGACCATGAAGAGCTCTTAGTGGCGGCTAATCTCGCTTGGAATTCTAGTAGTATGCATTTAGTGTCGATTTCCTTTTTGTCCTATGTATGACCTTTCTCAAGTATGCTGGGTGAATAAATTTACTCCTATCTTTACTTGTTGCAGCTACTGCATGTACGAGTGCATTCTGGAAATCAGTTGATTCCTTGTTCTCTTCTATTGGCTCTGACGATAAATCATACTTGTCAGAACAGGTGATTAAGTTAATTTGTTTTGGCAAATCATACGGCATTTGTGGCCAGCTGATTCCTAATAATTTTGTTTTTCTGTTTTCGTTTTTTTTTAATCAGCTAAAATTGTCTGAAGAATGCCCAAGTACTTATCAGAACTCCAGCGATGGCAATAACTTGCGAGTGAAGTTGGTTTGTAACTGCCACTTTCCATCGTTTTTTACCCATGCATGACCCTGTGTCCGACCTTTTGCCATTATAATTATATGTTCCAATTTGAAAAGCCAAGGGAGCCTTTGTGCGAAGGACGATAAAACATGGACCACTTGTCCAGCACTTATTTTGCTGTGCTATTTTTCTTTGTTTGCACGTTGCATTATATCCCATTTCTCAATCGACTTTTTCTTATTCAAAGCATGCTTATTTCTTATCAGGATGATTATGGCCATGAAGAAATTGCAGCATCTGACCCTACATCTTTTGGAAGATATAGACAGATGAATAATGTAACCGGGTTTAAAAATTCTTCGGATAGAATGGATTATGTTGAACAAATTCAAGATTCTCCAGAAGCAGAGAAGATATATGACAAAGTTACTCCGCTTTATCAAAGGGTACTATCAGCTCTTATTTTAGAAGAAGAAACTGAAGAATTTGAAGAAACTGGGTGTGGGAGACCGAGAAGTTTGGTTAATGATTCATACCTCCGTGAGCCAATACTTGGCGTTCAGACTCAGAGAAATTGCAATGCAGACATAATTGTTTCTTGTAATGGAAATGGAGACTTTGATAGGTACCCTAGCGCCCAGGATTATTTATTTAATGACGATCGGATGCAAATAGACGGGGGATATGTGCACTCTGAGGTTGAAGTGTTGGTTAGACTTTCAAGATGTGATTATGTCGTCCAAAGTCTACAGACAAATAATTGTGGCATTTCTCCCATCGACTGCCAGTATGAACAGATGCGTGTGGAAGAAAAGCTCGTGTTAGAATTACAGAGCATCGGACTATTTGTGGAAGCTGTGGTAAGATTCAAACTATTTCTTGAGACATGAGTTTAAAATAGAGCACAAGTTTCCATTGTCCTGTTCCTACTTGCTTGATTAATTATTTTCTTAGTGAGTTGCACATTTCAAAAGAGTGGCTACTTATACATGTGTGCGTAATTTATTGCCGGATTACCTCTGGGATCATCTTGGACTGCTTATGTAAGTACGTTGCCTTTCTTATTGGTTGACTTTTGACAGCCTGCTTTGGATGATAAAGAAGATGAACTCATTAACGATGAAATTGTTCAGCTAGAGAGAGAACTTCAGGAACAGGTGATCTTGCACACCATTCTGATTTCTTCCTCTCGTTCTCTTTTCTTTATACACGACTCCGTTTTTATGCTTCTTTTGTTTCTTAAAGTCTGACTGATTATGTTATGTCGTAATACTAATTTTTTGTAAGATTTTTAATTATACTTGATCTTGTGTCTCATGCTTGACCTCCAGATTGAGAAGAAGAAGTCTTCTTTGAATAAAATAGACAAGGATATTCAAGAAGGCAAGGAAATCGTAAGAAGGTAAAATATGTGTTGTTTTTTTTTCTTTTACATTTTTCATCAGTATTTAAATGATTTCTGACTAATTGCAAGAAAATCATTTGAATCATGTAAATGATAGATACAATTTTTATTGGCTTCTCAGGGACACTGAACAGGTTGCGATGGACAAACTTGTTGAGTTGGCGTACAAGAAATTTTTGGTTAGTATAAATTACTCTGAATCATTCAACTTTCCAACTTTCTTAAAGTACTGTCGGTTAGAATTGCTGCACTGGCATTTTCTTTGTATATTAAATTTCAAAGCTACCTTCAGATTTCAGTAGTGATGATGTTTCCTATAATTATCGACAGGCAACTAGAGGAAGCTTCGCTTCTAAGCATGGGGTGGCCAAGGTGTCGAAACAAGTTGCTTTGTCTTTTGCGAAGAGGACGCTTTCTAGATGTCATAAATTTGAAGATTCAGGAGCAAGTTGCTTTTCCGAGCCTGCACTCAGAGATATCATTTTCGCCTCTCCTCCTCGCTTTGACGAAACTAAGCCGCTTACCGGTGCCACTGTGGCAGTCGCTAATGGTAAGCACTCGAATCTTGTAAACGCATTCAATGCAGGTCGTAGTTATGTCAATGAGTGATCTTAACAGTTATAGTGTGACAAAAACTCTTACCTCTATTTTAAATAACGTGACAAATTTCATTTGTATGTTCGAGCAGATGCATTTGATCAGGATTTTGCTAGGAATGGGCCAATATCGAATCGAGCAAAGCGAAAGGAGCTATTGCTCGACGATGTAGGTGGTGCTGTATTTAGAGCTTCGTCCGCTCTCGGCATTTTGGACGGTACAAAGGGAAAGAGAAGTGAAAGGGATTCGACAAGAAATATGGTCGTTAAGACAGGACGCCCGTTAATGGGTGGCGCTAAAGGCGAGCGAAAGGCAAAATCGAAGCCAAAGCAGAGAACAGCACAGCTTTCCACATCAGCAAACGGGTTGGTCAACAAATTCACAGACAACCGCACTATTGAATTGGAAAATACTAATAATAAAGATACTAGGAAAAAGGATGTTAGATTTATGTCTTGTAATAATAACAATGTTCCTCCAGTTCCATCCAAGGAAACGAAGGAATCGATTATGGAGTTCGATAACTTGCCGCTAAACGGCATTGAGGGTATAGAGGAACTTGTTGTAGATACTGAAATAGGTGGGACACAGGATCTTAATTCTTGGTTGGATTTGGATGGGTTACAAGACCACGATTCTGCTGGGCTTGAGATACCTATGGATGACCTGGCGGAACTCAATATGTTCTGATAAATAATGTCCGCCTTGTTGTACAGCTTGTCGAAAATAATTAATTTAGCTACAGAAGAAACGATACTTTTTCCGAGTGGTGGGGGATTGGCTGTTGTTGTGCTGTGTTTAAGATATGTCTTGGCCAAATGGCAAATTGTAATTATACAAAAAAATTCTTGTAAACTTTTCCGCAAAGGTGTTGTGGAAATCCTTGTAGTTGATTTATTTCGAACGATGTTTTCCGTGTAAGAAGTATGAAAAGTTTTTTTAGTGGCAACATAAATCCTTGTATTCTTTTTCGCATTATGTTCGATCGACAATGCGTTTTGCCTATTTCTATTTTGCAGCCGTTATTTCAGATGTCTTGAAAAGGCATTTGAGCGTTGCCTGGAGTACGTCTTTTCGAGTTAAAGACGTGATCACATGCCCAAGGTAATAACTTTTATCGCTTTTTATTATTTTAAATATATATCAACATGAAATTAATTGTATTTCAATACTGGGTTTGCTAGTACGAAGTCAGAGTCTAAGTTTGCGTTCGCGAGCATTAATTTAAATGTTTCCTTTCGGTGTAGGGTTATGTTTAGTTGTTATTTGTTTACTGTTTCGAATTGAACAGAAAATGCCCGTTTAAAGAAACAATTCGATATCAACTTTGTTTACTCCAAAATCTTACAGCTAAACGAAATAGATCCTTATTCTTCAGAAACGTGAGGTGCTGTCGGTAATATATCAATGGATCTTCTGTTGTCAGCAAAATGACGTAATCGAACAAGATCTTCGACTCTTAGTAAAGTAAAACTCGGGTTTGGGAGATTGAGGCCTATATTGTACTCGTTTTCTTCAAACTCCGTCTGTTTTAATGTTGTCCTGTAACTAGCGATTGCACTCCTCGGGTTACCTCTAGCAATTGATATCTGAACCAAAAAGGTCAACCACGTTCGATCTTCAAGAAATTATGCTAATTGACCAAAATAGTTACAAATGGTGAATAAAAAAACGAGAACGTAACATAGTTTTATATGGGGATATGTTGGGACTAACCGAATGATTATTTCCGAGTTCCATAAGCCAAAATTTCCAATCTTTAAACTCTTGTCCGGCAACTTTGACAGATATATTATCCCAATTTGTGTGACGAAATTCAACATCGTCCAACTTGTAACCGACACCGCTCCCCACGGCCTTCACAAAAGCTTCCTTCAGGCACCAATATCTGCGTAAATGGCGATTATCGTAATAAACTTGAAGAAAAGCTTCAAGTATATGAAGCTTTTGATCATCAAAACAAGATTACTAAAAAATAAAAAAGTCCGAGTTATTAGTATTATTGTCATGCATATATATATATATATATATATATATATATATATATATATATATATATATATATATATATATATATATATATATATATATATATATATATATGTTATGCGCCGAGGAAAAAAGATAAACGAACCTGTAAAATGTTTTCAGCATTTCATCAGAAGAGGCGGCGTTCGATATATGACACCATTCTAATCTTGAGAAATAAGTCGAGAAACTCTGTACAAATTGTTGAGCTGTTTCATTAACAGGTGCCGAATGAGAAACGATATCCAATCCCACAATGCATATAGGCTCAGATGCTATTGCAACATAGTCACCATGATGCGACACATTAAAATTAAAATTCGGAAATTCCATCTTCGATTTATCGCATACCTAGAGCATGAGACAACATAATTATCAGATAACAGCAGAAAATAAATAAATAATGCAGATAAGAACACGACATTTTCGTATTGTGAGAGTGATTTGTTTTTTTTTTTTTTTTTTTTTTATGATTTTTGGTTACGATATATCGATCCGGATTGACTATGTTGTTGTTCTAGTAAATCAGGAAAATAATTTATGAAAAAATGTAGATATGTACCAAAAAGGGTTTCCCCTCGGGGGTTCGTCGGATAACGATGTCGTCGAATGGGATTCCCAGTACTCGATTCACCAGGACATACTGAAGCAATCGGCTCACAAGTGCCCGTTTTCTATCCTCCAATTTCACAAACCTAAATTCAATCAATGCAACTCAAATCAATCATCAGATTTATTCACAAAAGAAATGAGCTTTTCTCACACTTGACAACAACATAGAAACTGATTTTTTTATTGGGTAAATTACGGCCATCCCTGAGGTAAGATCAAATTATGAAAAATCCCTTCATGTTTAGGTAATTACAACCATCCTCTCAACTATAAGTTTTCTTACACGTCAACCCTTAGGGTGTTAAATTCAACATAATCTTCTAGTTTTCGTGGAATGTTCTCTAATTTCTACTCGTTTTGTGCAAAAATGCATTTTCTGAAGCACATATTTACAAGTCAAAAGGCACATCTTATGAAATGTGGAGCTCGAATGAGGTGAAACGGGTGCAAACTGGAGAATATTCCACATAATTTAGAAGATTCAACTAAATTTGACACCGCAAAGGTGAACTGAACTTGTAAGAAGATTCATAGTTGAGGGAGGTCGCTGCAATTACCCAAACATGAGGAGTTTTTTTTGTTTTAACCTTACCTTACCCTCTTTTATTTATTAAAGCCTAACAAAGAGGACACACTTGTGCTTGCATATGTACATTAATGAACTTCTTAGAACTCAACTGTTTCTTGATTTCTCACTTCAAAAAAAATAAAGAAAAAAAAAAATCTGGTAAAATTAAGATGAGAAAACAAGATGAAGTGACCTGGTGATGGAGGAGTGGTCGCAGTGGGGAAGAAGAGAGATGATGAGAGAGAAATCTTCAGTTGAAGGTCTCCACTTTGAAATGTCGACAACCCATCTCTCTACACCTTTCCCAACTTCCATTTCTTTTTTTTTATTATTACCAGAAAATTAAGACTGATTATTATTATTATTTATGTAAGATTTTATCTCCTTGTACGAGGTAAATTACTTCCACATCTTTGAGGGTTGACTTTTTACCTTTACCAACTGTGTTTAAATATTCTGTTGTTACAAAAAAAACCCCTGAACTTAGGCTAAATTACAAAAAACACCTCCATCTATTCGTGATTACCAAAATCCCCCTAACGTTTGTTTTCGTCTTACACCGAGATCCCCCTATGGTGTTATTTTTCACTGAATTTTTTTGATTCGAGGGAATATTTCCTGAAAACTGCCGATCTTACTTCTACTGAAGTGGCATTTTCTTTGTATTACTTTTTGAAGACAAATTTTACTCTCACATGATAATGGTAATGCTAAAATAATGTGAAGGTGTTATTTAAGAAGAATTATGGTTACGGGTAAAGGATTCCTGAGGGTAATTTTTGCCATCAAAAGTAGCATAAGGAATTGTCACTTTTGTAGGAATTAATTCGGCATTTTTGGAAAATCTTCCAAGTAATCAAAAAAATTCCATGAAAAATAACCTCATAAGGGGATCGACATAAGATAGGAACAAACGTTAGGGAGTTTTGATAATTACGGATAGGTGAGGGTGTTTTTTGTAATTTAGCCTAAATTCAATTCAAGGTAGTTTTTGTAATTTACCCTATACTACATACTCTCCTTTATAACCTCTTTGGCCATGGGTTCGAGACACGACGAGGAGAACGGAGAAACCAGTAACTATCCTCCTTTAATTAAAAAATTATATATATATATATATATATATATATATATATATATATATATATATATATATATATATATATATATATATATATATATATATATATATATATATATATATATATATATATATATATATATATATATATATATATATATATATATATATATATATATATATATATATAATAATATAATATATATATATCTATATATATATATCTATATATATCTCTCCTATCTCTCTCTCTCTCTATATATATATATATATATATATATATATATATATATATATATATATATATATATATATATATATATATATATATTGTATGCATATGCTAATGAACAACAGAAGTGAATTAAATTGTTGTCCTTGTTCTTCATTTATTTTCAAAGATACAACACATGAAGAAAAAACTTACATCACCAAAGTCAGAAAAAAATAATACATTACTTGTCAATATACAGTTACACAACAAACTGCCAATTCACATGTTTCAAAAGCCAAACTCAGATAGGTAGGTAGATACTACCTTCTATTGTATCTGTCTTTTTTCCACTAATATATGTACCTAAATAAACTGTAAATATAAAATGAAGAATATGCCAATATGCTTGCATCACTTATGTTTGTGACGTACTACCGCGATTGCCTGCTTCTGCATTGCTCACTGTCATAAACGATTCTCCACATCCACACTGCCCCTTCGAGTTCGGGTTTATGAAAAGGAACTCGGATCTGTTGAAGAATTAATCAAAAGATCGATCAGTATATTTGACATTTTATTTAGTTTCTATACATAGAGATAGAGATAAGATTTTGTAATACGTTTTTCTTCCTTCATTTGGACATATAATACCTTCCTTTCAAACTTATTAACTAAATACGAACAATAATTTAAACGAGCTCCCTCGTTTTGATTTTATTTATGTTGCATCCTGGAAAATTGATGGTTTGTATTTGGCGATGACAAACGGCGACCATGCTTTTTAAATCGGATTTATTCGTAACAATTAAGTGGTAACTGTTTCGTACCTTAGTTTGTCATCAATAAAATCCATCTTAGTTCCTAAGACATGCATTAGGGCCTTTGGGTCGATCAATATCTTCACACCTTTGTCCTCGACCAATTCATCGAACTTTCCCTTTTCATCTGTGAATAAGGATATAATAACTCCGTGAAAGGGTCATCAAGAAAGAAGAAAAAAAAATCGAGCAAATCATTTTCCCCTGAAGTCAAGCCCATTAAAGAGTAAAAGTCGTAACAAGCTTAATAAACAATGAATGTGCTAATTTAATATGAGAAAATCACGATACCCCTAAAAAGTATGGATACATGTATATGAAGTTAGTAATGTTGATAAATGAAACAGGAAGATTTATATTTATTGATGTTCTTGATTATAAACAATAAGATAAATAAAATAAAGAATTCAAATGTTTACGAATAATCGGCAAACAATGAACTTGCAACATTTGAAATGCTTTTTACAAATCCACATACACCCAAACAAGAGATGTTAAAGCATATCGTTTTTCAGATCAAAGGAGTTTCAAACCCATCGATTCAAATCACTGAATGCAGACACATATTCCAACACTAAAAAATATTTATATTTAGTGTCGAATTTAGTACTACCCATCCATACATAGTTTTGTAACCGAAAAGGTTATGAGTAGCATTCGTTTCCTTCATGGTGGTGTTTCATGAACGCTTTGGATTTGATAAAGAGGAACAATTAACACACAGAGTGAAGAGGGAGGCTATGTAAGAATTCCTAATGGAATACTCATGTCCCTTTGCACCACAATGCAAGAACAGAATTCCTATTCGGAATTTCTGAAGCATGAAAGTTAAAAATATTCAAGCGAAAGTTAAAATATTTTTCAACGCATTAAAAGTAGTGCCCATAAATTTCAAATATTAAGCATGATTTAAACAAAAATTATAGCGAGAACGTGGAAAAAATATTTATGTACTTGCAGAGTCAGCGTACGCTTATTCCCCAGATTCTACAGTTATATAGTTCGGTAGAAGAACTCATTAGATAACTAGAAGCAAATCAAGAATAGATTTTTCAATCGATTTTTTTTATCAAGCCTTCCTAGTGAAGTGAAAGCTGCAAGTTGCAATGTGGAAAATATCAAAGAAGAAATTGAGATAAACGAACACGTGAATTACCAAACTTCAAACACGCACACGAGGAAGAAGTTGAAATACGAATAGGGAAGAAAAAAATAATATAATCCCAAATAAAGAAAATGTAGCCAAAATTCAAAACATGCGGCAATTATGTAGAAGAAACAGCCGACCAAAGACTACTGCTAGGTAAATATAAAAGATGTAAAACTTCTAATTAAAATTGATTCGGGTACAACGAAAACTTGCTAGGATTTCTTGATTCGGGTACTACAAACTAAATATCAAATATGCCAGAATATATATATTCACAATTGAAGTACAGAAACACCCCCAAAAATCTTCCATATGTCAACTCTATAGCAATGAATTATAACATCAAACAGATTTTTCAAGCGAATTCAAACACCATATCACAATTTAATTACGAATTGATTCATCAGATGATAAAGTAATTTGATCAAAAGAAATCCGTGAAATCCGTCGATTTTACACCACCAAATTCGCCCAGATACTTATCCACAAAAAAAAAAATTAGGGCATGAAATAGATGATGGAGCGGGGAGGAATACCGGCGTAATTGAGGGTGTAGGATAAGCCATTGCAACCGCGTGATTTGACGCCGAGCTTGAGGAAAGAGCGCTGGCGCTGCCCTAGGAGATGGCGTATTCTAGCAGCGGCGGCTTCGGTTAAGGAGAGGACTTGCTTCCGCATGATGACTGTGATCTAACGTGCGCTTGTTTTCAGGATTGAAGCTGTCATCTGAGAAATTAATTTCTTTGATGAAAATGGTCCTGACGCCAAACAGTCCTTTGTATTTGTTCAAAGATTTGGGGATGACGTGGATATTAATTATTAATGAGAAAATTTCAATTTTTAGAGGGTGTGTGGCTTAGTATATAGGACGTTGAAAAGACCTTATAAGTTCTTTCAAAGTGTTTGGTAAATTTATAAAAAAAAGATCTTAACTTTTTTTTAAATAAGTTGTTTGAACAAATAAAATCTTTTTAAATAAGTATTTCTACCCCACATTTTTATTTAAAATCTTATAATGAGTAAAAATAGGAAATAAACCCATTATCCAAAACTTTAAAAATTAATCCTAAAAATAAGATGTACCAGTTTATCAACTCTAAAAACATCTTATTAGACACAAGAGCTTATCAGCTGTTTAAAATAAGCTTATTCAAACACCCTTTTAGTTTGATTTAACTTTCATATCATTGCATAGTTCCTTTAATGTTTGGTTTCATCAAAAAAACAAAATCATTTTCTACACCCCTCTACTCTTTTACGCAGGTTAAGTTCAAGGCAGCGGCTATATGCAACACTAATTTCACTTGTACAAGACCAAATTAAATTTTTTAATGTATAAATACTATAATACCCTAGCTTTTTAAAAAATAGAAAAATCCAAATGTGCAATACCAAAAACTCAAAACCACAAAAAACCATATCACAAAACCACAAAACCAACTCTCATTTTCTCCATCTTCCAAAACCCACAAAACCTTTCTCCTTCCTCCTCCATAAACCCACAAAACCTAAACATTCAAAATTATCAAAACTCAACAAATCTTACAAAGATGGCAAGTACAGAGTCTGAAGACATAAAAATAGAAGATTTTATGGTGGAAGAACCCAAGAAGGTATGCATTTATGTGTATCTTAACTAGAATATCGTTTTTCCAAAAAACAATCCCGCACAGACGCGGTCGACATGTACATGTCGAATTTGATAGGTAAAAATCGACACTGAAATGTCGCTTTTGTAGTAGCAAACTCGACATTGCACAATGTCGACTTTTCTTTACGGGGGAGTACTTAGATAGATAAGTATTAATGGAGCAGGCTCAAGGATATATTTCTCAACATTCTCCTAACCTAACCATGTATATCGACTTAAGAAAGTGTTGTACGGCCTGAAACAAACACAAGCCCCGCGAGCCTGGTATGGTAAAATCGCACAATACTTTGTCTTTTGTGGTTTTAAAGTTGTTGATGCAGATTCGAGTTTGTTTATAAAATCTGAATCAAAGATGCATCTGTTGGTGTTATTATATGTCAACGATATGATAATTACGGGGATAATGAAGAGGAAATTTGTTTGTTAAGAAAAGATCTGTCCATTCGATTTGAGATGAAAATTTTAGGAGAAGTAAGTTATTTAATTTCCTTGGCCTGGAAGTTGAGAAATCAAACTCTGGGTATTTTATTTGTCAAAGAAGATACACAAACAATCTCTTGCATCGTTTCGGTATGGGGGAGTCGAAGGAAAAAGTCATTCCAATGGAACCACATCTCAAATTAAGGAAAGATAAAAGGAAGTTATTGACAGATTTCAAAAAAAATTGACAACTCGTTGGTAGTTTAATTTATTTAACTATCACGAGGCACGAAATTTCTTATTATGTGGGAGTTGTTTCCCAGTTTATGCAATCTCCAAGAAATCCCCATTTAGATGCAGCTAGAAGGATTCTATGTTACGTAAAAGGTTCTCTTGATCACGGGCTCTTGTGCAAGAGGTCAGACATTTTTCGATTAAGCGGTTTTACGAATGCGGATTGAGCTAGAGATGTAAATGATCGCCATTCCACTTCAGGTTAATGTTTCAACACCGGCTTGGCAATGGTCTCGTGGTACAGCAAAAAGCAATTGATCGTCGCACTATCAAGCACTGAAGCGGAATATGTAGCCGCAACGTAACAATGGCAGCTCAAGAATGTATTTGGTTAAAGAGTTTGTTGGGAGATTTGTTTTACAAAGTTGAATATGCGGTGAAAATAAAATATGATAACGAAAGTGCTATTAAACTTGCTTCAAATCCAGTGTTTCATGGAAGAACAAAACATATCGAAATTCGCCATGACTACATTCGAGAGAACGTATTGAATCAAGAAATCGAGTTAAAAGGGAGTTGCTACAAGCGAACAAGTTGCATATATTTTTACAAAAAGCTCTAGCAAAGCCTAAGTTTGAATATTTTACAGCTCCGCTTGGAGTTGTCAATCTTAAGCATACACTAAGGAGGAGTGTTGGAAATTAGTGCATTTTACTTTTAATTAGTTTAGTGAAGTAATTTCTTATTTCTTGTTTTACCTGGTCAAATAAATTATTGGTTAGTAGTTAGATTAATATTTGTAGTGGCATTTTCTATAATAAAAATAAAAACAATTCTTAGTGGAAGATTTATTTGCAATTTGTTAGAGTAAATTTAGGAGTTGATTACTGCTCCACTTCTTATTTATTAACATCCTATCTAATTCCTTTAATGTATTAGAGAAATTAGAAGAAAATCATTTCCTCCAATATTCTGGTTTTACCTTGTTACAGAAACTTTATCCCTGCTTCTTTTGTTCTAATGTTTCCATGTACAATAATACACGTTGGAGTTTTCTGATTTCATAATCCAAACCTAAAAACTAATTCACCAAACAATATATTACACATTGAATTCTTTCGTTGCTCTAATAATTCAACCACACAAAATCCCATCCTAGTTTTTTTTTTTTTTTTTTCTTTTCTCCAAGAAAAAATACCTAAGATCTTATTTATGGCGTCTACTCAAGAAAACGACGACAAAAAACCCGAAACAACAATAACCCTAAAAAGCTCCGACGGAGAAGTATTTGAGGTCCCCGAATCTGCCGCCGTATTATCATACACAATCAAGAACATGGTGGAAGATGGTCGTGAAGGTGACGTCATCTCACTCGAACAGGTCGACGGAAAAACCCTATCCTGGGTTGTTGCATACCTCAAGAAACGTGCAGTTGATCCTTTCTCTGAAAAAGACAAAGACGAGTTCGACACAGAATTTTTTTCCGACAAAGACGTCAATTCCCTCTTCGACATTGGTAATGCAGCCAATTACCTCAATATTAAGGAATTACTAGACATGTCCATCACAAAGATTGTTAATTTAAGACGAATGTAACCCGCGTGCCATGGGTGGGGGAAAGGTTTGATGAAAACTTTTGGCTTGAATCGACTTTTAAGCCGGAGGAGGAAGCGGAGACTAGGCGGCCGGAGCACCTGTGGGCCCACAAAGAAGATGTTGAATCTGACTACTCAATTTTATATTTTAATTCTTTTTTTATAGATTGGTATTCAAGATTTAGATTTTATTCGAATTTTCGCATGATTGTTTTTTTTTAACTTTTAGTAGTAATTAATTTGAATTAGCATTTATAATCCATCAAAACCATAGTTTGGTAGTAGTTATGGTGATTTGTGTTACTTATTGGTTTTGATAATTAGCTAGAATCTGTTAAAACCCTAGTTTTGGATGTTTGTGTTTGATATAGGTTTGAACTTTAATTTGACTCTTTGAGTACTATATATACTCTACATATTTGATTTGATTTGGAGATATGATTTCACTAACAGTTTAATTAAGCTTTTGGTTGAAAAGATCATTAGACGCGACATATCCCTAATTAGCTAGGGTTTATAAGTAAGTATTAGCTTCTTTCAATTTGGTTCTCATTAAGAAAAGGACTCTTCGAATCTTATGATTTTATTTTAAGTATTAATTAACTGAATTTTGGTTTGATTAGAACGTTCATTCAAGCTCCAATTTTCTAAACAATCGAACTAATTACCGTGGATAATATATATGTTACATTCCTATAGGTCGATTATTTTTATGCTACACTCTCTGAAGATTACATTGGCTGATTTTTTATCGTTGATCTACACACACCTGTATGGGTCGGTGTGTTTGTGTGTATATGAATGGTAAAATCCATCTTAGTTCCTAAGACATGCATTAAATTAGGGCATTTGGGTCGATCAAAATCTTCACACCTTTGTCCTCGACCAATTCATCGAACTTTCCCTTTTCATCTGTGAATAAGGAAAATTAATAACTCCGTAACAGGCTCATCAAGAAAGAAGAAGAATTTTTTTTTCGAGAAAATCTTTTTCCCCTGAAGTCAAGCTTATTAAAGACTAAGGTGGTGTTTGCAAACGTTTTTCCAAAGTGATTATGAACTTTTTTAGGTTCTAAATCCGTTTTTTTTAAACATTAAAAATCTCATAATGACTTTGGAAAAGTATTTGTAAACACCGCCGAAAGTCGTAACAAGCTTAATAAGCAATGATTTGTGCTAATTTAATATGAGAAAATCTTTCTTAGTGCCTAACATGGAAAGTCGATGAGTTGAAATCTCTTAGCGAAGAAAATCACGATACCTCTAAAAAATATGGATACATACATGCAGTGTTCTAAAAATCGGCCGAGGCGGCCGATTAATCGGTTCCCGAGGCGGAGGCGGTCCAAAACCTTTACGATTTTAGTGTAAAGGTTTGAAAAATCGGTTTTTTGCCTGTGAGGCGGTCTGAGGCGGTCCGAGGCGGTCAAACATTTAAGGCGGGTCAAACTCGGTGCCAAAAATCGGTTAAAAATCGGTTTTTTTTTTTTTTTTTTTTATAATTCAAAATAAAAGTTGGATTTTAATAAAAGAAAATATGAGTTTATGCCTTATTTTGTTTATGTTAATTGTTATTGTTAAAGAACTAATGATGTATGCCAAGAATGTTCAAGAATAAATGTAAATTTAAAAAAAAAAAAAAATTTATTTATATTTTATAAGGATATTTATGTATTTTGATTTTATGATTTGTAAACTTTTATTATGTTATTAGGATATATACATGATGAAGATATAACTATGTTTAAATATATTTTTATATATGTTTGGAGTATTTATAAATAATATGTAGAAATATATTATATTAAATTTTAAAAACCGATTTATTTCCGATTTATCACCGCCGCACCGATTAATCGTGAGTCGGTGCCTGACCGACTCGGACCCGATTACCGATTTTTACAACCTTGCATACATGTAGCGGAATAATGTATCCAATGCGTTATCTCATTAGAGTTTATAACTACGTTTTAGGGGGTAAGTGTAATTATTGATACCATAGGGACCTTAAAATTATTTAAACATACCCCAGGGGTATGGTTGCAATTTACTATATATATATATATATATATATATATATATATATATCTTCACGATTGAAGTACAGAAGCGGCATTGTATTTTAAAAATCATGGTAATACAGCATCGTACCGTAATTTTATATATTCGATTGCTAAAATTTTGAAATATTCTGAATTCTAACGATTTTGATCCAAAATATTCCAATTTTCCGAGATTCCTTTTCAAATTTTCTTAATATTTTTAGAATAAATTTGGAATTAATTTTGTAATTGACTTATCGTGCATCAAGAAGTTAGTGTATGCACAAATCCTATTACATGAATGTCAAATTTCGAGGGAGACATGCAATAATTAATACAGTTAAATCCCTATAAATTAATACATAGTCGAAATAACAAGAAACTATTATTTAAGAAAAGTTATTAATTTATTAATTATTAATTTATCAATGTTCTACTGTATGTAGAAAGGTTTTTTTCTACCATTTTAATGATGGGTAAATGGCAAATAGGCCCATGACAAAGGCACTTAGTTGAAAGAGGGACATCCAACATTTTTGTCTTTCAAATAAATCCAGCTCATTCAAACTTATTTGCAAATAAGGAAAATCCTTTTATATATACCAATATTACCACCAATTCATTGAAACTCAATTTAACTCCAATTTCATGATTTACACCCCAATTTAGCCAAATTTCATCAGTTAACCAATTTTCACCATAATTTCAATTTTGACCCCAATTTTGACCCGCCACCACCGGAGACCGCTGGTCGCCATCGTTGACCGGCGTCGACTTTTTTTTTTTCTTTTTTTGTTTTTATGAAAAAAAAAAATTTCCTGAATTTTTTTTCCGGCCAATCAACTGTCGTTGACCGCCGAGTCTCCAGCGTTGACTTTTTTTTTATTTTTTATTTTTATAATTTTTTTTCATAAAAATTTATTTTAATTAATATTACTGTCTTGACTGCTTACTGTCTCCGGCAGTTATTTAACTGTCGGAGACAGTAATTTAACTGTTATTTGATTTTTTTTTTCTTCAAAAATATTTTAATTAATATTACTGTATTCGTTGCTAAATTACTGTCTCCAGCAGTTATTTAACTGCCGGAGACAGTAATTTAACTGTTAATTGACTTTTTTATTCTTTAAAAAAATATTTTTAATTAATATTATTGTATTCGTTGTTAAATTACTGTCTTCAGCAGTTATTTAACTGTCGGAGACAGTAATTTAACTGTTAATTGACTTTTTTATTCTTAAAAAAATATTTTTAATTAATATTACTGTATTCGTTGCTAAATTACTGTCTCCATCAGTTATTTAACTGTCGGAGACATTAATTTAACTGTTAATTGACTTTTTTTTTTCTTAAAAAAAACTATTTTAATTGATATTATTGTCTTTGCTGCTAAATTACTGTCTCCAACAGTAATTTAACTGTCTTAGACAATAATATTAATAATATTACTGTTCGGGAAAATAATATTGATAATATGATTGTCCCAAACATTAATATTACTGTCTGAGACAGTAATTTAGTAGCCAAGATAGTAATATTAAGTAAAATATTTTTTTTCTAAGGACCAAAAAATTCCAAAAAAAAAAAAAAAAAAAAAAAAAAAAAAGTCAACGCCGGAGACCGGCGGTCAACGGTGGTTGACCGGCCGGAAAAAAAATTTCAGGAAAAAAAAAGTTTTCAAAAAAAAAAAAAAAAAGTCAACGCCGGAATCTGGCCGGAAAAAAAATATTCCAGAAAAAAAAATTATTTTCTAAAAAAAAAAATTGTGGGTTTATGTGATATTTTTGGTTTAAATCGGGGTCAATGTGTAATATTAAGGACGTTAGAGCATAATGGGTGGAATTGATAAGAATTATATTATGGAGAGTATTTTAGACTAAAGACATGAGGATAGATTTAATTGATAAACTGTTTTTTTTTTTGGACCAAAATGAATTTAAGTCCATATTTGAAATGCCCATATCTGAATATTTGAAATTATGTGTGTTAAATGCCCATATCTTACTTATACATAGCATGATGAAGTTAATAAAATATTGTTAGCATATAAAGAGTATTTGAAACTGTTATGGGTTTAGAGAGAGATTGAAAATTGTGATCACTGTTAGGGATTTACCATTATATTAACCATCGTCAACAATTAATAAATAAAATTCTAAATTAACTCAGAATTAGCCCATTTCCAGCTAACCTGGCCCTAAGAATGGCCTAATTAATTCAGTTATCTTATAAATTTTCAAATACTTGAAGCATAATTAATATAAAAAAAATGATTCTGAAATATTCAAAGCACATATATATAAAATAATTTAACAAAGATTTTATATACATAAAAAAATTTAACTTACCCTCTACAAATTCGACAGCAGTATAGACGACGGAGTGAATCGAAGGACGGCGGAGTGCAGTGGTGGCAGGGGCAGCGACAGCGGTGGCGGCGAGAGCGGCAGCGGAAACGGCGGGAGCGGCAGTGGCAGCGGCGGTGTGAAACAGGGAGGAGGAGCGGGAGAAGAAGGACTTCGGTGGTGGCTCGGCCTTAGTAATCGGTGATGTCATCGGCACGGTGGAGGTGGATTTATGTGGAGAATATTGAAGCGGCGGTGGCGGCGGTGTGGAAGACGGAGGAGGAGCTGAGATAGAGGGATTTTGGCGGTGGCTATCTCGTTGACTTCGGCTGCACAAGGCCTTATGCCGTCACCCGCGACGGCGACGGCGACGGCGGAATGATTTGCTTCGGCGGAGGAGGGGTGTGGGAGCAGCTGCGATTTTGGGAAGAGACGGTGGATGAAAAGTGTTCTGAAATTGGGGTGTGGAAAAGGGGTTTTAATTTGGTTTCACGACGTTTTTACTTATAGTCGCAGGACCGAAAATTTCCTTGCGACGTTTTCCTATATTTTAGTCGCCACAACAAACTTATGGAAATAAAATTGCGACTTTACTTAATTAAACGTCGCAACAGAAAAATTGTGAAAAAAAAACCAATTATATTGCGACGTTTCCATCCATCGCACTATTTACGTCGCAAAACAAATTTAGAAATTTTTAATTGGAAAACCATTGCGACGCAATAATATATAAAAGTCGCCAATTTTCCAATCACCTTGCGTCGTTTCTTAGTTATCGTCGCAACTATTATTAATTGAAAAATTAAAAAAAAAAAATTCTCTTGCGACGAAAATTTCCAAAAACGTCGCAATTTTGCGACGTATATATAACAGATTCGTCGCCTTTTCTTCAGGGAACTTTTCATTTTAAAGTTTGCGATGATTTCCGCGACGTAATTTCGAATCGTCGCAATATTTACTCATTTTTAGAATTTGAATTTAAATTATGAATTACTGCGACGATATGTTAAGAAAACGTCGCAATATGTGCGACGTTTTCATTATCGTCGCAAATAAAACGTCGCCTGAAATGAAATTTGGCCTAGTGATAATGAGGTTTTTTTGTCATTCGCCCTTTAATGATTAATATTAATATAAAAGTTGGGCTTGTTTGCCCCAACACGTTTTGTGTTTCTTATTGTATAGATGTTAGTGAGAGTTGGGCAAATCAAGCTATTTATGTGGAGAGAAAAAAATGGTAAGTATTAAACTACTAATCTCAAAATGGGAAATATGCAATACACCCCTCATTTAGAAAATATTTTGAATCTTTAAAGACTTTTCCCATAAATCAAATTCAAATCTAAATTAGTGAGACCCCCCTTACCAGTCATAATAGGACTAAAGTGCCCCTATGTGTTAGGTTTTTAACGTAATACATTTTTTTTATTTCTCTCTCTTTCATTATATCGCTCTCTCTCTCTCTTGTTCGCGGTTTATTTCTTCGTCTTTTTTTTTTCCCTTCTTCTTTGAATCTGAAACCGCCGCCGCCGGAGCTAATAATACCCTTCAAACGCCGCCGGTCGAAATCCGTTGCAGGAGGCCCTCCTCCGCCGATGTTGGAGATCGTCTCCCCCCTCGTCCAACACCACTACATCGACGCATGGTACAATTGGCGGCGGCGTCTCCCCACCTTGTCGCCGCCTCCGTCGGGTGCGTGATTTCTACAAGGTGACTCCTCTCCTCTCAACGCGGAATACCAACGAACAATAGAATATGTTATGGATCTGTTTGAGTTCTATTATTTGTTTGTTATGAACGAATACGTTGATTTTCAATTATTATGAATTTTATTGATTTTGTGTTATTCTGTATATATTCTGAATGTTTAGATCTGTAAAACTCATTGAATTACAAGATTAGTCGGTTGTAGTGCAGTGTATTGTATTACAGAGTAGTCATATTTGACAGAATAGTCATGTTTAATAGCTTAGTTATATTTGTCATTTTTTTTGGTAGTGCAACATATTTTCTGTGTAGTTATATTTGACAGAGAAGATCAAACGGAAGATTAAGTGCAGTCGGTGCAACCGAGTTGGCTACCGCAACAAAAAAACATGTTCGATGGCCATTGTTGGAGGATCACATTAGTTATTTTTGTTTTTTTATAGTCATTTTTTTTCTATTTACAATGTATTTGCTATTAATATTGCAAGCTTTTTCAAGTGTTGATTACGTGTAGTCACATTACGCAGGACCTAGTCACATAATATTCATATTTCTACTGTCCTGCTCAGTCACTGTTATAAAACCGTAGTCACATAATAATCATATTCTCACTGTTTTGCTAAGAATTATGCTTCTACGGTATGTTAATTACAATGTTTTATAAAGCACAAACACATTCACATAATAGTCATATTCTTAATGTTATCTTAATAATTATGTTTCTACAATATGTTAATTACACTGTTATACACAGCGTAGTCATATAATAGTCATATTCTCACTATTCTGTTAATGGCTATATAGAGATTCGAATGTGACTATTTCAATCAAAACCGGAGACTTGAATGTGACTAGTAGGGGTTATGGATGTATGACGTTTTACCAAATGTTTTCGATTTTTTGGTATGTGACTGCAGTTTCGAAGCAAAGAATTTTCGATTAATTAGGTGAGTTTTCAATTTAGGGGAATTTTCACTTTCTTGAGTCTCCTTCAGCGAATTTTATGTAATTTGAATTTTTTTTTTTCAATTTGGAAGCAACTTTGATAGGAAAGCAGATATTAATGCTAATTAATATAGGGATTTAGGCCCCCATATTATTAGGGATTTCGAAATTAATAGAGATTTAGGCGCCCATATTATTAGGGATTTCGAAGATAATGGTTAGGCGTTAAAATTGTGATAATTGGCAATATTGGAAATAAATATTCTAGGGGTTTATCACAAAAAAAAAAATTGTAGTATGGACATATCACTATTTTTTACCTATCGGAGGGGTTATTGCTAATGACCACCTCAAAATTCCCAACTCCAACAACGTAATCTATAATTAAGCAAGTTATAGCCAAATTATTGGCTTCCCTAATTAATTTGCATGTGAACTTGAAAAAAAAAAAACCAAAATTATAATTTAAGAAAAATTTTAATTACATTAAACTTTCAAAGTTGAAATTGATATTTTTTACCTTTTTGGAAGAAAACAATATTTATATAGAAATTAACTAAGATAGTTATCTTCGATATAATAATTAGAATAAGTCGATGGAATACAAAACTTTGAAATTCCGTTTTTTTTAAATCATTATTATTTAATAATTTCCATAATATTCATATAGAGTTATATGTAATTACATATACTAGAATACAATTTAAAAAGAATTCTAACTCAATGTATTCTAAGTTTTTAACCACAGCCAATACCTCCTATATATAAGACATTAGTTCTTTCATCGCTCAAATAATTCAACACCAAATCCCACCCTAGTTTTTTTCTCTTTTTCTTATTTCGAAGAAAATACCTAAAATCTTAAAATCTTATTCATGGCGTCTTCTCAAGAAAACGACGTCAAAAAACCGGAAACTACAATAACCCTAAAAGACGACGAAAAACCCGAAACAACTATAACCCTAAAAAGTTCCGACGGAGAAGTATTTGAGGTCCCCGAATCTGCCGCCTTATTATCATACACAATCAAGATCATGGTGGAAGATTGTCGTGCAGGTGATGTCATCTCACTCGAACAAGTCGACGGAAAAACCCTATCTTGGGTTATTACGTACCTCAAAAAACACGCAATTGATCCTTTCTCTGAAAAAGACAAAGACGAGTTCGACACGGAATTTTTTTCCGATAAAGAATTTACTTCCGTCGTCGACATTATTAATGCAGCCAATTACCTCAATATTAAGGAATTACTACATACGTCCACCAGAAAGATTGCTGACTTAATGGCGATCCGATGGAACCGTGCCATGGTTGGGAGAATTTTTTGGTGAAAACCTTTGGCGTGAACTCGACTTTTAAGCCGGAGGAGGAAGCGGAGACTAGGCGGCCGGAGTACCTGTGGGCCCACGAAGAAGATGTTGAATCTAACGAGGATTGATTTAATTAGTACTCAGGTTTTTTTTTTTTATTTATTTATAGATTGGTATTCAAGATTTAGGTTTTATTCTAATTGTTGCATGGTTGAATTACTGTTAAGCATTTAGGTTTTATTATTTATTTTCCAACTGGTTAATTAATGAACTTGAAACATTTGAAATCATATATATATATATATATATATATATATATATATATATATATATATATATATATATATACATACATGTTCACGATTGAAGTACAGTAACGGCATTGTATTTTAAAAACCATGGGTAATACCGCATCGCACCATAATTTTATATTTTCGAGAACTAAAATTCTGAAATATTATGAATTCTGATGATTTTGATCAAAAAAATTTCAATTTTAAACAATTCTTTTTACACTTTCCGAGATTCCTTTTCAATTTTTCTTAATATTTTTAGAATGAAATTGGAATTAATTTTGTTATTGACTTGTTGTGCATCAAGAAGTTGGTTTATGCACAAATCCTATTAATTACATGAATGTAGAAATTAATACAGTCATAATTAAAGAAATTCTATTAATTTAACAAAATATTAAGTTATTGAGTTAATAATTTAACACATTTTCACCGAGTCGAAAGAACAAGAAATTATTACTGAGGCAAAGTTATTAATTTATTAAATATTAATTTATCAATGTTCTACTGTATAACGGTTTTCTTTTTTTACTATTTTAATGATTAATATTAATATAAAAGTTGGGCTTGTTTGTCCCAATACTTTTTTGTGTTTCTTATTGTATAGATTTTAGTGAGAGTTGGGCAAATCAAGCTATTTATGTGGAGAGAAAAAAATGGTAAGTATTAAACCACTAATCTCAAAATTCCCAACTCCAACAACCTAATTTATAATTAAGCAAGTAATAGCTAAATTATTAAGCAAGTAATTTTCATTTTTTTAAATCATTATATATTCATATAGAGTTATATGTAATCATGGATACTAGAATACTATTTAAAAAAGTATTCTAACTCAATGTATTCTAACCATAGCCAATACCCCTATATATAACACATTAATTCTTTCATCGCTCTAATAATTCAACCACACAAAATCCCACCCTAGTTTTTTTTTCTTTCTTTTTCTTATTTCGAATAAAATACCTAAAATCTAATTCATGGCGTCTACTCAAGAAAATGACGATAAAAAACCCGAAACTACAATAACCCTAAAAGACGACGAAAAACCCGAAACGACAATAACCCTAAAAAGTTCCGACGGAGAAGTATTTGAGATCCCCGAATCTGCCGTTGTATTATCATACACAATCAAGATCATTGTGGAAGATACACTACAAGAAAATGTAAAATAGGCAACAATTTCTTTATGGACGAAATTAATTTCGTTGCCAATAATTATATTTCAGCAATGAAATATAGTATTTGTGGCTAAAGAATATCCTTTTTGTAACAAGATATTTTTGTTGCCTTTGAATCTTATAGGCAACGAAAAATATTGTTGTAAATAGGATCATATATATTTCGCAACGAATTTAATGTAAGACAACAACTTTGTTTGTTGCAAAAGAGTGTTTCTTTTTGCTACGATATAAAATTGTAGTAAATACATATACAACGGCAACAAATTTATTTTGTTACCAATAAGTGACGAAAGACAACGAAATTTTTGTTGTAAATGCTCCAAGTTATTTGGCAAGAAAATATAATTGTTGCCAATTTACAAACCAACTATTTTTTTTTTCTTGATTTTAATTTAAATGTATATATTATTATTATTATTATTTTTATTATATATATATATATATATATATATATATATATATATATATATATATATATATATATATATATATATATATATATATATATATATATATATATATATATATATATATATATATATATATATATATATATATATATATATATATATATATATATATATATAATATTGAATTATTAATATTATTTTTGTGCCACTGTTTTGGCGCTTGCTTTAGTCAATATAGTGACTTTACAAGTGTACAAACTTTTTTCTCTTATCCAGGAACAATGAACCATTGACGTTGTTCCATATCAATTCCTCGTCAAGTTCGCCATTTAAGAAGGTCGTTTTCACGTCCATTTGATGTATCTCATGGCTATGCAATGCAACAATAGCAACGAGTTCACGTACGAATGGAAGTGATCATTATTATAGGCGAGTAGGTATCCAAGCAACCATGTCCTTTTTGTTTGAATCATTTAGCTACTAATCTAGCTTTATATTTGTCAACTGATCCATCGACTTTGTACTTCCTTTTTAGAATTCATTTACATCCTAATGGTTTGCTTCCCGGAGGGGATCACCTAACTCCCAAGTGTGATTTTGCATGATGCATGGATTCAATTTCACTATGAATAGCTTATTTCCACAATGGAGCCTCGGGACTAGACATTGCTTCTTGAATAGTCCTAGGTTCGTTTTCCAACATATAAATTAGAAAATCGAGACTAAATGACTTAGCCACTTTGGCTCTTTTACTACGTCTTGGTTTTTCCTCCATTTGAGATGAATCATTTATAGTTTCATAATTCCTCTTTTTGGAATTTGTCTCTTTTTTTTTCTTTAAAAGGGAAGATTTCTTCAAAGATAACAGTATTTCTTGATTTTACGATCATTCCTTCATTAATGTCGTGAATTTCTGACTTATGCACATATGTAGTGCTATTATTTGCATATCAAATGAAGATGCAATCTACTGTTTTGGGTCCAATTTTTAAATTGGAAAACACAAATGGCGTGCATACTTAAAATAGCTAGTGCAAACAAATTAATTCAATTGTATGCATCCCACACTATATAGTACTTTTTTTTTTTTTTGATGAATAAACACTATATAGTACATACATAATTGAAATATATTTGATTATTATTTGAGAGATTTAAGTGCTATTATAGTGTGATCCCAAACCGCGTGTAATACATTAATTGGTTTTCAATTTGTTGAGATTTAGAAATGTAAATATAGAGATACAGAAATTTGATTTTATTTCAGTCTTAGCCTATAAATTGTCTCAATGTGAGATAAATCATTACTACATCAATTGTCTATATTTTAATTTACCACAAAAAATAAAGAACAAAAAAAATAGTAGAAAAGTTGGAGTTATACATCAATGGGGAGGAAGTTCTTGGGAGCCACTATTTTGTTCTTTCTTCTCTACATTTCATGTAAGCAATCTCTACCACTTATTTGTCTCCCTCTTTTAAATTATATATATATTATTTTTTGTAGAAACTCTTTTAAATCATATTATAATTGTACAAATATATTATTTTAAATATTTTGGTATTTTGGTTAATTAGTCATAATTGATGGGGCGCGTGCCGACGAGATGCAATGCGCAACGCCGAGTAGCACGTACACGAACAATTGCTATGGATTCGAGAGCGAATGCAGTGCAGCTTGTGCGAAAGAGGGCTTTGAAGAAGGGAAATGTCAAGGCTTCTTGTTAGAATGCATTTGTTACAAGAATTGTAATTAATATATACAATTGTTCTCCAATTGTAACACTTTCTTGTCTGAAAAAATAATAATAATTAACCTAGATATATTATTTAAAGATATGCAAAATCGTTAATTAATTTCTTTATTTTTCCTTTTATTATTTTTTCTTTTCTAGTGAAATTTAAATCTGTGACGAGGATGAACCTTTTTCATATGACTAAGGTAATTTTGGCACAATTGCAAGCATAATCAATTTCGACATTTAGCAAAAATAAATAAATTAAAAGAAATTGATATGCATAAATAAATAATTTAAACTTCATATTGAAATTGGGTATCTTCTTGAATAATTGAATGCATATTTTACTTTAGCACATAACTTCAAATTTTGGCTTAGATGAAACTACAGTCATGTATTCCTTGCTTCTGACCAAAGGCAAGTTAAATATTCTTATATAAACATATTAACCTTTTTGTAAATGATGAGATCACCTCCAAAATATATATATATGTCTCTATTTTTATTTAATTTCATAGAACATCTACGAATTAATAAATAAATAAATAAATAAAATCATTTACGTAGAAATATAAACTCTAGAGTGATTTTTATCCGTTGAATAAAACGAGTCATTTATACGAGCAAAAGAGAGTCGAAGAAGCAAGCATGGGAATCAAAGGGGAGATATTAATTCTAAGTATGGCATTCCTATGCGTTTGTGTTATTCCATCCTCGAGTAATATTCCTCGAGAAATCTTGCCTTTAGGTTAATTATTTCCATCATTTTCTATGAATTAAGCAAATATACAAATATAATTAATTTATGTATTCTTTCAACAGCTCATCCGGTCAAATTTGGCCACGCTAGTGGCGGCAGAGGTGGTGGCAGAGGTGGATCTCAGTCTCACTCGCCCAATATGCAACGAGGTTCGGGTGTTGTACCCTTATATGTAGCCGCCGGTGCAGCTAATAACCACCATAACAATCATGTGAGTCGCAACCGGAGCATGTGCAGCCACAATCGTCTCGAACTTGTTCATTTTGCCTTTACTATTTTGGTTTGCCTTCTGCTTTGAGACATCTAAATTAATAGAAAAAGTATGAATAATGTATAGTTTTAAGGAGTATATATATATACATATACAGTAGCAAATAGTTCTGGTTAAGAATTATATATTTTCAAATATTTTAATTTGTTAAAATTAACATTAAAAGCTACATTATAAAAATATATTTAATACAAAATATGAGTTCAAATTTCCATTCCAAAAAAATCGGGATGCAAGAATTCATTCCGACTTCTGAATGCCATGGAATCGACGGAATTTCGAAAATTACATTAGTATATAATCTCTTGTTCCGAATTCGGATATAGTGAGAATTTTCACAATATTTTTCTATCTTTTTTCGAAATCTTACTTGAAAATGCAAGAAAATCCAAAAAGATAGTTCGACAAAATGCAATAAATAAAAAGGCATGTAGGAACAACAATTTGAAACATAGATTTTCTTATAAGGAAAAATGCAACTTCAAGTTTCTGATACCAATTAATCTTTTTAAAAATTATTCCTTCGGTACTTCTGTTTTTTTATATAAAATACAACATAAGTCATATTATGAAATTACAAAATATATCATAAAACTATATTATATATTTCGAAAAACCATAGAAATATTTGGAACTAAAATCGGATCGGAAATGGAAATTTCCGATACCAATATAAACCATTTCGATTTTATTCCAAATAAATTCAGGAAAAATAAAAAATCGGAACATTGGAAATTAGAACTGAAAATACGGTTCCAAATTCGGATATTTTCGGGTCGGAGTTGGCGGAATTCAGAAATTCCATTCCAATTTTCACCCATAGTTTTAACCAAAGCCAAGCTAACCCAAAACAATAGAAGATCAAACATACAAGTGATGATCATGCAATGAAGAACTTGTGCACAATAATCGTCTAAAAGCCTTGAAAGTGTAGGAACAATTCGATTTTTCAAGTACAACTGCAATATTTACGATTTAGAACAAAAACCCACACAAATCGAGGCATCGTTAAATGATACTATTTCACGTGAATTAGTTTTCAAATAATGAAATGTTTTAGTACTGTATCAACTGATGCAGGAAAAAAAATCGTTTAAACACGAATTAAAGTTACTTGAACGTAATTAATTAATTAATCAGCCTACCTTTAGAACTGGGGAAGTAGCTCAAGCTTACGAGCTTGAAAAAATTTGCAACGGCCTTTACCACTCGATTCAATGTCTTCACTTTTTGTCTTAAGCGTTGTGAAACCGACACTTGTAAGTTTCTTTTGCCGTTTGCTACTCCTTCCGTTTCCGTCTTCATCATTAGCATCCGATTCCCTATCACAGTATAAAGAAGATAACCCAACCCGCTAATTTTTTGAAACAAAACTTAAGTATAATAGTTTAAGTGATCCAAGAAAACGTAAGAAAATAAAGAAATGAAATATTGGCAGAAAAATAGCAACGAGTATAATAATTTAGTGATTCAAGAAAATGTAAGAAAATAACTATTCATGGACATGTTTTTTTTTTCGGTTATTACGCAAATGTACTAACCATAAGACTTCGACTAAGTCTTTGGAATATGCTGTGCATGTTCCCCAACTGAAGCGGACCAATGACGGGAATCCGAATATTGAGTGTTTATGATCTTCGAGCCACGATTTTGTCTGTGGATCTGTTGTATGATGATGTTTTTGAATATGTCTTAAAAAATGAAGCAAATAAATGATGATTGAAATAAAGAAGACGTGACGGAAAAAATTACCTCCGGGATAACCGGACCCGAAATTCTTGTGCAGGCCCTCTGCAGTTTCTTCTAGCACCCAATTTCTCAAAGCTCTATCTCTTGTCACCTGAAAGAAACGACTATTTTATGAGAGAGAGAGAGATTTTCTCTGACACGAAGAAAGAAAAGAGAGAGAGAGTTACCTTTGCAACAATACTTGCACCACTTACAACAGGATAAAGACTGTCAGCTTTCTTCGCAACAACAAATTTGATATTAGGAAATCTTTCGGAAAGTTTTACTCTGTACTTTTCGGGATCTCCAACAGTATCCAAAAAAACCTAGATCAGAAGAAATTCTGAATGTTACATAATACTTCGACAATAGCCGTTGCTGTACTAGTAGACTAAAGGGTTCCACAGAGTCTAAAAAATCTCGTACACATGCAATAAAATTTGTAGCAATATTATTATGATCGGCAAATAACATTTCTGTTGGGTTTTCGATACCGGTGCAAGGCTACTATTTCCTTTATTTGGTCTTAAACGTGATGGTTAAACAACAATAACATACATTAGATTAGTTAGTGGCCTATGGCATCGGATTTTTTGTACTCTAAATTTGGAAATGTAAAGCCATATGCAACTCATGGGATTAAAATAACTGCGAAAGCAAACAAGTAAATGATATGAAACTGAAAATGACAAAAAAAAAATAAAAAAAAATAGGGTAAATTACGAAAAAACCCCTGAACTTAGGCTAAATTATGAAAAACACCCTCACCTATCCGTCATTACTAAAATTCCCCCGACCCTTGTTTTCTTACACCGACCCCATTAAGGTGTGATTTTTACGAAATCTTTTTGATTCAAGGGAATATTCCCCGAAAAATGCCGATTCTACCCCTCCAGGCGTGGCATTTCTTTATGCTACTTTTTAAAGGAAAAAAAATACCCTAATGGGGCCGTTACATGGAATCTTTATTCTTCTTAAATAACACATTCGCAACTTTTCAGTATTAGCATTACCCCTCTGAGGGTAATTTTTTTCTTCAAAAAGTAGCATAAAGAAATGCCACGTCTGCGAGGGTAGAATTGACATTTTCCAGAAAATATTCCATGGAATGAAAAAGATTCCGTGAAAACTCACATAGTGAAGGTGTCGGTGTAAGACACAAACAAACGTCGGGGGAGTTTGGTAATTACTGATGGGTGGGGGAGTTTTTCGTAATTTAGCCTAAGTTCAGGGGGGGTTTTCTTAATTCACCCAAAAAAATATAGATGGGTGAAGAGATAAGTTTATCTTGTTCAGAGATAAACTTTATGGAAGAATTTTACCTCAGTTAGAAGAACACCGAAGTTCAACGCCTTTTGGATGAGCCCAATTGCGGAATTGTGTGATATTTCATTTAGATTTATCTTATTTCTGCACAGAGAGAGAGAGAGAGAGAGAGAGAGAGAACACTGTTAAGATTTATGAAATTTGTTAGATAGATATTTCTTTAGAGAAGGGTTTGATAGTTACTTCTTTAACATTTTGGCTGACAGCTCTCTCGGATCGATAACATCGGCATCCCATCCGATTGATTCATCAGTTTTCAAACTTTCAAATAACTCTTCCCTCTTCTCTTCTTTTAAAGTCTTTGAGTCTGCATTGAGAAAGGTCAAGAATTCAGCTGAGTGCAAATATTTTCTGAAAAAAAAAAACAAAAAATCGGCACACAGAAACTAGTTGCCATAAAAACAATGTGAATCTTTTATATGAGAAAGAGACGAAACTCCAGTCTCCTAGCGTAGCAATTGTAAGAAAATATTTTTCTTTCTCCATTTTTTAAGTTCAAATCCCAAATAATGCAAATTCACTAAACTATAGGTTTTTTACTTGTGTAGAATCGACAACAAAAATTTATTAGAGAATACGCACAGTCGAGCGAATAAATATCGTAAAATCCTCCCGAGAAAAACGACCACAAGTTTCCAATTCATGAGTATAATAGTATTATCGAAGAGACAAAAACCGGGGAAATAAAAGATAATGGTGCTTGTTTAGTAGAAAATTAATAAACGAAACTCTCGAGACAACAATCTAGATAATTTTGAAGATCATCGGTTAACATTTAACATCTATTTTTTATGTTATTCTTTTGCCTTCTTGTTCACTTGCAATGAGTTCAAAATGTAATGGCTCCAAACATTAATAGAAAAAAATGTTGCAATCTCTAAGCATAAGTTACCGAATAACAAAACTCCTCAGAAAAATTAACTACATAATAAAATTAAATAAATAAACCCAGCTTTCAGAAAGGGGGGAAAAGAGAAAATAAAAGATTTAGCAGAGGTTAAAATTGGTAAATAGAAAAACCTGCAAAACTCAAAGTGGAGAGGGTTTTCTGATACGAGCGTGCACAGTACATGCATCCATACACCATAGGTCCTGATAAATAAAAGATTAAATAAAAAATAAAAAATGTTTTTCGATTTGGAGTTGAGATTAAACAAATTGAAACGACGAATTACTGAGTTCATCGAATTGTTAAGGCTACCTAAAACAGGGCCTCGCCCAGCTTCGTCAATGCCCATTATGCACGGCGTCGACGCCCATTTCGGCGGCGGCGCCGCTTCTGATCCCATTTCTTTTGCCGGCTTTGATTCTTCCGCTAAAACCTCTTTCCCGCCAAAAAATGAGGGTTCTTGCCTGCGTTTATAAAGAGAGCAATTGGACATATGATTTGGGGCTGCTACCAGTTTACCCAAAGTCTAAATACACTTATTTTTTTAATTTTCTTTTTTTTTTTTTTTTTTTTTTTTTTTTGATAAGTAAGTATAAAATACACTTATTTATTTATATTTTTTTTGTAGAAAAGTTCAAATACAATTCTAATCTTAATAAATTTAAATAAATAAGCAAATTCAAATCTTTATTAAGTGATTTTTTTTATTTGTAGTTAAGCATAATTTTATTTTATTCTACAACAACTTCTAGTGTTTTGGCATAAAGTAATTATTACATAAATGTTTTAAGAATGCTATACTAACAAATAACTTAATCTATTTTATACCTTAACTCTTGTGTTTGTAGCTTATTTTGGCTTTACCTAAGAATGACTAAAATTATTTTAAATAACTGATAAATTTGTACGTCTAATTAATTGTTTTAAAAGTTGATAAGTTAATACATCTTATTTTTCAAATTAATTTTTGAAGTGTTTTGATGATGAGCTTATAAGCAATTTTTACTCATTATAAAATCTTAAATAATAAGGTAGAGTAGAGGTATTATAGAAAGAAAAAAAAAATATTTGCTCTTTACTTATTTTTTAAGTTTTAAATTTTTTTTTTCTAAATAATTACCAAATACTTTAAAAGAACTTATAAACTCTTAACCATCTTATAAGCTAATTTTGACAATTTGTAAATTTATCCAAACACCTTCTAAATTTCATTTATTTCCTATTATTATTGTTAGTAACTTAGAGAGTTAGAGGGTGTTTGGCTAAACTTATTTTAAACAGCGGATAAGCTCTTATGTCTGATTAGATGTTTTAAGAGCTGAAAAACTGTTACATCTTATTTTTAGGATTAATTTTTAGAATGTTTGGATAATGAGTTTATTTCCTATTTTTAATCATTGTAAGATCTTCAATAAAAATGTGGGGTATATGTATTTTTTTTAAAAGATCTTATTTATTCTCCAACAGCTTATTTAAAAAAAATTAAGATATTTTTTTAAAAATTTAACAAACACTTTGAAATTGCTTATAAACCCTAAAACATCTTATAAGCTCGTTTAATATCTTATAAGCTTAGTCGAACACCTATTAAGAAGCAATCTACAAATTGTGACAAATAAAATTTGTATTTAACAAAAAATGAAGAAAAATAAATCCCCCGTTGATTTTTAATTCCACCCAAAACTGTCAGCAAATGCAAAACTTTCGTACTTCTCCGATACTTCGTAATCAAATTGTCTTGATTAAAACCTTTAAATGATAGTCTTGTTTAGGAGCAGTAGAAATCGCATTGGATTTACTTTGAATTGCAGAAGCATTTCATCAACATGCACTGCTAAATACGAGCCGCCAATCCAAGAAGAAGACCGTGTTTGGGTATGCACAAGATCAACTTTTTTGCAAATTCAGCAAACCATCATTCAAAAATGTGCGAAAAAGGGAGCGATTGCGCAAGGGAAGTCCTGCCATTCACAGATTATTCACTTCGGTTTGCAAGCAGACACTTTGACTTCAAACATGCTGATCAATATGTACTCGAAATGCGGTGTTGTGGAGTACGCCCGCAAGGTGTTCGATGAAATGCGCGTGAGAAGCGTGGTTTCTTGGAACACTGTGATTAGTGCGTACACTCATAATGGAAATGGAGAAGGGGCTCTGAAGCTTTTTGCTAGGATGCTGAGAGAAGGGTCCGAGTTCAGCGAGTTTGCGTTGTCGAGTGTGTTGTGTGCTTGCGCATCGAAGGTTTTAGCATTCGAGAGCAAACAGTTGCATGCTTTTGCTATCAAGACATCGATGGAGTCGAACGCGTTTGTGGGCACTGCATTGCTAGATGTTTACGCAAAGTGTTGTTTTGTTGAAGATGCTTATCGGGTGTTTGAAACCATGCCGGAGAAGAGTGACGTCACTTGGAGTTCGATGATGGCTGGATTTGTGCAAAACGAGCTTTACGAGGAGGCTATGGGTTTGTTTCTATGGGGACTAAGGAATGATGTCGAGATTAATATGTTCAGTATTTCTTCATTTCTTAGTGCTTGTGCTGCTATGTCTGCTTTAATAGAAGGAACGCAAGTACACGCTTTAGTGTACAAAACCGGTTTTGGTGCAAACGAACACATTGCTTCTTCTCTTGTAGACGTGTATGCGAAATGCGGAAGCATCAAACACTCGTACGCCGTGTTTTCTGATGCAGAGGGCAAAAACGTCATTCTCTGGAATACGATGATATCTGGTTTCGCTAGACACGCCAGGTCTTTAGAGGCCATGATATTGTTCGAGAAAATGCAGCAGATGATGTTTTACCCAAACGAAGTAACTTACGTTTCTATATTATCCGCTTGTGCGCATATGGGGTTGGCTGAAAAGGGGCGTATATATTTCGACATGATGAAGAAGGAACACAACTTGTCGCCGAATGTATTTCACTACTCGTGCATGGTCGATATTCTTGGCAGAACAGGACAAATTAACGAAGCCAAGGATTTAATCGACAAAATGCCGTTCGAAGCTACAGCTTCGATATGGGGGTCGCTATTAGCTTCTTGCAGGGTTTATCGAAATGTCGAATTGGCGGAGATTGCAGCTAAGAATTTGTTCGAAATCGAACCTAATAATGCAGGGAATCATGTGTTACTTTCGAATATATACGCAGCGAATGGAATGTGGGAAGATGTTGCAAATGCGAGGAAGCTTCTTAAAAGTAGCGAAGCCAAGAAGGAGAGGGGTAAAAGTTGGATCGAAATTAAAGACAAAGTTCACTCTTTTATGGTTGCCGAGAGAACTCATCCTAGAATCGGCGAGATATATTTAAGGCTGGATAAATTATTTGAGGAGATGAAGGAAATCGGGTTCAAAGGCTGTATCGAACATGATTTGCATGATGTTGACGACGATTACAAAAGGGATTTGCTGAAGCACCATAGCGAGAAGCTGGCTTTTACGTTCGGGTTGATGTGCTTGCCTTCTCGTGCGCCTATACGAATCATGAAGAACTTGAGGATATGTGGGGATTGCCACGAGTTTATGAAGGTGGCTTCGAGTATTACGGGGAGGGAAATTATTGTCCGTGACAATAATCGGTTTCACCATTTTAGTGAAGGATATTGTTCGTGTCGTGAGTTTTGGTGATAGTACCGAGTTTTCAAGAATTAAAGACGACAAACTCTCTCCGTGTGCATAGAGATTAGCGGTCTCGTCTATCTGTAAAGGTATTCAGTGTCTCTTATTCTCTATGTACAATATAGAATCGAGGAAGAACATTCCCGAGCTTTTACATAACTCAGCGCGTCACGGTTTTGACAGATACAAAATGCGTCTAGTTCGAAACTAATTGCTAACTTTGCGATTCTTATCAAAACGAACTAATTGCTAACTTTGCGAGTCTTATCAAAATGGTAGATGGCTTACGGGCTGCTTTCAATTGAGGATTCATTTTGTACTAACATCCGTTAAATATTGCAGAAGCATCACCACATCAAGAAATGCCGTTGTAGGTTAGATAAATCTGCACAAGAAGTTGCTTCCTAAACATCATCCTGTCAAAATTCCTATATAAAATAATCGTAGCACAAACATAAACAAAATCTACGAACAATATAGAAGAGATATAATTCAGCAAAAACAAATAGTTCTTATATAAACCGTCACTTCGAAAAGATCAGTCTCGACTAAAACACAATTAAAACGCCATTCGAAGAAATAAACTAAAACATAACCCTAAACAACCATCATAGCCAAAAAACCAGAAAGTTCAATAATCCCTCTTTTCCAAAAAAAAAAAACAATTAAACCAAAACATTTCAGTATCTCTTTCCGAAACCACCACCGCCGCCGCCACGGCCATAACCAGCGGCAACAGGCACAACACCCTGAGCTTCAGCGGTCTGCTTAACAACTCCGGGCAGGTCAGCCATTCCGAGGGAAGTAAGCATGTCAATGGTCTCCTGGTCAACCTCGATAACGTCGGTCTTGATGGCCGACTCGTCGGGCACGAAGTCCATACGCCTCTCTCTCTCCTCCTCCTGCAGCTTGAGTGAGATTCCGCGAACGGGTCCCTTTTGGATACGCTTCATCAAGTGGGTGGAGAATCCGGCAATCTTGTTGCGGAGACGCTTGGTCGGGATGTTGGTGACCTCGTCCATGATCTTCTTGTTCGTGTGGAAATCGAGAGTCATCTTCGAGTAGTACATCTCGATGACGTGGCGGGAGGTCTTCTTCACGGTCTTGGTACGAACACGACCCATCTTTGCAGCAGCTGACTGAACTTCCTTAACTCTTCAAAATAAAAGAAAGTAAAGATAAACCCTAATGGCAGAATAACACAAAAAAAAATGTACGAACACATTTCCAATTCGACACGTTTCTCAATAGATCACAGTTTAAATTTTCAACAAACAAAAATCATTTCTTGGATAAAATTTAGGGTTCCCATTTTTCAAATTAGAAGTGGAAGCAAACAATAAAACGAAAATAAAAATAATTAATCGAGAATTAATTCTACATAAGCACTGTGGATCAAATTTCTTTCTACATAGAACATCAAAAAGCACAGTTTTAAAGCATTAGATAAACAAAAAACACAAGATAAATCGAAATATTCTAAACCCCATTTCGAAATTAAATTCGTCGGGATACAGAAAATTAAAACTACACACAGCCAGATACAACAAACGATTTCTAGATTCAGGAAGCTTGAGCAAAAGAAAACTACAAATCCAGAGAAAACCCTAATACATAAAAGAAAACAATAAATTCGAGATTGTACATAAACAAGAAACGCGAAATTACCGGAAAGACTGAAGCTCCGGCGAATGAAGTTGCTTCTTGACGGCGCTCTTGGGAGGGAGGAGAAAGACGAAGTAATGAGAATGGAGGATTTAGGGGTTTTTGTTGATTAGGTCTTGAAAATGGGCCGGGCTTTTTATAAAATGGGGATAAATAAAAGGGCTTTTCATTATTAGGGTTTATTTTGTTCGCGCCGTTTGGATTTCGGAGGCTTTTAGTTGTTGTAATATATTCGGGAAAATTATTAAAAAATATAATTAAAAATAAATAAATAAAACTTCTTTTATCCTTAAAAAATACATTGAAAAACTGTTCCATTCGACAAGGATTCATATTTAATTTTTAACGGAAGAAAAAATATTAAAATGTCATAATAAAAAAAATACCTTTTTTTTCCAAAACATCCTTATAAATAGGGCAAAATACTAAAAAGTCCTAATTAAAAAACATTATGTCCAAAAACTCCCAATTAAAATTCATTTGTGCAGGATAGTCCTAAAATAATAATGTTCATAATAATTTTTCATATAAATTCTTTTAAATATCAGTATTAGTATTAACATTAGTATTATCACTGTATTAATATCAATATTAATATTAATTATTAGGATTATTGTTTTTTCAGTTGTCGGTATCGTATTATGCATCAACTATCAACTATCAACTAATAAAGTAGCCCGCGCTATTGCTCACCGTTCATGTAACTCTTGTTTGGAGGGTATTGAACTTCCGTCTCAGTTGGCGTCTATCGCCTAATAATATGATTTGTTTCGTTTCAAAAAAAAAGTTTGGCTCAGTTCTTACTCGTTCTTTCATCTAAGGATGATTTTTAAATATTATTTAGTATCATTAGTTATATATTGTACTCATTGAGTGATACTTTTTTATTCGTACGTTTTTACGAGAGATATTGTTGCTTACTCTGTGTGTTGGTTGTAAAAAGGTTTCCTATAATTTTTTCAGTATCCAGATAAGCCAACTAGGCAACAGAAGAGGGACGTTAAAGAACTGGTATGGTTGTTGTACATTGTCAATGACGCTTCTTCGTATTTTCTTATGCTATGTTTGCTATGAACACTAATCTCGATTCGACTAAAGTTACTAAAGTACGATTTCCCTCGATAATCATATATGTCAGAGTAATTTTGTTTTCTTAATCACTAGTTTCCGAAAATCATGTCAGTTTTACATTTCGTCGTGCAGATGGCAATATTATCTCGTATATATCCTTGTAAAGAATGTGCAGATCACTTTAAAGAAGTTATAAGGTGCATACTCACTCACTCCTTCGCAACCACCCTCAATTTTCTAACTTTCTATTTTTTTTTAAATCTTTTTCGGAAAGTTAGGCAATTTATTTTGGCATATTTTCATAATCTTCGGAGATGCTTAGTGAAAAATAAAATAGAATTTATGAAAGCCATTCGAATGCTCCGAAATTTCGTATTATTTCAATATTCCATTTGATAGACTTTTTCTGAATTTTAATTTCCGTACAGATCAAACCCGGTGGAGGCTGGATCTCATCACGAGTTTTCACAATGGGTATGCCGTGTGCATAATGTTGTTAATAGAAGGTAACACATTTATAATTTGCTCTATATAATTTTGGAGTAAAATAAACTCTGGTTTATTTATTTCCAAACTATAAATCAACGAATATTTTTACTCGTATTTCTGCAGCCTAGGCAAGCTTGTATTCCCATGTGAACGGGTCGAAGCAAGATGGGGCAAGTTAGAGTGCGAGCAGCGCGCGTGTGATCTACAAGGGACTTCAATGAATTTCAGTAATGAATTGAAATGAAATTTGAAATTTGTATCGTATTAACATTAATATGACGAGTGCATCAACGGTACTTGTTCGAACATTTATAGAAATACCGATATATGGAAAGTGAAAAAATCATTTATTAGTATTTTTTTGGGGGATTTTATTGATTATTAACTATTTTAACTTCTTTTTTGTTGCATAAGGTTTAGAGGTTATATAATTACAAATCGATAACCGGTCCAACCCGTTACGACCCGTTTTCAACCTATTGAACGCTTAATCTCCGATTTTGATCTAGTAATATTTTATTACATATATTAAAAGAAAATACATTTTTTTATTACAGAGAAATTGATATGGGTTCTTCAATTAGTATTTTAATGACTGCATTTTGAAGAAAATACATTTATCCATAAGGTGAGATAAACAGATTAAAAATTACAAACAACTATAGTTAGCATACATACAAAGTGAATTACAATCACCCCTCATTTTTCATACTTGCATCCACCCCTTGCAAACTTTAGATTTCTTACATTAACACCCTTTTTTTAGGGGGTGGAAGCAAGAAATTAAAAAAAAAAGCAGGGGTTGGATGTAATTATTCAAACATAAGGGTTGTTTTCGTAATTATACTTTACTTCAGGGAGGTGGCTGTAATTACCCTAATAATACAAACGATGTTTATTAAGCAGCAGAAGCGGAAAAGACCAAAACACCCTCAAGCAGCATTCGTTATTTCAAATCAACCTACATATAAATACAGTCGAAAAAGAGTACTCGCTGAAACCCTAGCGATTAGATTAGAGGAGTTCATCGGCGACAAGTGATTGTGCAGAAAGATGGGGCACTCTAACATCTGGAACTCTCACCCTAAAACCTACGGCCCTGGATCCCGCACCTGGTACTTCAATTTATTCAATCCTTTTTTTTTTTTTTTTTTTTTTTTTAAATTTTAATTTCGTATCTGTATATGAATTTAATTCAATTTATATTGTAGTTTCTTTCTGCTTATGTTTTCTGATTTGAGTTCTTACAATCGGGTAATGTTGACGATTGAGATTGCCTAGTTTTTTGCAGTGAAAATGTTTCGATTTATGTTGGCTATTGATGAACTGATAATACAATTGGATTTTCATTAGATTATTCAATTTTATCTTTGCAAAAAGATTCCTTTATGGAATTAGAATCTTATTTTCAGAAGCTTATAGGCAGGCATCTTATATAGTTGTTCGAAGATGTTATGAGCTGTATAATAACATTTCATATGATGTTTTGAATAGTTTATAAAATCGTCCAAAACGATGACTGGTTTACTATTTGTTGCTCCAACATCTCACGATTCTTCTCTACTGATTTGTGGTAACTTTTACCTAATCGAATTAAAAGATTTTAAATTTAAACTAAAAAATAAAATGGGCTATTACCTAATTTTCCATAAAAAGAAACAGGATCTTCTGAGCTTTCGTATCAAATTCTGGTCCGTTAAACGCCGGCCACACTTGCCGCCACGCCGGAAGGGAAGACCTTGTCGACCGCCGCTTTAGCAGTTAAGCGACGGCCTCCAACTCGCCACCCCCGGCGGTGTTTGTCGGTGAAGATTGTTGGCGTAATTGTTTGCCATCTCCGAAGCCCAACCGACAACAACAAACAAATGTCGGAAAATCCGCTTCATCATCTCTTCCAAGCGTTCGGCAAAGTTTCGGAGTGTGTGCAGACACATCTCTCACAGCTCACTCAACGCCCCCCCGAAAAAAAATCGCCGCCCTCTCTAAGCACAAACCGGAACCCCCCTGTATCTATCACCTCAAATTCCGCCGCCGACGCTCATATTCTCCAACCGGACGAAATCCTTAAAAAGGTTGCCCCCCACCCCTCCCCCCCTTTTTCCCGTACTTGCCGATACTCATTAGTTTGCTAATTTTGCTTTGCAGTAAGTAGAGTGAACTTATGTGATGAACAACACAACTGTTTGATTGATAAAAGTCCTGAATGAACTTTTCCTTTATGTAGTTTCGTTTAACTAGTAATACAAAAGGCTAAAACTTTGACAGTATATACTTGGTACTTGTGGCCGTTTCGTTTATAACGCAAATATATACATTTAATTAACCAATCAGCTACAAGTACGATAATTTCTATTGGTGTTCATGTTTTTTTTTCTCCTCTACAGGGGAAGTCTTCGAGTCCAACTACTAAAGAGGATCTTGGAAGAGCTACGTGGACTTTTCTTCACACGCTAGCTGCTCAGGTTTGTCTTTTTCTTCCCAGAATTCCTTTTTATTCGTTTTTACGAGAAACATTGTTGCTTAATCTGTGTGCTGGTTGTAAAAAGGTTTCCTATATTTTTTCAGTATCCAGATAAGCCAACTAGGCAACAGAAGAGGGACGTTAAAGAACTGGTATGGTTGTTGTACATTGTCAATGACGTTTCTTCTTATTTTCTTATGCCATGTTGTTATGAACACTAATCTCGATTCGACTAAAGTTACCAAAGTACGATTTCTCTTCATTATCATATATGTACGAGTAATTTTGTTTTCTTAATCATTAGTTTCCGAAAATCATGCCAGTTTCTCATTTCTCGTGCAGATGGCAATATTATCTCGTATGTATCCTTGTAAAGAATGTGCAGATCACTTTAAAGAAGTTATAAGGTGCATACTCACTCTCCTTCTCAACCACCCCCACCCCCACCCCCAATTTTCTAACTTTCTATTTTTTTAAAATCTTTTTTCGGAAAGTTAGGCAATTTATTATGGCATATTTTCATAATCTTATGAGATGCTTAGCGAAAAATAAAATATGATTTACAAAAGCAATTCGAAGGCTCCGAAGTTCCATACTATTTCAAATTTCCAAGTGATAGACTTTTTTTTCTGTATTTTAACTTCCGTACAGATCAAACCCGGTGGAGGCTGGATCTCATCACGAGTTTTCCCAATGGGTATGCCGTGTGCATAATGTAGTTAACAGAAGGTAAACGTATTTATAATTTGCTTTATATATTTTTTGAGTAAAATTAACTCTTGGTTTATTTATTTTTTCTAAACTGTAAATGAACGAATATTTTTACTCGTATTTCTACAGCCTAGGCAAGCTTGTATTCCCATGTGAACGAGTTGACGCAAGATGGGGTAAGTTAGAGTGCGAGCAGCGCGCGTGTGATCTACAAGGGACTTCAATGAATTTCAGTAATGAATTAAAATGAATTTTTATCGTATTAACATTAATACGACGAGTGCATCAACGGTACTTGTTCGAACATTTATAGAAACACCGACATATGGAAAGTGGAAAAATTCATTTTTTATTATTTTTTTGGGGGAGTTTATTGATTATTAACTCTTATTAACTTCTTTGTTGAGGTTTAGGGGTTACATAATTATAAGTTAATATAATTACGAATCGATAAGTGGCCCAACCCGTTCCGGCCCGTTAACATGACCCGTTTTCAACCTATTTAATGCTTAATCTTGGATTTTGATCTAGTTATATTTTATTACGTATATTAAAAGAAAATATATATTTTATTACATAAAATTGATATTGGTTCTTAAAATAGTACTTTAATGACTGCATTTTGAAGAAAGTACATTTAACCGTAAGGTTAGATAAACAGATTAAAAATTACAAACAACTATTGTTAGCACGGTGTTTCTACCGTAAGATCCTGTGTTCTAAACTTTTATAAGATACCCCGTCAAATTGCGACACGTGTCTCCCATCCAAAATTGCATCAACTTGAATTCGAACTTGTGACCATCTGAAAACATGCAAGAATACTTACCATTAAGACACAACACATAATTGATAATAAACTAATAATACAAATATATATCACAAAGCTACAATTTATAATGGCTAAGGAAATGCTGATCAACTCGTGTAATTTAAAAATGAATTTCGAAAGAATTTGAAGTTTGAATTGAATCGTAAATTGTAAGATTTAATTAAATCGTAATATTTGAATCAATTAAACTCATGTGTTTTCAATTCAAAAAAAACATTCAAAGATTTGATCGATTAAGCTCAACTCATTTCAATTCGTAGACAATATTCAAATATTTGAATCAGTTAAACTCAATAATTTACAATAGCGTATTAATTAAACTATGTATAGTTAAAGTTTAGTATCTTTTTTTTTAATTGAATTTTATCATAAAATTTAATTCGTAAAAATCGTAAGATTTAATCGGTTCATGGTCAGATTAAATCGTACGATTTACGATTTGATTCTTACGATTTTACGAATTAAATTATTATTTTTTTGTTAAAATTGAATTAAAAGGATAGTAGACTTTAATTATAAATAGTTAACTCGATTGATACGTTCTTGTCAGTGGTTGAACTTAATCGATTCAAATTTTTGAATAATATTTACAAATTAAAAGGATTTGCGCTTAATTGATTCAAATCATAAGTTTTAATTAATCTTATGATTTGATTCTTAAGTAATTTAGGAATTATTTTCTTATGATAAAATTGAATTAAAAATGTATTACACTTTAATTAATAATAGTTAATTTGATTAAGACGTTCTTGTCAATAGCTGAGCGCGCTAATTAATCGATTCAAATATTTGAATAATGTTTACAAATTGAAAGGACTTGAGCTTAATTGGTTCATATATTACGCTTTGATAAAATATTACATTTACGATTAGGTTCTTACATGTGTTAGGAATTAAATTTATTATTTTTTATGACAAAATTAAATTAAAAAGATACTAGACATTACTTATAAATAGTTAAATCAATTATGTAACACATTATGTCAATAGTTAAGCAACCGATTCAAATATTTAAATAATGTTTACTAATTGAAAGGATTTGAACTTAATCGATTCAAATTTTACTATTTGATTAAATTAAATATTAAAAGAAAATTCACAATATAGTATTTGTAGTATATAATTTTATTTTAAAGTGAGAAAACTACTAATTGGGATGAGTTATAAAATTTTCTTCTTCTAAATAAACATATTATTTTATTTTTTATTTGGATTTGTCACACTATCGATTTAATAACATAAGTGAGTTTGAATTAAGTTATGCATTTTTTTCATATTTAATTGAGCATTCTTTACATTGTTAAATGGTGGAGTTTATTAATAATTCTAATATTATATAATTAATGATAGATGTTTGGCGTATTGAACTGCTATTATTTATATTTTTCAAACTTTATTACATTAAATTTGTTAATAATTTATTTAATATCATTTAATAATAATGAATGTTGCAATTAATATTTTAATTAACAGTATTTGTACAATTATGGTTAAATATATCATAATAAGTTAATGTGCTTGGATGGTTAGCAGTGATAAATGTGTTAAGATGTCCCAAGTTGTATCCCTAATGAATGCATTTTTTTCGACTATTTATCAAATAAAACTCGGTCATAATGAATTTAAATTAATTATTTAATTAAAATATAGTAGGGGGTAAATTAGACAATTCAATGTTAATCAATTTTATATTAATTTAATAAAAAAATAATCGAAGGATAATTTGGTAAAGTACTTCATTTTTTAGAACATATGCCATGTTATTTTTCTAGGGTCCAGATTTAATCTTAGAAAATTAATGATGATTAATGCATATCTCATAAAAGTTTAGAATATAGGCGGTCTCACCCTAGAAAGATCCTTGTTAACAATATATTAAAGGGTAAATTACAATCAACCTATGGTAAGGTCTATTTACAAAAAAAATCATCATTTTTTCATAATTACATCCAACCTGCCCAATTTGTAGATTTATTACATTAACACTCTTTTTGTAGGGGTGGATGTAAGAAATTTATAAACTGAAGGGGTTGGATGTAATTTATCAAAGATAAGGGGTTGTTTCGTAATTATACTAAATTACTTCAGGGAGGTGGCTTTAATATATGGGATAATTTGACAAAACCCCCTCACCACACAAGTGCAATTACAATGAACCCAAATATATTTTATATTTTTAAGATAAATCCAAAACATCTTTTATTAATAAAAAATAATTAAATATCACAATTATACCCTTAGCTTATTATAAGGTATTTTAGGGTTGAAAATAAATAAACGTAATATCTTTGTTCTTTTTTTTTTCTCCTCCATCGTCGTCGCGCCGCCAGAAAAGGTGCAGCTCCAACGTACAACCACCTCTTCTTCCGCTTCCCGCCGCCACACCCCGCCGCACAAAGCCTCTCCGCGAATAAGAAAGCGAATAGTCCTCCCAAAAAATCATCAAAATCTCCCACCAAGGCATTCGTTCGGCGCATCAAATACAGAAACTTTGTGAACCATAGGAAACTAAATTAATTGGCGAGCTAGAAGAAAATTCCAACACGGCGGCGCGTGAGGTGAAGAAGAAGTCATCGGGTCTTAAGAAGATTTTTGGGTACGTCGGCGGAAGAAAATCCGATGCTTCAGCTAACCACGGCGGCGGACTGCGGCTGCCGGATAGGGCGACGAGTCTGAGCCAGATAAGGAGGATCGCGAGCGGCCGCGACACGTATGCAAATTTTGATCGGACAACTGCATGAAATGCACCGAAGGTGGGCCGGGGTTTCTATTCTGATGAAGAGAGGGGATACAGTGACGGAGATGACGTCATCATCATACCTTTCTCAAATTTTTCTATTCTTTTAAATGATTTGGGGAAAACGATAATTGAATTGTTGGATTTTTTATTTTTAGGTATGTCTCGTAAAGTTTCGGCTTTTGCCACGTCATCATGTAATTTATGCAATAATGTTATTGGTGTTGGCTGCGGTGAAGAAGTTGACATATTTTTCGGTATGGCGGCGTTTGCAATATCTCCGCCACCGAGCAATTTAAGTTTCATATTACGAGTGCTTTTTATTGATGATTAGGACCCAACTACAAGAAGAAATGTGACTCGTGTTGGTTGTGGATTGCGGATTCGTTCATGGACATAAAATTTGTTAAATATGTATTATTCTAATTTTTATGGTGTTAAATATTTGTAACATGGAAAGCAACAGAATAAGATTGTCCAATCTCATGCCTTTACTTGGATTTCTAAAGGGGTTAGGTTCTTGCACATTGATAAGTATACACAGTGGTTTTATAGTGGATTTTGAAAAGTATACAGAGTGGTTTTTATGTTTATATAGTTGTTTGTAAATAGTGGTTTTCATGTTTATATAGTGTTTATATAGATTGGTTTTCATGTTTATATAGTGTTTATATAGATTGGTTTTCATGTTATATGTTATTTATACAGAGTGGTTTTCATATTTATATTGTTGTTATACATAGTGGTTTTCACATAGTGGATTATGTTAATGTAAAGTGGATTACGTTATTTTACAGTAATTTTACTATGGTTTTTGATAAATTTGTAGTAGTTTCCGATGAGTATATAGTGGATTTTAACTTTTGTAAACCGGGTGGAAAAAAAATTAAGTGGATTTCACTAATTTAATAGTGGTTTTCGATGAACATGTAGTGAATTACATTAATTTAACAATGGGTTACACTAATTTAATAGTGGGATTACATTAATATTAAGGTGGATTATGCTTATTTTATAGTAATTTTTACTTTATTTTCATTGTGGTTTTCGATAAATTTAATGGTTTTCGATTATTATGTAGTGAATTTTTTTATATAAAATATGAACGATTTAAAAAACTGAAATAAAAAAAAATGTTTTAAATTTTGAAATAAAAAAAACTTATTAAAAAAATAAAATAAAAAAAAACTAGAAAAACACTAAAATTAAGAGCCCGTTTGGCTAAGCTTATTTAAAACATCTTATAAGCTCCTACATCTGATAAGATGTTTTAGGAGCTGATAAGCTGTTAGATCTTATTTTAAAAATTATTTTTTAAGGTGTTTGGATATGTAGCTTATAAGTTACTTTTAGTTTTTATAAGTTGTTCAGGTGTATGGAAATAAAAGGTCTGTTTATCGCTATAATGACAAAAAAGTACATGACGTCATTATAACTGTCAAACTAATTCGACTCAAATACTTTTGTTTCTAAAATATTATTCTAGTATTTACAAATTAATTTTCAAATAAAAATAGTAATATTAAATTATATAATAAACAAACTAAATAATTTTTTTTATGTATGTTGATATGACATTTGAATTTTTTTAAATAAAATGAAGTGTAATACAATATTTTAATGAAACAAATTTGTGAAAGTTTTAATTTTTCGTCCCATTAATATATTAATATAAAATAAAGGATGTAAAAGAAAAATATTTTTTTATAGATAAAAGAAATATAATTTATTATTGAGATAATAAGAATATTCGGGTATTTTTATATACATATAAAATATAAATAGAGAATAATATTTTTTTTACAACTATTATGATGATTATGATAATTATATTTTAACTAATTATTAATCTTGATTACAAGAATACGTTGTTTTGATAAAATATAAATGTTATTAGTATTCATGTAATATAATAAAGTGTTTGAGGGTAATTTTGTATTTTGAGTGTTTTAGTAAAGAAGCAAATAAGATCTTAAAGAAAAAAGGTGGGGTGGAGGTACTTTTTTTAAAACATCTTATAAGCTCCCTAACAGCTTATTTTTGGAAAAAATAAGATCTTTTCCAAAATTTTTACCAAACACTTTTTAACAGCTTATAAGCTCTTAAACATCTTATAAGATGTTTTTAGGAGCTTATAAGCTTAGCCAAACAGGCTCTAAGTGTGCTGCGTGAGATATGGAGAGAGAGAATATGGGGTGGATGAGATAGTGGAGAGAAATAAGGGATTTGCATATTTAATTTTATTTAATGATTTTCCATAATAATATAATATGGTAACTTTCACTAATAGTAAATAAGGTTATTTTGGATAATTTGAGTCAATTGGATTTATAACAAATATCAATTAAAAAAAAGGATTTATTAAGAAGTCAAAATTGAATGGAGGGGTTTTGGCAAATAGCCCCTTAATATATACCCTAATATTGAACGAGAACTGTTTATTAAGCAGCAGAAGCGGAAAAGACCAAAACACCCTCAAGCAAAATGATTTATTTAGTTATGAAAGTTTGATTGAGGTGTTTGCAAAGGAACCGGATCTGGAGCTTTGTAGTTTACCACAGTGAAAATGTTTCGATTTATGTTGGCTATTGATGAACTGATAATAGAATTGGATTTTCATTAGATTATTCAATTTTATCTTTGCAAAAAGATTCCTTTATGGAATTAGAATCTTATTTTGAGAAGCTTATAGGCAGGCATCTTATATAGTTGTTCGAAGATGTTATGAGCTGTATAATAACATTTCATATGATGTTTTCAATAGTTTATAAAATCGTCCAAAACGATCACTGGTTTACTATTTGTTGCTCCAACATCTCACGATTCTTGTTTCGTTTTTTTCGTATACCCCTATTCACCTGCTTGGTTTCGTTTTTTTCGTACTTGTTTATCGATTGTGCATGTCTGTGTTGGGATTTGAATTTAATGATTTTATTTGGTTTCGACAGTCGGGTTTGCGGAATTCCACATGGATTGATTAGAAAGTACGGTCTGATGTGCTGCAGACAGTGCTTCCGCAGCAACTCCAAGGAAATTGGCTTCATTAAGGTATTTTCTCCACCCCTTCAATTTTCTTTCTTTACTAAGTTTTGTCTATTTTCTTACATGACAAATTTATCGATTTTTTCTTATGTTGGATTTCTAGAAGATGATTGGTGAATCTATTTGTATGAGAGTGATTGTTCTAGTCAATGATTCAACTCTTGTTTGATTTCCGAACCAACTAGCTTATATATTTGATTTCTGTTATTTGCTTGATATTGAAGCATCTATTTCGACTTTGTTAAGTTATGTTTGATTTATTTCCTCGTTTTTGTTTTGCCGGGTTTGTTTGGTCGTTTTCAAGTTTCGTGACAAGGAATTAATGATTGTAAGATGTGATAGATTTCTGAAGTCGAATCGATCTTGAAATCACAAAATGAATTTGAAACATAATTTGTGTAAGAAAGTATCACTTAAAAATCTTCGAGTTGGAGTGTTCGAGTTTGATTGGTTAAAATGTGACCTATAGAATACTGCGAATTGATCACTCGTTTTGATAACAGTCGGGTTGTTTGGCCCTTCTCAAGTTTTCTTGACAAGGGAAGAAATGATTATAAGGTGTGATGAATTTCTAATGTCAATCGATCTTGAAACTGAAACATAATTTGTGTAAGAAATTATCACTTAAAACTCTTTAATCGAAGTGTTCGAGGTTAAAATGTGGCCATTGAAATTGAAACATAATTTGTGTAAGAAATTATTACTTAAAAATCTCTAATCGAAGACCATTGAAATTGAAACATAATTTGTGTAAGAAATTATCACTTAAAAATCTCTAATCGAAGTGCTCGAGTTCGATCGGTTAAAATGTGACCAAACATTTTACTGGCACTATGATTAGAGAATACTGCGAATTGGTCACTACATCGTCTACGAATTATATCATCACTGCATCGTCTACGATTTTTATCGGATTAAAATAAAATAAAAAATTTCCCAAGATTGAATTTATAGATTTTCTTGAAAATGAGAGAGAAGTTGTGTCCTATAAATTTTGTATGTGCATGTTTTAACAATCCCCTCCATAAATCTATCTATCTATCTAAATTTAGTGCATCGAGTCAAAATCAAATCCGATTGCTTGAGCTACAATCCAACCCCAATTTCAATATTTTAACATTTATTAGTATTTTTACAGAAAAATAGCAACAATAAAATAAAAAAAAGGTTTAGAATAAAATGCCCAGAAAAATTGCTGCTTGAAGCCGCCGCGAACAAAATCTCTCAACAATCTTCCAGTTTCGCCCGTTAGTGGGAGTGTCGGAGTTTTCCCACCGTCGCAACTTCCGCCGGAGATGGCCGCAATTTGGAGTTAGGGTTTGTACTTGTTTATTTAAATTACAGAAATCTCTAATGCGCTTCTCTCCAGAATTGGAGCATATGTCTTCAGCTATATTATCCCTCTGCAAAACTATCAGGGATTTCAACCAAGTCCACACCCACATCATTCGCGGATGCTGTGATCAAGACCATTTCTTGATTACCCACTTCATTTCCATCTGCGCCGCCGTTCTGCCCTCCAATCTCTCATACCCCACCGCCGTTTTCGACTGCGTTACCCGCCCAAATATTTATCTATGGAACGTTTTGATGAAATCTTACTGCCATAACTCTTCTCTGAACGAATGCTTCTCGTTTTTCAAAAGGATGAAGAGGGGGTTGGATGTGGTTCCTGATAAGTACACCTTCCCTTCTGTGATTAAGGCTTGTTCCTACGTTTCGGCTCTGGAGGAGGGCAGGGTTCTTCACGGGGTGACGGTGAGGTGTGGCACTGATGGGGATGTGTTCGTGGGGTCTAGTTTGATCGATTTTTATGGCAAGTGTGGGCAGATTGACTGCGCGCGTAAGGTGTTCGATGGAATGTCTGTGAGGAATGAGGTTTCTTGGACAGCCATGATGGTGGGGTACCTGAGTTTTGGGGATATGGCCGCCGCGAAATCTTTGTTCGATGAAATGCCTCAGAGGAATACAGCGACGTGGAATGCGATGATCAAGGGGTTGGTGAAGTCGGGCGATTTGAATTGTGAAAGAAACCTGTTCGACGAAATGCCTGTTAGAAACGAGGTTTCGTTTACCACCCTGATCGACGGGTATGCCAAGGGAGGTGACATGGCAGCTGCGAGATCCTTGTTCGATCAGTTGACTCACAAGGATTTGTTTTCATGGTCTGCTTTAATGTCGGGGTATGTACAAAACGGGAAGCCATGTGAGGCAGTCAAAGCTTTTTCCGAAATGCAGGATTCAAATTTGAAGCCAGATGAATTCATAATGGTGAATTTGATGTCTGCCTGTTCTCAATTAGGGTGTTCCGAGCTAGCAAAATGGATCGATTCCTACATGAAAAACGGATCCTTTGACCTAAGGCGCGCCCACGTGGCTGCAGCTCTCGTTGACATGAACGCAAAGTGTGGCAACATGGAGCGAGCAGCTTCACTGTTCGAAGAAATGTCTAAACAAGATTTGATTTCGTATTGCTCCACAATCCAGGGCTTATGCATCCACGGGTTCGGTTCCCAAGCCGTTCACCTCTTCGATAGGATGATAAATGAAGGGATAAGGCCTGATGACGTGGCATTCACCGTTATCTTGTCAGCATGCACTCACGTTGGACTCGTTGATGATGGGTGCCGTTTCATCGAATTGATGGTTAATAGCTACTCAATCAATCCAACTCCAGATCATTATGCGTGTATGATCAACCTTCTTGGAAAATCGGGAAAGCTTGAATCTGCTTACGAGCTTATACGGTCAATGCCTGTGGAATCACATGCTAGTGCTTGGGGTGCTCTTATCGAGGCTTGTAGGGTCAACTGTGATGTTGACTTGGGTGAGGTTGTGGCGAGCAGACTCTTTGAACTCGAGCCTCATAATGCCGGTAATTATGTACTGTTGTCGAATATTTACGCCGAAGCTGATAGAAGGAGTAACGTGTTTAATGTGAGGGATAAAATGAGTAAGAGTGGAGTTAGAAAAGTACCCGGGTGCACTTATGTAGAGTCAACTATGGCCGCTTGATTCTTGATTTTTTGCCCCACAGTCGAACACGTGCTTCATATGCAAAGAAGGTGTTCGGTGCAGTTCTAAAATCGATGCTTCTTCGTTAGTGGGGCCCACTTTTGAAGCCGCAACGCTACATTTTGAGCAGAGTACATCAGTAAATAAACAATGCCATTTTCCCCTCACAGTGGTGGAGCTAAGGGTAATGAGGGCCTCCCCCCTCCCCCCAAGTGAACTTTTTGTGTATATTTTAGCCAAATGAAGGAAAAATCCTGGTTATGCAGCGTTCTACGGTGGAGTGGAATTATCGGAACTAATGTGAATAATACCTAATTGCGTTTTCTTTTTAAAAAGTTTGCAATATTTTGTTGACCTCGGGGATTGTGATCGTAGTGTTTTATTAACGGTGAAGTGTAGCATTTAAGTTTTTTAAAATGTAGGTAGTGGTAATAGATTTACGAGCTGTTGTTTATACTTGTTATTTGTAGCTTCGGGAATGCGTGTTCTTCACTAAGTTGTACAGGAAATATATTTGATTTTGTTGAATTGCGGATTGGTACATCAAATTAAATTAATGGATATGATAATTTCTTGTGTTGCTTTTTTTTTTTTTTTTAATAATTATTATTATTACAGGGTAAGTTAATCCAACAAGAAAACAAGATCTTCGACGAGCTACGGCCGACTTCTCTTCACACGAGCTGCTCAGGTTTAAATGTCTGCTCGTCGTCTATTGAATCGAAATTGTTGTCACTAATCAATCTCCAATTGATTACTGCAGTAACAAATGCTGGTGAAAATACTTTGAATTTAATTGTTCTAGTCAATGATTAAACACTCTTATTTGATCAAGTGACCAAACATTACATAAAAGAGAAAAAAAAAGGAACAATTGTGGAAAAGTGGTTAAGTTACTATGATTATAGTCTAGAGAGCAGTTAAAGTAGGGTAATTAGTGGCTAACTAATTTAATTACTTAAATTAACAAACATGACTTTAATTGATGGATGTGTTACATTTCAACTGATGAACACTTTAAGTAGTGTAGTGTGCAAGTCACATGCCTTCATAATTTTCCACCACCAACATCATTTATTCATTCATTTCATTTAATTTAATTTAATCCATATTAATTATTAGGGTAAATTACAAATACCCCCCTGAGGTATGGTCAAATTACAAAAATCCCCCTCTTGTTTGGATAATTACATCTACCCCCTCAACTATGATTTTTTCTTACACATCCACCCTTATTGTGCCAAATTCAACATAATCATCTAGATTCCGTGGAATGTGCTCTAGTTTGTACTCGTTTTGTGTAAAAATACAGTTTCCGATGCACCACAAACTGATATATACAAGCTAAAAATCGCATATTATGATCATCTTGCTTCATAATGTAGAGTTTGAATGGGATAAAATGGGTACACAAGTGATAATATTCCATATAATCTCAAAGATTTCACTAAATTTGAGGAGTTGAGGGGGTGGTTGTAATTATCCAAACAAGAGGGGTGTTTTAGTAATTTGGCCATACCTCAGGGGGGTGTTTGTAATTTACCCTAATTAAGTAATTATTATGACCTCAACAAGATTCTGCATATATAGTTTAATATACCTGTTTGCTTGTTGATAGATAGATTCATATTACAATGTGGGCTTTACTATTAGATATTATGAACATAAATAATTGAGAAAATTATAGATATAATATACGTACACATATTACAGTAGACACGTGTATATTGCCATGTTTTTTAATGTAGATGTGTCTGTATTGAAGAAGAGAGACAAGACTTAGGTGATGAGCAACGAGGACAAATTTTTTTTGGACAAAAAAATCTGATGCATTATAGGACTGTGAGTTACATAATTTAAGGATAAATTACGGGTATACCCTTGAGATAAAACTAAATAAATTACGAATTTCGGTTGTATTGGTAATTACAAATATGCCTTAAAATTAACAGTCTGTTACAAAAACTTAATAGAATTAATGAATTGTCTAGATTACCCTTATTGCTAAACAAACAAATTCTGAGTAAATTACGAGTAAACCCCTCAAGTAAGATAAAATTTCACATTTACCCCAAGAGTAGATTTGGAAATTTAGAATAAATTTTTGATGGAGTTTTTAAGATTCTGTTACTCATAACTTTGTTAGGGTGTAATTGTAAGACAGAGAAGTAACTCAAGGGTATTTGTAATTAGTAATACCACAGAGACTTGTAAGTTATTTAGTGTTACCTTAGGGGTTTATTGTAATCTACTCTAAATTAAATATTGATGCTCACTAAAAACAAAAAAATGCAATTACTTTTCCCTACTTTTTAATTTTTTTTTATTATTTTTTTTTTGAACACATAAAACCGAACTACATTACATATTTAACAAAAGATGCAGTTACAAAGCACGGGTAGTACATCTATTAAAGTTTGATGTTTTATCTGCATATATATAACTAGTAAGAAACGGGGGACATTCATCATAGAAAAAAACTTCATTGAGATTTAGCTCCGCTCCTCGTTTTGCTAATACGTCCGCTACGCTGTTTATTTCCCTGTAGCCGAATTTGATGACGACATCCTGAAATTCAGTCAGTAGTGCCTGTAGATCCCTGAGAAGTGTTTGGTGGCTGGTATGAGGTGCTTCCTTCCTGTTGATGCATGATAACAAGAAAGTTGAATCTGTTTCTATTACAAGTTGTTTAATATCAAGATTTCTTGCCTGTTGTAGACCAAATAAACAAGCCCAAATTTCTGCTTTATTATTTGTGGTACAACCAATATTTTTTGAGAAAGCAGATACGGAATTTCCCATATCATCACGGATAATGCCCCCGATACCTGCTATTCCCATGTTTTTGTTTGACGAACCGTCTGAATTAAGTTTAAACCAGTTTGTTGGTGGGGGTTTCCATTTAAGAGTTAGGGTAATTTGTTGATGGTTAGGTTGAGTATTTCGAAGAGAGTAGTGTGAGGTCATATTCCAGATTATATAGTTATTTATAGGTTTATTCTGGAATATGTATTCATTTCTCGATTTCCATATTAACCAAAATACAATTGCAGTCTGATTATAAGAAATGTGGGATCTTGCAAGTCTGAAAAGGTGGGAGCATATGTTAAAATTTGTAGTATTATTTGTCCACGGGATTTTTATTCTAGTGGGGTTGAACAAAGTGCATGAGAGGAAAACGTGGGATATGGTTTCCGGTTCTGTTTTACATAAAGGGCACATATTTGTTGGTAATATTTTTCTTTTGCAAAGAAAATCAACTGTTGGTATGGCTTGATGGGCTGACTGCCAAATGAAAATTTTTATTCTTGGGTGAACTTGAAGTTTCCATATAGAATTCCATGGGAGGGTGGGATTTTGAGTAGGGTTTGAGCTATCAAGTAGCCATAAGTAGGCGCTTTTAAGTGTAAAAGTACCAGTTTTGGAAAATGCCCAGACAAATTTATTGTGTATAGGATTAGCGGGAATATGCACAGCAGTTATGCGTTTTATAATAAAATCTGGCACATGGTTGATAATATGTGATAAATTCCAAGATCTAGTCTGAGGATTTATGAGAGCTGAGACTTTAAGATTGATGAGTTCGTGGGGGATGCTATGAGTGTATTCAGCAATAGTAAAATTTCCAATCCATTTATCAAACCAAAAATTGATTTTATTACCTTTTCCAAGGATCCAAAATTTACATTTTGTGATAAGGTCGATAGTTTTATGTATATTTTTCCATATGCTACTATTATATCCTTTAGGTTTGGGAGCATTCATAAAGTTGGTTTGGGGGAAATATTTGCTTTTCATAAATTGGGCCCAGATGGATGTTTTATCTGTAAGAAGCCTCCATCCCAGTTTTAGAAGGAAAACTTTATTTAGGATTTTAAGATTTTTGATTCCAAGACCCCCATAAATTTTTGGTTGGCAAATAATATTCCATGGGATGGGGCTCTTTCTATTAGAGTTAGGAGAGGAGTTCCAAAGAAAGAATTTATTTATAGAGTTCAATTTATTAATGGTTACTTCCGGTATTTTGAAGGAATTCATGGTATAATTTGGTAGGGTATTAATAACGTGATTAATCAGAGTATATCGACCAGCATGGGATAGAAATTTGTTATACCATGTCGAGATTTTTGCTTGGGTTTTTGAAATAATATAAAAAAACGTTTCTTTAGACACACGGTTAATGATAATGGGCAGACCCAGATATTTATCCCCGACGTTGCCTTTTTTTATTTGTAGCTTTTGGCATATTTCCCGTTTCCTGTTTTGGGTGATGTTTTTGAAGAAGAAGATTTTAGATTTTGTCCAACAAATACTAAGCCCTGATTCAAGAGCAAAACTTTTTAGGGTATCTAGAATAAAATTTAGTGATTTATCACTGGTTTTTGAAAAAATGATACAGTCGTCAGCAAAACATAAAATCGGAATAGGCGGACACTGTTTGTTTACTTGCAAAGCATCAAAACATGAGTGTTTATGTCCTTCCAAAAATTTTAAAATGAGAAAATTTAGGCAAAGAATAAAAATATACGGAGATAATGGATCTCCTTGTCGGAGACCTCTTTCAGGTTTCCATGTTTCAGAAATATGTCCGTTTATGGATAGAGAAAAAGAAACCGAAGTGATGCAAGTCACAATCCATTTTATTAGCATATTCGGGAAATTTAATTTATGAAGAACCATGTTAATGTAGTGCCATTCTAGTTTATCATATGCTTTTTCTATAATTTTTTTTTTATTTGAGTATGAACCGTGTGTTCAAGAGGCTTGAATTCACTTTCCTTAAAATTAATCAATAATAAAGCTTAGCTTAAGTCATTAGCAAATTTAAGTTGTACAACATTGAAATGAATAAAAAATTAAAATTAAGATTAATAAATCAAAAGAATGCATGGTACATATGTATCACGTTGTTTGATTAGTTATTATTATTATATATAATATAATGTTCGAAAAAATAAGGTTGTTGATTAATCATTACTTGTTGGAAAATCAATGAAATATGTATAATGTAAAAAACAATATTAAAAAAGAAATGTAAATGAAGTAATAAAACAAAGAATATTCATTAATGCGTGAAAATCAAGAAAGATAAAAAGGAAGAATGGATAAAGACTGAAGGTGACGGTGCATCCTATACCAAAACTTGTACAAAAACAAGAAACTTCTCTCTATGTTTTAGTTTTCAACTTTGTAATAAATAATAATCCAATGCCTTCATTTTATTGCCTCAATATTTTCTCTAATTTATATTTTCATCCCTAATATACACATACACATACACACACCATGGAAATTACACACACATACACACACTTCATGAGACTATAGCTTGCTCACTAGCTCCACACACTTGTTCAGGTAAACCTTCAATTTTATCCAGTCTCGATGTAAATCGTACTGAACAAGTTGTATATGATGAAATTGACCTAGAAAATACTAATAAATTTTTTTTAGATGTGTTACTCTTCTTACTACATCAACTAGGTCATTACAAACTATTTTTTTTTAAATAAGTTTAGCCAAACGAACTTAATTGGTAATAAATTTCGCTGAATTTGAAATTGATATTTTTTTTTTATCGGCGTCAAATGTCAAAATTTCATTTATGAATACTATAATAATTATTTTTAATTACCATCCTTCACGGTAATTCTATTGCAAAATATTAATTTTGAATGATATACAATGTTGGCTCTTTTAGAAATACAAGGTTAAATTTTTTTCAATATATCAAAAAAATTATTTAATAAAAAAAGTGTAAAGAAATTAAATAGGGCAAATGGCAAAAGGGCCCATCACATGGGACTTAAATGCATTTTAATCCACCAAAAAAACAATCTCTCAATTAAGCCCATCCCTATGTCTTTAGTCAAAAATACCCTCAATAATATAATTCTTATCAATTCCACCCATTATGCTCTAACTTCCTTAATATTACACATTGACCCCGAATTTAAACAAATATATCACATTAACCACCAAAACTTTTTTTTTTCAGAAAATAATTTTTTTTCTGAAATGTTTTTTTTTTCCGGCCAGATTCCGCCGGAGACCGCCGGTCTCCGCCGTTGACTTTTTTTTTTTTTTTCTTTTCTTTTTGAAATTTTTTTTTTCCTGAAATTTTTTTCCGGCCGGTCAACCACCGTTGGCCGCCGGTCTCCGGCGTTGACTTTTTTTTTTTTTTTTTGTTTGCAAAAAACCCCTTTAAATATATATAATTGTAGGGTTTTTTTTGCAAAAACTACCCCTGTAAAATCTCTAATTGCTGAAAACGCCCCTATGTTAAAAAAATTAGCAAGAAACCCCCTATGAAAGTTATTCAAAGCCAAAAAGACCCCTGACAGGTTATCGTGCGCCACACTCGCCGTATGTGCGTCTGGGGTACGTTTTCGAACCTGAAATAACCTAAATACCCTCTATATTAGAAGTTTTTATAATTACAGATTTATCCCAAAAATTTCTGCACCAAAATGAACTTTTTAAAATTTTCAATTCAGTCATTCCTATTTTCAGAAAGGCCATCTTTCCGACCCACTTTTTCTGAATATTTTTTCCACCAAAAACCATCAACTGAACCAATATCCTCAATGTCATTTTTGTTGCAAATCCAGAAAAATAAAAAGGGAAGATTACATAGCCTTTTAGTCATTTTTTCCATGTAAAAGATTGGAAGAAAAAACTTCGATTTTGACCTCAACTTCACCATTCTCGACAACCCAAAACTTGGAATTCACCATTCTCGATAACCCAAAGCTCACTGTTGATGGAGAAGAGACCCTTGGGGCAGCGGTGTGAGCTATGAAGAATATGAATTTTGCCGAATTTTTTTGAAGGAAGAATTTGACTGAATTTGTCCAAAGCTCACTGTTGTTGTTTCTTTAAGGAAGAATTTGGTCGATTTTTTCGATTTTGTGTGTCTGGTGTTATTTTTAGGCAGAATTTGTTGTAGGAATGAGTAAAATGGTGGGTTGAGATGAGGGGTGCCGGGAAGAAGATAGAGTCCCTTTATTTTTTTTTTCTTTTTTTTTTTTTTATATATTTTCTTTTATTTTGTTTGATCAAAATTAAAATATTAGTAAAAATAAGTAGGGACATTAGAGTCATTGCACGTAAGTCAACAACTAATTTTTAAATAAGGGGCTGTGTGTTTTTTAAAATAAAACATAGGGGGATTTTTGTTAATTTTTAAAATATAAGGACTTTTTCAACAATTACAAATAACGAGTAAACTGCAAAAACTACCCCTGTGTAATCTCGAAATAGCAAAAACCCCCCTGTGATAAATAAACTAGCAAAAACCCCCCTGTGAAATTATTTAAATAGCAAAAACCCCCCTATGGAACTATTTGAGGGTTGACTTGATATAAAATGACACAAATACCCCTGGAGTCTTGCAATTAATAAATTCTTATATTTTATAAATATTTTAATTATTTTATTTAAAAAATAATCAATTTAGTTGTTTACTATTTTTTTTAATTTCTAAACAAATAAATTAAAAATAATAAATATACATATAATATGTATATATATAAATACATTTTGAGGGACAATTTTGTCATTTCAAGTCTAAAAAATCAGCTAGGGGGGATTCTGCCTTTGACTAAATTTCACAGGGGGGTTTTTGCTAGTTTATTTATCACAGGGGGGTTTTTGCTATTTCGAGATAACACAGGGGTAGTTTTTGCAATTTACTCTACAAATAACACAGGGGGTTTCATGCTATTAGCTCATTTATAGAGAGATGTATATATATAGAGAGAGACAGACATATTTATTGCATTAATGCACACAATGTGAGTAGGATATGCAAACATGCTCATCAATTTGTACGAGAAAAGAGTTGCAAAAACTAATTAAATTATCCTCGTATGGTTTGCAAGCTATTATACGAGAGTGTATGTTTGCCTAGTGCACATATACAGTTGGCTGCTGTTCATTCAATTAAAAAAAAAATTACTCAAGAATTATTTTCTGAAATGTCATATATTCTAAATAACGCGAGACATATTACAATTAATTCATCAAAGTAATGGATACGATAGTTTGACGGATAAAATATTTAAATATAAACTCTTTTTCTTTTTTTTTTAACATAAATACTTCATTACTAAACAGCAAAATATTACAAATTACATCAAAACCCTGAATGTTAGAATTTCTTTTTAATTTTGCCCAAAAACAATAAAAAATTACTTCATATATTGTTTTAATATTTCTTTTATTTTCAAGCCCGTAAAAGAAAAGAAAAAAAGAAAAAAAAAAAAAAAAAACAAGTAAAAATAGAAGGACTAAAAAAAAGAAAGTAGATTGATGTAAAAAAAAGAAAGTAGCTTTTCCAAGTTAACGTAACTTCTAAATTTACAGTTAACACCAATCCCAAAAAGTTATTTATATATATTGCCATCAATTTCAGCTCACTTTTTTTATTATTAAAATAATAATAAAAGAATCTGAAGCAAATTACGTATATACTTTTGATGTGGATTATTATAATATTAATTAACTGGAGTACATTTATAAACATTAATTAATTTAAGTATTAACAGCGAAGCCATGCAGTCATCACTTTAGACAGCAAACAGAATAATGAGAATGGTCTACTAAGTTAAGAATCTTTTCTTTGCTGAATTGCTTGATTTTTTATTTATTTATTTATTAAATAATATCTTAATTTTATTTGCCATTTTGATCTTGTTTCAATGTGTTACTCATTATAAAAACTTAATGACTTATTAATTTTATTTTTCTTTCATGTACATATCATCATTAACTTCATTTTATTGGCATTTAAATTGTGAATAATTACACTAGTTTGCTCACCCAACAATATTTATAGCTAAAATTGAACATTTGGAAACTCTTAAAAAGACTGATAACATCTGTTCTATAATATTTGTCACTTTTGAAACTTTTTCTTCTCCATATTATTTGTTACTTTAAAATCCCAGTGCTGAATTAATTATTTATATATTTCAATTATGCCCTGGTTTATAACTCGCCAACACACTCTCTGCATTTATTAGTAAATAAGGGTATTATATTCTAACAATATCTTTTTTACTAAAATTAAGACATATTTATTGAGTTTCTTACGATTTGTGGAAACATGAAAAAGGACACCTATTTCGGAACGGATAATATTCATAACCTTTTATGTATATTTTTTTTCACAACAAGAAGAAAATAAATTAATTTACCACCCATATCTTGCATAACTCATATTTAAAAGCGCTATTTCTCATTAAAATCTCGTTTACTCAAATTTAACATATGGTTTGTTCTATGAGTATATGCTATAACCGATAAACTCCATGTGTTGATATCTTACCATATACGTGTACTGATCTCTACATATTTTACACACATGTAGGATATATAAGAGTAATTAATCATATGTAAATCAGTGGTGGTCCAAATATATTTAACTAGGTGTATCATCGAACGTACATAATCGAAAACAACTATATACACCTAACTTACCATATCCCTTTACTAGCTAATCTCAAAGTGACCATAAAAAAAGAGCTAAATGAGTAGTTAAAGATCACATATCTAACAAAATCAATGCAACAAATACAAACAAGCCAAAAAAGTATCTTGACAACCTCTCTTACCTAACCATAAGTCACACTACCAGCTGGTGTAACCACAAATGGCACCTCATCATTAAACACTATAATCTTCTAAATTTAATGCTCTCCATAAAATGAAAAAAAAAAAAACGTTTTAACCATGGTTAAAAAAACATCAAATCACCATAAACAATTTCATGTATTCAACAAAACAAAAAAGGGTAATTTGCAATCACCCCCTACGATAAGTTTTATTTACGAACAAACCCCTCATTTTTTTCGTAGTTACATCCAGCCCTTTCAGTTTGTAGATTCATTACATCAACACCCTTTTGCATGGATGGAAGAAAAACTTACAAAATTCAGGAGGCTGAACATAATTTCCCTAATAAAACAAAAAGGGTAAATACAATCACCTCCTAGGATAACATTCACCCCTTCCAGTTTGTAGGTTTATTATATTAACACCCTTCTGTAGGAGTGTGGATATAAGAAATGTTTACGAATTCAGGAGTCTGGATGTAATTTCTCAAAGAAAAATGATTTTCATAATAATTACACTTTACCCTAAGGAGCTTGTTGTAATTTACCCAAAACAAAATATGTTGCCTAACAAAAAGCCAAAGATTTTGTGCATTTAAGGTGAGTACCACATCAAATAATTAAAAAAAAAGAAAAGCAAAGAGTTGATGACATAGACATGTTACAAAAGTTGAATTCACTTGTGTAAGAATAAAGAAATATATTTTCCCAACTCAATTACCTTCCACACCACGCCTCACCCCCCCACCCCCCTCCTCTTCATACATATATTGACGTGAAAACTCACATTATATATATATATATATATATATATATATATATATATATATATATATATATATATATATATATATATATATATATATATATTCCAGCTCATCTACATTTTCTTGTCCAACAAAAAAAAAACCATGTCTGCAGCAGATCTTGAATTCTTCACTACTGCTCTGCCAATCATCAAAACAGTTTCTTCTGATGATTGTCAGAGCTGCTGCGTCAGTAGTACTAATGATGACGAAGCTGATTGCCGGACTCCGAAGTCGCCGGAGAATATGATCCCTCCAATTCTTGTCTGCCCGCCGGCTCCCAGAAAGCCGCTGCGGCGGCGCACGACGGCGGCCGCCTCCTCCAAGAGGAAGCTGTGTGAATTGCAGTTCTTCGAGATCGCCGCTAGAGAAGAAGTCGAATCTTTTTTCAGAAGGGTTGAGGAAAGTATCAACGGCGGCGCCGCCGCCACCGCCAAGAGGAGATGTGTGATGTGAAGAAATTCTGTGGGTGTCTTTTTTTTTTTTTTTTTTTTATTTTTTATTATTGGCTTGGAAAAAAATCATCAGGCTTATAGGTATATGAATTATGTATGTAGATTTTTATTTTTAATTATTTTTAATTTTTTTACACGGTTTGAAAAAAAACACATTTTAATTAATTTATGTGGGCAGATTAATTATATGGATATTGAAAACATATTTGTAATTTAATTTAATTTACTCCTGTTGTTTTTATCATATTGCTATGGTTAATTAATTACATTATTTTCTTCTTATTAACCTCGTTGATCATCATATTCTTTTCTTGCAAAGTCTGGTCTAGTTAACGTTAAAAGTGTTACTGTACGAAATTTTCTGTTATTGTGTATAAATATATTTTTTACTTGTACTTTTAATTAATAAAAAATTAAATTTTATAATAACTAAAAACGGGATAGAGCTCGTTAGAAAGCTCAAGCTTAAGTCGAGCCAACCATCACGACTGAAAGTAAATTGGTAGTCGGATTTTACAATAGTTGGTTTCGAATTAGGACACCTAATATATGATTAGTAATATAATAAACCGAAATCAAAGTTATCGAACGGGACTTAAAATGTGATGGATCTGGATTCATGAAAAAATCAATTAAATAAAATTTATAGAAATTATTATTATTATTTTTTTTAATTATTTTAATTTATTACTATTTTTGGATATACATTTTTAATTTGGTTAAAGGAAAAAACCTAAATATGTAATGGCTGAAAAAGGAAGAAGTAATTGGTTAGTTGCTTTTCTTTGAAGGAAGGAAGTGAATTTTTTTTTTCCCCTTATTAATTAAAAGAATATATAAATACATAAATATATAAATATATAAATGTACTTTAGTTGAAATTAAGAAGAAGAATTGAACTTTTGATGGGATCATGAATTAATATAAGATTAGTTGGTAATATGGTTGATCTGCATAATATTTGATATTAGTTTGAGTGACTGACACGACTTTGGGATTGATAATCTTTTAATTTTGATAATTAATTTCATGCTAATTAATTAAGAGAGAGGGGATTAATAAAATATTTACTCTCCTTGTCCAATCATGTGTCCGGTTTAATTGGACAGAAGTTTGTTATATGAAAGTTAATGAAATGAATTTTTTTTTAATAATTTTACATTTTGTTTTTTGAAAATTAAAATATGTAATAATCACTGATTTTTAGAAGTTGTGGTGTTTCTGAATGTCACAAATTTGGGTTTAATTAGCTAATTTAGAAGTTGTATGTAGTCTTTGCTAATAAACTTCAATTTTCAAATTTCCATTAATTATAAAGTAATTTTAAACCACATTTTTTTTCCAAATATGCTTTTGAAATTTTATTTAAATTAACTTATTTTAAGGAAAGTAAAAAATAAAAAATAAAAAATTGTGTTTGCACACTTATGCTTAAGATTTATTGACAAATAACAAAAACATGTTCGATTTAATGGGAAGAGAATGTTATGTGAAGTATTAAAAAAAACAAAAAAAAAAAATTTATATTTTCGTTTTACCTTCGAATTCCACACTGCCAGTTAAATTTCAAAGACGACAATATCCGGTGATTATATCATTTGCCATGACAATCAACAAAAGTCAAGGGCAAACTCTCTCGTGCGTTGGATTGTACCTTTCAAGGCCTGTTTTCGGTCACGGTCAATTGTACGTAGCGTTGTTTCGGGTGAAGAGTAGACCTGGAATAAAAATTTTAATCAAGGGCGAATCCGGTGAGTTGTCCAGTGTTACTAGCAACGTCGTGTACAAAGAAGTATTCGAAAGATTATATACATACACACTTTCGAACATATATATAAGTTTTCTTTATGTATAACGATGTATTTATCAATACACTCACATATATATATATATATATATATATATATATATATATATATATATATATATATATATATATATATATATATATATATATAGCTAATTGCAAATACCTCCCATGTGTAATCTCTAATTGTCAAATACCCCCCTGTCAAAAAAAAACTCACCAACGGCCCCCTGTGTAACCAAAGTCAATGCATCTAGACCCCTTAAGGCAAATCGTGTCTCTCACGCGCGGGCTCTGCGAATTTTTATGTTATTTGTACGGTGAAATGTCATAAATACCCCTGTATAAATAAATAAAAAATCCGAGTGGTCAAATTATAAATAACTATAATTTATAGGACCAAATTGTAAATTTTAAAATCTCCAAAATTGCAATAAGGGACAAAAATTGACGATTTTTTCAGATCTTCTTCTTCGTTTCACTCCGCCGCCCACCTCCCAGCCCGGAAAAACTTCGGCATCACCGCCGCCTTCTCGCCCGTCTAGCACCACCGCCGCCTTCTGGACCGTCGAGCACCACCGTCGCTCTCTGGCCTGTCTCGCACCACCGCCGCCTTCTGGACCATCGAGCACCGCCGTCACCGTTTTTGTTCAAATTGAAGATCCACTGCCATAGGAATAGTGAAATTGGAGGAGAATTGTACTACGCGAATGTCGGGGTGAAAGAAAGATGAGCCGGTGGTGGGGCAGGTGCTTGGGGAGAAGAAGTGTTGATTTGGGTGGTCGGTGGGGTGGGGGTGGGGTGGGGTGGGGCGGAGCGGGGAAGAAGAAGAGCTATTTTTGCTCTTTTTTTTTTCTTTTTTTTTTAATTTAAATTAAAAGTTAATATAAAAAAATATAAAACATATAAAATCTTTTAATACAACAATACATGTTTAATTTCTGTTAATATTTTATAATTTCAAAATTATTAATAAATAATGTTTATAAAATTAAAAATAACTACACGAAAATTAAAAATAATTGTCTAATAAATTTTGGTTTAATTAAATTAATATAGAGTTAAGAAAATTTTAACAAATAAATATGTACAATATATATTTTACTAATTGCTGAAAAACCCGTAGGGTATTTGTGTCATTTCACTTTTAGTCAATGCCTAAAAACACAGAGGGGGCTGTGAGTTTTGAAATTGATTACACGAGGGGGTGTTGGTGAGTTTTTTTTTGACATGAGGGTATTTGCCAATTAGAGATTACACAGGGGAAATATTTGCAATTAGCTCATATATATATATATATATATATATATATATATATATATATATATATATATATATATATATATATATATATATATATAAAAGTATTCTTTATCTACGAAATGTCTATAACTTATATAGTGAGAATGTGGAAAAATAACAAGTTATTTGTCCTCTTATCGTATATGTGAGTGTAGTTTCTTTCTCTCCTTTAACCACATACAGATTCATGTGCGAGACTGGTTTCTTTGCTTTTGATTTTTAAAGTAGGTGGTTTATAGAGCGGT